CCAATCAAACTTTAAAAAATTCATAACAATGCCAAAAATGCATTAAATTCAAATCGGAAAGCTGTCCTGTGTTATTTTCTATGAGGGCAACAAAACTGCATACTCAGTTTAACATTCTAAAAAAACCTTGTGGCTTAAAATTTAATCCATTCTTTGAGCCAATATTTATCCATATTTTTATACCACAATTTTGGCGACCAATCAATATTTAAAAAATTCATAACAATGCCAAAAATGCATCAAACTCAAATCGGAAAGCTGTTCTGTGTTAGTTTTCATTAAGATAATAAACCTGCATACTCAGTTTATCATTTTAAAGAATTCAATTTTTTGCCAATTTTTGACAATTTTAATGATGTAACAACCCCTTATGAAAAATTGAAATTTTCGAAAAATTTGAAAAAATTAGATTTTGGTCGGACATAGCTAGATCGATTCGGCTTTTAGTGCTGATCAAGAATATATATGGTTTATAGGGTCGGAAATGACTCCTTCACTGTTTTACAACCTTCGGACTAAAATCGAAACCCACTTTTTGAGCCAATATATATTTATATTTTTATACCAAATTTTTGCCAACCATCAATTTTTTTAAAATTCATAACAATGCCAAAAATGCATCAAACTCAAATCGGAAAGCTGTCCTGTGTTATTTTCTATGAGGGCAACAAAACTGCATACTCAGTTTATCATTTTAAAGAATTCAATTTTTTGCCAATTTTTGACAATTTTAATGATGAATTATGAAAAATTGAAATTTTCGAAAAATTTGAAAAAATTAGATTTTGGTCGGACATAGCTAGATCGATTCAGCTTTTAGTGCTGATCAAGAATATATATGGTTTATAGGGTCGGAAATGACTCCTTCACTGTTTTACAACCTTCGGACTAAAATCGAAACCCACTTTTTGAGCCAATATATATTTATATTTTTATACCAAATTTTTGGCAACCATCAATTTTTTTAAAATTCATAACAATGCCAAAAATCAATTAAATTCAAATCGGAAAGCTGTCCTGTGTTAGTTTCTATTAGGGCAACAAACCTGCATACTCAGTTTAACATTCTAAACAACCTTGTGGCTAAAATTATAATCCATTCTTTTAGCCAATATTTATCCATATTTTTATACCACAATTTTGGCTACCAATCAAACTTTAAAAAATTCATAACAATGCCAAAAATGCATCAAACTCAAATCGGAAAGCTGTCCTGTGTTATTTTCTATGAGGGCAACAAAACTGCATACTCAGTTTAACATTCTAAACAACCTTGTGGCTAAAATTATAATCCATTCTTTTAGCCAATATTTATCCATATTTTTATACCACAATTTTGGCTACCAATCAAACTTTAAAAAATTCATAACAATGCCAAAAATGCATTAAATTCAAATCGGAAAGCTGTCCTGTGTTATTTTCTATGGGGGCAACAAAACTGCATACTCAGTTTAACATTCTAAAAAAACCGTGTGGCTTAAAAATTAATCCATTCTTTGAGCCAATATTTATCCATATTTTTATACCACAATTTTGGCTACCAATCAAAATTTTAAAAATTCATAACAATGCCAAAAATGCATCAAACTCAAATCGGAAAGCTGTTCTGTATTAGTTTTTATTAAGATAATAAACCTGCATACTCAGTTTATCATTTTAAAGAATTCAATTTTTTGCCAATTTTTGACAATTTTAATGATGTAACCCCTTATGAAAAATTGAAATTTTCGAAAAATTTGAAAAAAAATAGATTTTGGTCGGACATAGCTAGATCGATTCAGTTTTTAGTGCTGATCAAGAATATATATGGTTTATAGGGTCGGAAATGGCTTTTATCCCATTTTTATACCCTTGCAGGGTATTATAATTTCAGTCAGAAGTTTGCAACGCAGTGAAGGAGGCACCTCCGACTATATAAAGTATATATATTCTTGATCAGGATCAACAGCCGAGTCGATCTAGCCATGTCCGTCTGTCCGTCTGTCCGTCTGTCCTTCTGTCCGTCTGTCCGTCTGTCCGTTTCTACGCAAACTAGTCTCTCAGTTTTGAAGCTATCTGAATGAAACTTTGTAGTTAGCCTTCTATATACTCTCACTCGTATATATGTCGGAACGGGCCGGATCGGACGACTATATCATATAGCTGCCATAGGAATGATCGGAAAATTTTTACAAAAAAATTTTTAACTTTTTCAGTTTTCAATAGAATTGGATCAAATTTGAGATATAGCCATTCTACTATACTCTACAATTTTGCTTAAAATTTTATGAAAATCGGACTACTATATCATATAGCTCCCATAGGAACGATCGAGAAATTAATACAATTAAATTTATAACTTTTTCAGTTTTCAGCTGATTTTCATCAAATTTGAGGTATAGCCATTTTGTATTAGTCTTAAATTTTGTGTCAAATTTCATGAAAATCGGACGACTATGTTGTATAGGTGCCATACAAATGATTTTTTGATGTAGAGGAAAAATGCAAATCTGCGAATGTAAAACTGCAAATATAATATGTATAGGTGAATGAAATGAAAGCAGGTATTACTTCATTTTTTTTTAACACAAATAAATATAATTTATATTGTTGAGATTCCAAGTCATAGAAGTTCTATCTGCAAGGGTATATAAACTTCGGCGTGCCGAAGTTAGCTTCCTTTCTTGTTGGAATTAAATTCCTTTTTACATTTCAAATGAAGTATGCAGATTAATTAGCCTAATAAAAACTAAGATTAAACAGCAATCCGAATGAAAATAAATGCATTTTTGACTTAGTGATGAGTATTTTAAATTGTAAGCTTCAGATTCTTAAAGTTGGTTTCCTTTCTTGTTTTATATCTCTATTAAAAGGATTATTATACCTATCTATCGTTATATCTCTACCCACCAGCCGAATTCCCCTTTATCTCGTATTACCTGATCAATACGCTGCAAACGGATCCTTCCAACTTCTATGCCGGCCTGCGCGTCTCCTCACTGTCCAAGTTCGAGCCAAAGGCCCTCAAGTGAGTGCTCCTCGAACTTAGGCCATTCAGGCCCCGGGAAATTGCATTTTTATTTTCCAATCTCGATGCCGATTCATTCGCAGATACACTGCCGCCCACACCTTGGACCTGTACAGCGAGGTGGCTGCCATTTGCCGGCCGCCATTGGTGCTGCCCTCCAATGAGGCCGGCAGCTTCAAGAAGACGCAGACCGCGGCCACCGGCTACATTATTAGTGTGTTCAAGGTGGGTTTCCTTACCCCGCCAATTCCAAGAAGTAGAGAAGTTGCTTGGAAAAGTTTCATGAAAAATTCAATTTTAATTCCGCAGGTTTTCGAGGGCGACGATGGCGAACGATTCGAAAAGAATTGGCTCTACTGGACAGGCGCCCGAATGCTATACAGGTATGTTTGAAACGAAAGAGCCTTTGAAATGGCACTCGTTACTCATCCCCATGGGCTCCACTGATTGCTGCTCCCATTGTCTCTCCACCAAACCTTTGCAGGTACTTGCCACGTGCCGCCGGCCTGAGGCGCATCGCCCTGCACAAGAGCACCTCGCAGAAGGGCGACAAGATGTACCTGCTGGTGTGCGAGTGTGCCGACCTGCTCAAGGACATCTCGCTGGCCGCCTTCCTGATCCCGGCGCTGCGGGCCCGACTCTGCGGCTACACGGGACTCTATCGACCAATACAGGCCTTCTAGTCGCGCGAATTTCTACTCGCATATACTCCTGTACATAGCCAAGGCTAAAACTAAAGCGAAACCAACACTGCAAAGAAACTGCACCTGTTACACGTGATTTTCTGATTCTATATATATATATATATATATATATATATATATATGTATATATATATTTACTAGGCCTAGGCAGACTTTTAAACTCACTCTCAGCTCAGCAGCTCCGGCGATGACTTAGGGGGCATCTATGGCTAGGAGACTTCTATGATAAGTAGTAGACAATATACTCAAGGTAAATCCATATCGTGTGCTAGATTTTTCTATAAATCATATAGAGGCAAGCCCAATAAATAGGACCATATCTAGTGTGAGTTGGTAGCGAAGAGAACTTCCATTTTAGCCACAGCCAATAGAGATTATATACATATACCCATCATAGATATAATCCCAGCAGTTAATCACAAATGTAAACGCTGAATTTTGCGCTGAAATGTAGGCTATGAAATCTGCAAACCAAAGTCAATTCTTAGCATAAAAAACAAGAAAGGAAAACAAGAGTTTGTTAGGGGGATAAGTGTAAAATTGAATGGGTTTCATCGGTGGGGATGGGGGATCTAGCTAAATTTTGCCCAAATCTAACAGAAATCTGCCAAAGACATAAGCAAAACTAATCTTAACTAACGAGTAAATCAAAAAATTATTCAAAATTTAAATTTTTTAATTCTAAGCAAACGCCAAATAGGAAATTTTCAATACAAAATTCAACAATTAAATGCTTGGCCCTAGCTTGCCACACGAAAACTCTAGAAAATATACCCGATATAATAACACATATATACTTGTAACAATTGTAAATAGTTCGGTGAACTTTTAAGGCACTTACTTCACACAAAAACACGCAAACACACAACAGTGTATTTGAGAAACATATATAATTTTGCACAATACCAACAGAATCAAAAAGTGCTGTGATAATTAAACTAAAGCAGAGCAGAGCCCCACAAAAAAAACCATACATAGATAACGAGGATATGTAAGGACTAACACAAGCCACAATACAATTTCATTTCATCCGGTCCAGGACAATATCATTTTTAGCTGCCATTGAAAATTACTGGCTTTTTCTTTCCCAAATTAATACGTTTGTTTATATAAAAATTTAGACCTTAATAAAACCAACACTTGCAAAGCTTATGCTAAGCCTAAAGCCTAAGGAAATAATTATAATAATTACCGAATGTTTGAAATTTTTTGTCACAACTTAAGCTACAAGCTTGAAGCCAATAACAATAAAGCGTAAAATTAAAATAAACTTAAGTTATTTAAGGATTTCAGCCGAATATATTGTCGAACACGTATCCGCCCCGTGGACTCTTGGTGTCCGCTTTCCGTTTTCTATACAGGATGTAGGCCTCGTACTTCTGTAACTGGAGCGGACCCCAGTTGGCCGTAGGCTGCATGGCCATTCGCAGTTTCTGGAGAATATATAATTAAATATATAATTAAATAAATTAAAACTCTTTCAGATAAAGTAGTACTCCACTTACACTGCTAAAGGTCTTGCCCGGCTGCTGGAAAATCGTGTACAATGCCCAGAAGGGCAATTGCAAAACTCCCAGTCCCCAGATGATCCAACCTGCCATATAGTAAGCCGGCGGATACTCCACTCCGCGGTAGGTCAAGGGCTCGTAGCTACAGAGCATGTATACCAGGACAAGGAACATCAGTCCCGGCGCCACAATGGCCCAGCAAATGCGCCAGTAAAAGCTAGTTTTCACATTTAACATAAACTCAATGTCACTGCAGATGCGCTTCACTCCATAAATCCAGCCCACGGCCAGCAGTTCCGCAATGGCCAGGACCAAGGCGATGAAGGTGCAGCCGTAAAAGTCCACCAGATTCAGCACAAACTGACCTCCCGGCGTCATGTAAACCAGGCCGCAGAGGAACCCGATCACAGAGGCACTCACGGCCAGCAGCCAGTGCGGCAAGTGGGTGAAACGATCCTTGACCACGTTGATCACACAGCTGGCCATGCCAATGTTCGATCCAATACCCAATACCAGAAGCATGAAGAAGAACAGGACAGCAAACAATTGCGGCAAATAGTTGAACTTGGCTATGGCTTCCGGATAGGAGATGAAGGCCAGACCAGCTCCACCTTTCACAACCTGGGAGATATCCTCGGTTTTGGTCTCATGGGCCAGGTTTCCCAGAATGCCAAAGATTATGCAGCCAGCCAGGATTGAGGTCAGCGAATCAATGGTGGTTATGATGATGACATCTCTGGAAAGGATTACAAATGAGTTAGTTTTCTTTAATGATGTTAATCTCTTACTTGTGCACATTCTTGTGAAAATCATTGAAGGAGGCGTACATGACCAGGGTGCCAAAGCAGATGGCCAAAGAGAAGAACATTTGGGTAATAGCTGCATACCACACATGAGGATTGAGCAGCTGCGACCACTGCGGCTCCAGGAAGTAGACTATGCCCCGCCAGGCACCCGGCAGCGTGACCGCCCTGATCAGCAGTATGAACATGATCACATAGGGAAACAATGCCAAGAAATAAGATGCTTTGCCCGAACTGCGTATCCCTTTGCATAGAACTGTGCCTATGATTACCCAGGTGGCCATAAGACACAGTACCAGATCCCAGCTAGGCGTCCCCAGGCCACTCTCATCCAAGTTTTCTGGTTCCCGAAGTACTGTTCGCCTGCAAGAATTGGGGGATTATTCAGAGATCTTTACAAAGCGAATTTGAAAACCCACGTAAAGTATAGCTCTGCGGAAGATACGCCCTGCACAATAGATGTGTCATTGGCGGCAGTGGCTCCTGTGGCCACACAATTGCTGCCCCATTCCACTAGGCAGTAAGTCCAAGGCAGTACCTCATCGAAGCTAGCCACTAAATACCTTATAGTCAAGGCCATAATGCAGGCATAGTACGTTATGGCCAGAGCGGTGGAGTACACCTGGCCATAGGCTATACCTGGAAGAGTAATTTATAGATTACGTATATTTTGAAAGTCTGAGTCTCACCCTTCATAAGAGGCGCCATGTCGAAAGCCTTGATACATCCGCGACTCGAGAACTGGCCTATAATCACCTCCAGATAGTAGATGGGTCGCCCAATCAGGAGGAGCACTATCACATAGGGAATCAAAAAGGCACCGCCACCATTTTCCAGAGCTATAAAGGGAAATCGCCAAACATTTCCCAGGCCAACGGAGAGAGCGATGCATGAGAAGAGAAACTCCACACCCTTGCTCCACTGTTCCCGCTGGCCCGAGGACTCCGACGGCACCTCCTCCTCCTGGACGACATCACAGTTTATGGTGAGCTAAAGGTTCACAGGAATATATTCAGTGTGTCATTTAAGGGATCTCCCTATCACACTCACTTCTTCTCCTCGTGCTGTGTATACTATGGCACTAATGCCAGTGGCCACATCCGGTTGCTGTGCCCTAGATCCTTCAGACTCCGCCATGCTTCTACCCAATTTCTGGTACTCTGCATCATCCATAGTGTCGGATAAGGGCTGATTTAAGGCATAAAACAGTGAATGGAATGCAAGCAATGGACAACACAAAAGCTTAGGTGCAACTAGATGAGTAAACACAAACGAAACACAGGAAAAGGAGCTTAGCACGGTTAATCTTATCCAGATACCCTTTATAATAAGTTTCAGCAGCTAAATAATATGTAAGCTGGTTATGGATTAATTGAGACCATTGTTTGTCTTTTAGACAATGTGCGAGATTTGCGAACGTATCTCCAGCATTTACAATTTATGTGCCTTTCTTCTGTTTACTGATACGAAAAATGACAATTAAATTGGAGGGTTCAACGCGATCATTAATCACACGAACTGAAATGTTTACCATGTTGTCTAGTTCTGGAACCAAGGTGTCTCCAAATACTCTCGAGAATCTGAAGAAAAGTCCGAAGAATCTCTTCTTATCTGGCCAGAGAGTGTTAACAGGCCAAAGGTAAACATAATTCACCAAATCACATTAAAATTTAACAACCAGACAGTTTAAAAAAGTTTGTTGGTCTAAGCTCAGCAGAAGATTTGGGTATATTTCGGGGTAGAATTGTCTTATCAAAAATTAAGATGCAAACCCGTGGGGGCAATTTATCCTTTTTATCTCTGTCAAACACGCACTATTTAATCTGAAACCAGCACCACAAACAACAAACTTCTTTAACTTACGCCCAGGCGGTCTAAATGTTGGAGCAGAACCGTTCCTAACAAGCTGCCGTACGCGACTAACTGGCATTCTGTAGATAATCTACTAGGAAACCTACGAAGGCAATCGGAGAAGCCGCAGCAGCACCGGCGGCAAAGCGTCAAATGGATGGATGGAACTCATGTAGATACTAGCCGAAATCTCTGGAACTTAAGAAATACTTCTATATATAATTAATATCAAATTTAAGCATATTTATCTTAGTACTTGTCTGGTAATTGGCGCAACCCTGCCCTCAAAAAATACGAATCACTTTAATTAACTGCCCCAGATTCAGATTTCTGAACCAATCATAGCCAGTCGGCTAAGCGATTCATCATGCCGCCCTAAACGAGACTTGACCAGATTTTAAAAAAACTGTCTGTACTGAATATATATCTACGTAAAAGCCAAAAGGTACAATAAATTTGTAATATATAATCCGTGCTGAATTCCAGGAATGCAGATAGCAAGATAGTCGAAATTTCTGCAGCTTACTGTTCTGGCTGGGGAAGTGGGTGATGCTGAGCCCTCACAGCTTCCATATTTTCGATGTTGGCAACCATAACATCAGCATGATTGCTTCTGTGAAATAGTAAAACAATTTTAATGATTAAATATTATTACAAAAGAATAGTGAATCCACTCACAAACACTGCTTCAACTGTGCAATTTCTAGCAGCATGGAAGCTATACGCTCTTCGTGCTTGGTGCGTATTAAGGCGCTACGCGATGCCTGCTCCTCCAGCAGCTTTATAGTGTTCTGCTGCTTTGCTACAGCATCCTGTTTCTCCTTTAGGGCATTCATTACTTCCCCGACCTGGTCATTCTTTGCATCAAGTTCGTTTTTAAGCTGCAAGGATACCGAAAGATACAGATCAGCATATGGAAGGAATAAATACGCAGGACTAAGTCCCACCAGATTGATGAGCGTATTTTTCTTGCTCAGTTCTTGGTAGATGTTTCCGAATTGCTCTTTAATTTGCAGCTCGCTCGTTTGCAGTTTATCTATTTTAGAAGAACGCGCCTCCAGCAGCTGATCGTTGGCCTCAAGTTGCGCCTTCATCCTGTCGAGCTCTACGTCGGTGGCCTTTTTTAGCTGCTCATGCAGATCGCTGTAAAAGAAATGATATTAGATATAATCATAGATTGTGATCAGTTTCACGCACATCATATTGGTCATACTGTGTACGTGCCGCTCGACTTGTTTTGTGGCATCCTTTAGCTTCAAATCTGTTTCCTCGAGACGCGAACGCAGTCGGTTACAGCTACAGTGTCAGAGATTTTAGGTAATATTTTTTAGCAGAAAATACTTTAAACTTGCATATGCTTTACGGACGAATTTTCAGCTTTTAGAGCCTGGTTTTCAAATTCATTATTCTGGCTCTCGGCCAGTTGAAGAGCCTGTTGGGAGGCCAGCTCCTCGCATTTTAGCAGCTTTTTCTTCAGTTCACTAATAGTTTCATCTCGTTCAGCAAGTTCATCGATCAACCGCTTCTCGTTCTCATTACGAGCGGAATCTTCAGCTAAAATGTAGGATAATATAATATTTATATAATTATAATTATTAAAAACATACCAGAATCTTCGACCAACTCTCGATTATCATTGCACACCATAACCACAAACTTGTAGGTGCCTGGAAGTTTTCGGCCCTGTTCAGCCAATGTGCGTATCTTGTACATGAAAGCATTCTGAATTTGCTCAAGATTCCTTTGCTCCACTTTGAGTGCCTGCGTCCAGTTCTGTTTGGATTGCAATGCTGCAATAAGAAAACCTGGTCATGAAACACTCTGAATCCAACAGAATGTGCTAATTACTTTGTCGCGTCCGAATGGAGGTAGGCCCCGACGACGGTGTGCACGATGCCGAGCGGGCTCTTTGCTCCGAAAAGGATTCTGACTCAGATTTACGCTCCCGATCCTTAGATAGAGAAGCAAACGAGGCGGGCACCGGGGAAGTATAAGCCTGGAGAATATGTTCTCATTAGGATGAAACTAACTAGAAGATTTTAGCATACCCATAAATCACCACGGTTAGGACGAGGTACCTTTGTCCTTAATGAAGAGGCTTTGTTGCCTAAGATCAGGTTCGATAAGTCCTGGTTTAAAAATTATGAGCACCTTGACTTACCCCGAACGGTGTCGGCCATGTTGGCTTCCAAAGACAATAAACTTGTAATTTAAGTTATATTCTATACTAACTAAATCTGCAGAAATTTCGAAAGCAACTTCGGGACAATTGAAATGTGTTTGTACAGTACAAAATAATAGTGTCACGAGAGAGAGAGAGATTCAGATGTGATCTGAAACTTTAACTGAAACTACGCAAAGACGAGAATTGACATTAGAATATAGAAAAGGCAAGGCCCACTGTAACTGAGGAACCTTGTTTAGAATAAATGTGTGTAAACAAAAATGCTGATAAAAGGTTAGGGAAACGCATCAACAAATGCGAATTGTAGAATGAAAAGCAAACGTACCAAATGGTCATAGAATATAAACATAGAGCACGAGTGGGTCTCTTTGTCTGCCTCTCTTTAGAATGCTCTTAATAAACCACTCACCCTATCCTACCGATGCACATCGTCTGTCCAATAATCGCCTCTGGGGGAAATTTGCATTCAGTTGCTGTTCGAGTGCGTTCCGAGTAGGTTCTCCAGTCACACATAATTTCCCAGTCTAATAGATCCATCTGTGAGGTTTCCACATTAACACCAAGGAGGCTGAAAATAATCTGGAAACTAAAAATCTCAGCTAGTTAATGGGCTTTAAAATCGAAACCCAAATTTCCATATTGAAACTATCAAAGTAAAAGTATATACACCCTTTTTAAGTGCCGTGTTCCTCCAAAGGGAAGCCCTAAAAGTGCTTTTAATGATGATATATCTATGGGAATGGGTTACGGTCTCTCGCCTCTGAAGGGGCAGCAGTTATTTTGCTCACATTTGCTGTAGACAGACGGCGAGTTTTTCAATTAAATTTAATCAGTGACGTAGCGGGTCTATATAGTGCTCATATATACGCGATGCGATCCGATTTTCAAGGGGTAAACAACCACGCCGCCTAGTTCAAGTTCCGCATGGCAATTGCGCTTAGCTCTCGAAGGAAATGGAAAGTGTATCAAATATACTATATCTGATATATATCGGGTAAAGCTATCTCTAGTTGAAGGCTGCATCCACGAATTCAAGTTCAGTTCGGAACTGGGACTAGGCCCCATGGCCCAACGGCTGCCATTGACATTCGATACGAATGCGGATAATTAAGACAATTAAGTGCATTGAAATTGTGGCCAGAAATAGTTTTCCACAACCACGTGGCGGATCTAAATTTGTGTTTCAATTAAATTGCATAATTTTTTAGTATTTCGCAATGCGAGCTTTGGCAAGTTTATGGTGGCTGCTAGCCCTGGCGAGGATTTTACCACGGATTGAGGCCTGTAATCGGGTTCCACTCGGAGCCACAGCTGCCAAGTCACCGGTGGATGACAACTATGTGCTGTCCGTGGCTGGAAATGCCCAGACTTATATTCCCGGTCAAAAATACAATGGTGAGAAGATGTATTTACTACCATCAGTTAGTTTTATACCCTTGCAGGGTCAAAAGCTTGTAATCCTATGAAGGAATCATTTCCGACCCTATAAATCGTATATATTCTTGATCAGCATCAACAGCCGAATCGATCTAGTCATGTCTGGTCAAGAAAAAAATTTTCAAAATTTTTTCGAAATTTGAAATTTTTATAAAAATTGTCCAAATTTGACAAAAAATTGAATTTTTTAAATTTAAAAATTGGGTATGCAGATTTAAAAATCTAATAAAAACTAGCATAGGAAAGCTTTCCGAATGAAAATTAATGCATTTTCAGCAAAGTTATGAGTTTTTTAAACTTTGATTTGTCGTATAAATTGTCACATAAAAATATCAAATATGGGATTCATCGATTTCTGTATAGATCCAACAATTTAATTGCAACTGCAAGGGTATAAGTATAAAAAAAATTAATAAACTTCCTTCTTACTTACTTCCTTTAGTAAGCCTCAGCGCCTTTTCGGGTCAAACCTTTGTGAGTTTTATGCTGGCCCTCGATTTGGAGACAGGCGACAATGAAGGTAATCCCAATGCCTTGGGAACCTGGGAGATTAGTGATCTGGCCGAGACCCGCTACAGTCCCCGTTGCGCCAATTTGGTGGAGAACACAAACACGAATGTCAAGACCCGCGTGGATGTTGTCTGGGTTGCACCGTCCAGTCCAGGACAAGGTTGTATTCTGCTGCGCGCAACGGTGATGCAGCATCGAGATGTATGGTTCATGGACGATGGCTTCCTTACCAAGCGTATGTGCGAAGAGGAGGCGGATGATATCGACACACAGCCCAGCATTGTGGATCCCTGTTGTGCCTGCGATGAGGCCAAATATGAGGTGGGTTCTCTGCAGGAAGTTAACTTCAGATTCAAAATCAAGCTTATAATTATTTATTGCAGCTTACCTTCGAGGGCAAATGGTCACGGCACACACATCCTAAGGACTTCCCTGCGAATAGCTGGCGCACCAGGTTCAGTGACATCATTGGCGCCTCCCATACCATCGATTACAGATTCTGGCAGTACGGAGAGCTGGCCAGCGAGGGTCTGAGAGAGGTGGCGGAGCACGGTTCCACACGTACGCTAGAGAGCGAGCTTAAAGATCAGAGCGAGCACATTCGAACAATCATCAAGGCCAGGGGCATTGCCTATCCGAATGTCACGGGCAAAACGTTTGCCGTCTTCCGTGTGGACTCCAATCATCACTTGATATCCCTGGTCTCCATGGTGGATCCCTCGCCAGATTGGATAGTGGGTGTATCAGGACTGGAGTTGTGCCTGCCCAATTGCTCGTGGGTGGAGAACAAGGTGCACAATCTGTATCCCTGGGATGCGGGCACGGACAGTGGTCCTTCTTATATGGTAATTACTTTGATGTGTTCTAAGACAAGGTAATGTTAATGATTTTGCAGTCAGCGGATCAGCCGCAAGTGCCGCCAGATGTGGTGCGTCGCATCAAGTCCAATTTCCCGAATGATCCTCGCTCTCCTTTCTATGATCCCACTGGAGCCGACATGAAGCCACTGGCTACCTTGCATATCAATCGGCGAAGACTTTACGAGAAGAACTGCGAGTCCACTGACTGTGAGTCATAGATCCCAGATCCTAGATCATTATTAATCCTCAATTACCTTTCCACAGCGGAGCAATTGCCGGCGGAGTGTGCCACTCACTCCTGGTCCAGATGGGATGAGTGTACCACCAAGTGCGGGCCCGGCAAGCAGTACAGAATCCGCGAGTTCAAGAATCCCGCGCTGGCATCGGTGAGGAATGGTTTTAAAGATCCAGTAATGTGTGGCCTGTAATGTATCCCCATCCCTCCGACAGCGTCATCGGTGCAACAATGCACTCCGCGAGGAGAAGAACTGTGTGGGACGCCAGTGCGCCAGCTTCAACGAGGAGGCAGCCGAGGCAGCTGAGCAGGAGGCAGGAGGTGCTCCACCAGCCGGCCACGATGATCCCCAGTGCGGACTATCCGAGTGGACAGAGTGGTCCTCCTGCACTGTGACCTGCGGCACCGGCGAAATGACTCGATCACGTCATTATCTCAACAAGAAGGCCAAGAAGAAGTGCCAGAAGGCGAGCAGGGCGCGCCTGCACGAAACCAAGATCTGCGAGTCCATGAATTGTGGCGGCGACATCGAGAACGGAGGCAGTGATGGAGGAGAGCCAGGGGAGGAACAGTATGGCAACGGTGATGGGGGATCCGCCGAGAAGCGATCGATCTTTCGGAACTTTGAGAGCTACAGCCAGCATCGAGAGGACTTCATACCTCCCGTATGCGGAGTCACGCCCTGGTCGGACTTCTCACCGTGCCTGGGACCCTGTGGTGGCCCTGGCCGGCGCCAGCGCATCCGTAAGGTGTGGAATAACAATCAGGTGTACGGTGTGAGTGACCCGAACGACGACGGACAGGATCCTTGCCGGCACATCAAGCTGCACGAGGAGGTGAATTGCACGAATCCCAGCTGTGATACCATAGTGCCCAGCTTCTGCTACGATGAGTTGGTGGACAGTCCCTGCCGGGACAGCGATGTGACCAACTACTGGTACTACGACCACGTAAGTGACCAGTGTGCCATCTACTGGTCGGATCGCTGCGATGTCAACCGGAACAAGTTTAAGTCGAAGGAGGAGTGCGAGGACACGTGCCGGCTACCGCGTCACAAGCAGGAACTCCAACACGATGGACTGCCACCCGTGGATTGCATGGTGTCCGAGTGGGTGGCCTACAGTTGCAATGCCACCTGCGGCGATGGCTACCAGTTGCGCACGCGTCGAGTGCTCCGAACGCCCAAGTACGGCGGCAAGCCCTGTCCAAAGCATCTGGTCCGTCTAGATCGCTGTTACCAGCGTTGCGAGGACATGTACTCCATCAGTAGCCGTGGCTTCGGCGAGCGCAGGCATGTAGTGAAGGCGCCTCCGCAGCCAGAACCCCGAGATGAGTGTCGCTACTCGGAGTGGTCCGCCTGGACGCCTTGCACTGCTAGCTGCGGCGACAATGCGGTTCGCCAGCGCACTCGCACCCTGCTTAACACTGATCTGAGCTACAAATGCAAGGACCGCGTCCGCATGGAGAAGTGCGTAATGATGCCCTGCCTGCTCAGCAGCAACGACGAGCCGGAGAGGTGGTAGTTCGAAGGAATCTTCAGCTGTAACAAGTATTAATTGTACATCACATATGTAATCACAATCGTACGAATAATCAAATATATGAAAGTCTACGGATTACCCAAAAGCTTGGCCAGGACATAGATTTTTGGGGTAGGAAAATTAAGATGAATCAAAGGAAAATCTTATTTATAATCAGGTCTTCTTACTTCGGAGAACTTTCAGCTTTTATTTCCGTCTCACAATAGTTTGTCATTGACCCAGATCAATTGTATAAACCAAGCAATTTTCGAGTCTTTTTGCCTGGTTCCAAGTTCAAAGAACTCGAGCTCTGAGCATCTTCAATTGAAGAGCGTGCCATGAGAGTCAACTATTCCTAATTGATGGGAACTCAATCAAGAGATGGCACAGGCGCCGTCTAAGGGGATAATTGATAAATTGAGGCGCTCATCGATTAATGGCAACGACTCACCCAATTTTAACACTCAGTTGTCGTTGAGCTCTGTACGCAAGCGGATCGCCCAGATTAAGTGACTATGCAGCGATTGCTCTGCCTTTTTGTCCTAATTCCTTTGGCCTTGGAAGTCAAGGGAGGCTGCAATCGTGTGCCACAGGCAGCCACCGGTGAGAGATCGGCGGTAGATGATAACTTCAAGATCCTGATCGATGGCAATCCCGCCACCTATGTGCCAGAGCATCAGTACAACGGTGAGAGTGGTGCCAAGTTCTCAATAAATTTGCTTCTGCTAATACCCCTCCTCGTTAGTGTCCTTGTCTTGTCCCATCAGTATGAAGTTTGTGAGCTTCACCTTGGTCATTGAGGCCGAGGATCCGTCAGTAGGCTTGAGTGGGCTGGATATGATCGGACACTTTGAGCTGCTGGGCACCACGGACACCAGATTCAGTGTGGGTTGCGAGAACATGGTGGAGAGCACCAACACGAATGCGAAGACTCACATCGAGGTCTCTTGGATAGCACCACGTCATCCCGACAGCGGCTGTGTTTTGATCAAGGCGGGTGTCGTCCAGCATCGAGATGTGTGGTTTCTGGACGATGGCTTCCTGACCAAGAGGATATGTCCTGAGGAGATCGATGAGCTGAATATCTTGACTCCACCATTGGAGAACTGCTGTGCCTGCGATGAAGCCAAATATGAGGTGGAGTTATAACTTATGCACAACTTTGAGATATTTGTAATAATTACCTTTCCTAAACAGATCGTTTTGGAACGCAAATGGGCAAGAAATACGCATGCCAAGGACTTTCCTGCCGAAGCTTGGCGCACCCGGTTGGGTGAGGTTATTGGAGCTTCACACAGTCACAGCTATCGCTACTGGGCCTACGGAGGCAGGGCTAGCCAGGGCATGAAGGAGATGGCCGAGCATGGTGCCACCCGCACTTTGGAAAATGAGATCAGGGAAAACACTCAGGTGGGTCCATCGAATAGACCCTCTCATACCGGTTTTATTCCTTACATCCCCAATAGAATGGCGATGTAAGAACCATAATCAAGGCTCCGGGCATTCCTCACCGTCTGAATGCTTATGGCACTACGCTGGCCAATGCCCGAGTGGATCCCATGCATCACCAGATATCGCTGGCAGCCAAGATCGATCCCTCACCCGACTGGATACTGGGCGTGGCAGGACTAGAGCTGTGCCTGAGTAACTGCACATGGCTGGAGCGAAAGGTGCTTAACTTGTATCCTTGGGACATTGGCACTGACTCTGGGCCTTCCTATATGGTGAGTATGAGATAAGGTTCTCAGCAAAAGAAGTCTTGACTTACGGTGTTTTCTGTATAGTCCGCCGATCAGCCACAGGTGCCTCCTGATGTGGTACGTCGAATCACCTCGTCGTATCCCAGCGATTACCGTTCGCCTTTTTACGATGAGACTGGCGCTTCCATGAAACCTATGGCCACGCTCTACTTGACTCGGAAGAAGCTGTACATCCGGGAGTGCGAAGAGAGTGAGTATGATGCGCTGTAGTATTCACATAACTTATTCCTGAGCATGTTTATAGCTATCCAGGATGGACCATTGGAGTGCGCTGTGCATCCCTGGAACGAGTGGACCAACTGCAGCACGCGCTGCGGTCAAGGCTACTCCCAGCGCTTCCGTAGTTACAAAAATCCCAATCTGGCAGCCAACTACAACTGCAAACAACGATTGGATGAGATGCGTCAATGCCAGGGAACTCAGTGCGGACCGGCAGAAGAGGAGTTTGAAGCTGGCGAGGGTGGCCAGGGCATGGAAAATTCCATATCGATGGCCGAATGCCAGCTAAGCAACTGGAGCGAGTGGTCGGCGTGCTCCAAGACTTGCGGCAGGGGATCATCTACTCGAACCCGCGACTACCACAATCCGCAGTCAAGGCAGCGGTGCTTATCCGTGATGCGACTGCCGATGGAGGAGACCAGACAGTGTATGGGATCCGATTGTGGAGGCACCATACCCGACAACGGCGAACTGGACGCTCTGCCTGAGCCAGGCTTGGACCAGGACAGCTACGAGGCGCACCGGCCTGCTTGGAACAACAGACAGGGAAACGCCTATACTGGTGATAGCCAGGCCTGGAACAGAAAGGGATTAAATAGCGCCATTGACTCCAGCTACAATCGATCACCTTACAATGCGATGGATAGCTCACAGGACAATCAAAACACTCCCTACGGCAAGGTAGAAAATCAGCAAAGGCCGGCATATAATCTGGGAGATAACCGAGGAGGATCCTACGATCGTGGAGAGGCAAGCTATCCTTCCCTCCATTCCTATAGCAACGATAAGCTGGTGGGCAGTAGACCCGGTGGTTACGGTGGTTACAACACAGAGTACACAACTCCCAGTTTTAGGCCGGCTTTTACCACACGCTCTCCGTACGGTGGAAGGTATCCCAGTCAGCAGCAGGAACCTGAGGACTCTACCAGAAGCACCGGCAACGGCAATGGCTACAATGTAGTGCAGGATTACTGCTTCGATAAGCCCTATGCCTCCACCCGCCCCTGCCTGGCCAATCCGGTGGTGGTAAGCAACTACTGGTTCTACGACCACGAAGAGCACGAGTGCAAGATCTTCACCACGGACAATTGTGATGAAAATAAGAACCGATTCCGTTCGCTGATGGCCTGCGAGGGCACATGTCTGCAGCCGCAGATGAACATGGAGCACTCCGAAAACGATGCCATGGATCTGTATGGTGGTGGAGCTTACGGCCAAGCGGGAGGTGGATCTTATGGGCAAACGGGAGGTTCTCAAGCAAGAGGTTCTTACGGACAAACAGGAAGTTCTTACGGACAAACAGGTAGTTCCTACGGACAAGCAAAAGGATTTTACGGAAAAGCAGAAGGTTATTACGGACAACCAGGGGGTTCTTATGGACAGGCAGCAGGTTCGTACGGTCAAACAGGAAATTCTTACGGACAAACAGAAAGTTCTTACGGACAAGCAGGAAGTTCTTACGCACAAGCAGGTGGTTCTTATTCACAAACAGGAAAATCTTACGGACAAACAGTAGGTTCTTACGGACAAGGGGCAGCTGGATCATATGGGGATTCGACTTACGACTCACAATTCAGCGAAGCAGCTGGGGACATTGGAGAACCCATGTCGCAGACCCGAAGCAAATATGATTCACCCAGAATTGGTCGTTATGGAGGTTAAGTTAAACCTTAAATAAAATATAAAAAAGGTTTAAAAGTTTAAAAAATACATGTTTTTTATATTAAACTGAAAAGCTGAGCGACCCTATCAGCTAAAAGTCTCTTAGTTGCCATTCCAAGAGAGCCTCTCGATTCAGTTTCCCTTAAGCAGACGCCAAGAGTGCGGATCACTGATTTTCCGGCTTTCCGGCAACGTCGAATGATAACAGCTCCGTCGCACTCTATTTGTATCAGTGGGTCATTCTTATCGGGACTCACAACCCAAGTTTCCAAGCTTCTCTCTTCTCGGCTTTTGGCAAGCCATTCCTCGGGCATCTCCGCTCAGTTCGCAATAGTCGCTCGCGCTGAATGGTTCTATACGATTTGAGTGCTCCGAAAATATGTGGCGGTCACACGCTGCTCCTCTCGTGAAGTTTCTTCTGCTGGCGTTAGCGATCGGGCCAGTCAGCTGTCTGATCTGCACGCGTCGCCCGGCTAATACGGCCACGCCCAAGTCGCCGGTGGACGAGAACTACGTGATAAGCGTGTCGGGCAATCCGGAAACGTACATTCTCGGTCAGGAGTACAACGGTGAGAGCAAGTTCAATGGCCCTGCGCTTGAACTTCGCGGGAGATTGCCTAGCTTAGTGGGCCTATCACGCAGTCTCCGGAGGCTGACCGCCTCGATTTCGCAATGTTTATTGTTTAGTAAACAAAAAACGCGGCTCGTCGGCTCTTCGGGTCTGGCGCTTATCTGATCGGACCTTTGCGAATTAGTTAGAATTCAAGGTCGCCGATAAGGGCCGGCTCAGCTTCTTCTTACTCTTCTGGTTACTCAGAAAGCTTCTCCTTTAGTTTCCTTGAATGCCTTCAATGGCCATCGCTACATCAGCTTTATCCTAGCGCTGGAGAATGAGAATGGTGACTTCAGCTATAAGGACGACTTGGGTCGATTCGAGTTGAGCGATATGATTGAAACCCGCTTCAATCCCAACTGCATCAATATGGTGGAGAACACCAACACGAATCCCAAGACCCATATGCACTTGACCTGGGTGGCGCCCAGTGAGCCGGGTAGTGGTTGCATCCTGATTCGGGCCACGGTTCAGCAGCATCGCGATGTTTGGCATATGGATGATGGCGGATTAACCCGACGCATCTGCGAGGAGGTCGTAGACGATGTGGAGAGCCAACCCACCACACCTTCGGTGGATGTACCGTGCTGTGCCTGCGATGAGGCGCGATACGAGGTTGGCAAATTGGAGGTTATCCGCGGCACCAGTTACCTTCTCGTTATCTTTTCCTGCAGCTAATTTTCGAGGGAGTCTGGTCAAGGAATCTGCATCCAAGGGACTTTCCGGCACGCGGATGGGAGACCCGCTTCTGTGAGCTGGTGGGAGCTGCCCACAGCGCAGATTATCGCTTCTGGGAGGCTGGAGCCCTTGCCAGCGAGGGCATCAAGCAATATGCGGAGCACTGTAGCTCCCGTCTTCTAGAGCGAGAGTTTAGCATCAACTTTCGGGTGATTCTATGGCTGGCATCTCTGTAAATAGGAACTCTATATAATCTTCCATGTCCTGCAGGATGAAAAGATACGTACTATAATCAAGGCACGGGGTCCTTCATTTCCCAACATGAGCAGCAAGAGCATGGCCTCGGTGCGAGTGGATCCTCTGCATCATATGGTGTCCTTTGCCTCTAAGATAGAGCCATCTCCCGATTGGATTGTGGGCGTCACTGGGCTGGAGCTGTGCCTGCGCAACTGCACATGGATGGAGGAGAAGGTCATCAATCTGTATCCCTGGGATGTGGGCACGGATGCGGGTCCCAGTTATACGGTAAGTCATGTCTGCATTTATCTTCCTGCTATGTAAACTAAAAATCTCTCTTATTAGTCTCCGGATCAGCCACAAGTTCCTCCGGATGTTATCAGGCGAATGCGCTCAGACTTTCCCAACGATCCACGTTCGCCATTTTACGATGAATCCGGAGCTCCAATGAAGCCCATGGCCATTCTTACGGTGAAGCGCCAACGTATTTACGAGCGCAGATGTGCGGATGAAGACTGTAGGTGAGGTTACAATTAGTAAATCATCACTAAATTCCATCCCTTTGGCAGCTAACAACGATCCGGAGCTGCCACGAGAGTGCCTTACCCATCCCTGGTCCAGCTGGAGCGACTGCTCCTCCAAATGTGGCGTGGGCATGCAGTACCGGCGGCGTGTGTACAAGCAAGCTGAGCTGGCCAGGATCTACAATTGCAATGTGGCACAGTACGAGGAGCGGGAGTGCCAGGGCGAGATGTGTGGCCAGAACAGTCTAATGCGGATTGCGGGGGAGTTCGAGGAGCTAGAGCCCGGCCTGGGTATTGGCGGCAATGTCTATCAACCTCAACACCAAGGACGCGCCGAATGCCAGCTAGGCTCATGGAGCAGCTGGAGCTCCTGCAGTGTGACCTGCGGCGACGGCTACGAGATGCGCCAGCGACAGTATCTCAATCCCCAGGCGGAGGCCAAGTGTCAGAGTGTGCATCGCATGGAGTTGCAGGAGACACGCCGTTGTTCTGGACGAGCTTGCTTGGGTAATCTACCCGGATCATACGGTGGTGATGCAGACACTTCCTATGGTGAGATTTCCCGTGGAAGAAACCCGTACAGACAGGAACAACCGGAACCGGAGGCAGAGTCCTTTGGCGACTACGATCAAACTGGTCTGGATCGAGATGGAGTCGTAGATGGCTTCGAGGTGGGTAACCTCAAAGGCAACTTTGGCAACTGGCCAAGCAGCAGACAGACAGACAGACAAATGCCAGAGGCATCCTGGCAGTCAGAACGCCAGGCGAACCTTGCCAGGAATCCGTCTTCCTACACGAAGCCAAGCTATAATGGCAACTACAGTCCGCCAGCTAGAACCGAGCGTCCCACTTGGTCGGGAAAACCAAGACCTAGTGATCCTAGCCTGGAAGATGTCGAACGAGCTCCGTGGCAGCGTCAGAGGCCCATTGATACCTACAAGAACCAATATGCAGGAAATTTAGATGGTCCAGAAGAGCCATGGCCAAAGATGAATAGTAATTACAACATCCAGGGTGCGTACGCACCTGCAGGGGATCTGGATCCATCGTTGTCCACCCGGTGCTTCCAGATGCTCCAGACCGCGCAGCCCCGCTGCCAGAATCAAACGATCACGGGCCAGTTCTGGTTCTACAACTTTTGCGAGGATGAGTGCATGTTGTTCGCCACGGATCCATGCGATCGGAATGTCAACAAGTTCAGTCGGTGGGAGGAGTGCCAAAAGTGCCGCCAGCCGGAGATGGCTGCGATGCAGCGGGAGGCGAGTAACTCCCAGGAGTGCCGGAATCTTCGAGCGGTTTGGCTGGCCGAGGAGCGGGCCAGGCAGGAGCAGCGTGTCGCGAGTAGGAGGCGCAACTATGGCGGCTACAACAGGCAACGCGGTCGAAACTCACCCTACAATCTATAAACTTTAACCAGTATAAGAACTAGAAATTTATATTGTAAATTTTACAAGAAACAGAAAAATTAGGCGGTTATATTTTGATGGCTCTTACAATCGAATTATCGCTATCGATAACCTATCGCGCTTTGTGACGTCACGAAAGTTTTCACATGCCACCTGACACCGTGTTCGCCATGGAAAACAGCTGACAGATGAGAAAACATTACTCAATCAAAACAATTTAAATTGCCTTTAAATCGTTCGCTTTTTGTAAATTAATTATACTTTTGCTAAAAGTGTAATTTTTAATAAAATGAAAAAGAATTAACCAACTTTGCACATTTTGGTAAAGCCTGACAACTCTGCGACTTGGAGAAACAACAAATTTCGCAAGCACAAAGGAATCGCAAAAACTGTTTAAATCTAATAATTTTAACAAAAATGCAACGATTTCGGATAATGACGCGTGGCATGCTGAGTCTGCAACATGCCACGGCTATTATGACGCAGCAGCAACACCTCCGGAACCTGTCTATTCACTGGCCCCTGGCCCTGCCCCAAAATCAAAACCAAAAGCCGGCTGGCGGTGGGAAACCCGGAATAAATCAGAAACCACGCCCCTCCGCCTCAGCACAAAAGATCACGCTCATCCAGCAGAACCAGGCAATGAGCATCACTACCCTAGAGGAGGCCCAAAAGCTGGCCAAGCGAAGGGAGTTACACTTGATGCGCTTAGGGGAAACAGATGCCAAAACCGGGCGCTCCATGTTCAAGTTGGTGTCACATCCACCTACCACTCACTATAGTTTCTATTAACACAACTCTTTCCAGACTTGTCACCGCCTCTGAAATGCTTACCGATGACACGGAGAAGTCCAGCGAGAAGGGAAAGGAGAAGAAATCTGAGAAATCCCTAACAATTGGAGCTCGTATCACGGAACACGACCTGGCTTCTCGGCTTAAAAACATTGTCAAGTGGCTGGGCAAGCGGCACGAAGTGCGCATCCTTATCCAGGGCAGTGCCAGCGGATCGGATGAGAGCGGCGTCGAGCGGATATTGAAGACCATTGAGCAAACCATCCGGGAGCCGCAAGTTGTGGGAAAGATAGTCCAGAAGCGATCCAAAGGATCTTACGTTAAGTTCAGCATCATGCCAGTGTCACCACCGCATGTGGCCACTTCCACGACCCAGCCGTTCCAGTCCTGACAACTACCGCCGCCATTGCTTCGGATAACCCATTGCTCGGTAATGGCAACGCCCGTGATTATCGCTTGTCGTCACTTCAACAGATCATCAAGGCATGGCCACCAGTACGAGCGACGAACCATCTGTGCGGCATTTGTCGCTATTGGTTCTCTATTAGCCTTTAAATACTTTTTCTGGTATCAATATCGGATCAAAAAGAATGTTTGCCAGGACAGGAAGAGTAAAAATGGCGACCCCGACTGCAGTTCCTGAATACTTCCCAAACCTGTTTTAAATTTTTTAATTAATAAATTGATCGAAAACTGCCATCTTTATCCGTTTAGACTCTTTGTTTATTTTAAATATCTATGACTTGTATAGGTGCCATTGGTTTAGCTTGTATTCCCTTTAAAGTTATAGGTTTTATGACGTTGTATATATTTTTTAAGCACACGTAGACAATGAGTTATTACACTTTTTCCTTACTCTCGCTAATTACTGTTTAATTAAGTTTAAAAAGCAGAAGTTTAGATTCAACTAAAGTGTACTGTTAATTACAAAAGCAAGTAAAGCTGTTTTCGGTTTCGATTGGAGTCCATTAATTAAAAAATTGGAATTTTGATATAAGGTTAAAAGCAACAGGTGTGGGCAGGTAGGGTAGGTTTTGCATTATCAGAAGCATTGATAGCTGTGAATTACCAGTAAAAATATAAAATACATAAAGCATTACGGCACAAGGAACATGTTGATTAACCCAAAACATAAATATAATGATGTTTAAATAATTTAGTTTACAACTAAAGTACAAACTGTTCTTTGAGAGCTCAATATAAATTAATAAATTATTATATTAGGAAAAGCAATTAATATTCAATGCTAAATGCCGCGATAACAAAACAGTTAAAAGAACTCACACTATATCGTTACAACTGATAAGCCTCATTCGGGGTCGTTCGAGGGAAAATCGAAAGACGTGGAGCGTCAATAAGCAATAAGGGAAAGGGATTTCGTTATACATTGGATTTTTTCAAAAACACTTTTGGAATGGATATTATAAGCACTAAATAAATTAACTACAATAAATGCCAAAGCGTGTGAGCTACGGTTACGCTGCTACTGCTGCTGCAGGTGTTTACTGACCTAGACGCGCTGAATCTCAAAGAGCTTGACTTCCGTATCATACCAGATGGCCGGCTCCACGTTGCGCAGATAGATTACCCCCCAGATGTAAGTGCGGAACCAGGCCGTGGTCCCCGCATTGGCCTGGTACTTCCGGATGAGAATGGGATGCGGCACGGGCAGCAGGCCAACCAGTGTTCCGTGCTGCAGAAACTTCAAGATCTCCGACTCGTCGGTTAGGCCCTTGTCTATGCAGATCTTTTCCACCTGCGGCACCAAGACCTGCAACAGTCGCATAATGGTCTGCAGCGGCAGCTTGGAGCGCCAAGATACTATCCACTCAGGCGTTGGAGTCCACCGATCGCCTTCGCTGGGCACCATGCGAATACTGCCTCTGTGAGCCACGGAGAGACGGGACAGCTCCGTAGGTGAGGTGGACTTCGGTTCGCCAGTTGGTGTCGATGCCGCTGACCTGTCATAGGGCACCATATCCGTAGAATCAGCGTCTGCCTGTGCCTTGTCATTCGGATGGGCTTGTTCTCGCTCCGTCATCTGACTTATGCCCGGTGTGTCCAGGAGAGAGGTCTTTAGGGTTCCCGGTTCCGCGGGCTGTGCAGTAAGTACCTCACCCAGCTGTGCCTCACCTCCCTGAGATCGCTCATGGGACTCTGTTTCCGATTCGAGATCTTCCTCGGCCTTGGGCTCTTCGTTAATAATGTTTCCCTCTTCTTCCTCGTCCTCATCATCATCCTCTTCGTTGTACTCCTCCGGCACATGAGCCGAGGGCAGCTCTTGCGAGACAGCTGTTGTCCTTCTCTGTGGCACCCGCGGCAAGTTGAACTTTCCGCCCGTCTTGCGGCCACTGAGACACTTGGCTATGCCTGCCATATCCGTCGGGAGATTCGCCATAGCATGGAACACGTGACGCTTGCGTATGATGGTGTAGACTAGATTCGAGTTGCCGTCAAACTGATATTGTATGATGTTGTTGAAGATCTCCAGCAAGAAGAACACCAAATGGTGATTACTTGGGGCCGAAAGCAGGAACCAAGGCGTACTGAATGCCTCCAGGAGATGCAGCAGCTTTACACTGGCTACCATCGAGAGGGTCTTCAGGTAGGGCGAAACATTTACTAAAATGGTCAGCAAGCAATCGAACAGCGGCTGCAGGCGCTGATGGCCAGTGGCTATGATCTTGTGGAACACCGTGATTAGGAGGTCGGCATGCGTTCCGGTAAACACTGGTATGTCCATGGGCACGGTGGCTGAATAGGCCTTGTTTAGGCGGACGCCAAAGTTACGCTCACCTGTGAAAACAAAGCAATAACTTTTAGACCAAAACTCCACAAAATTCCAAGTATGACTCACCCGACAGCAGCAGCAGTATGAAGACCCCAATATGCATTAGACCCACGCGCGATTGATCCGCTCGGGAGTAGTTCAGGTGATACAGGATCGGAATGAGGATGTCCAGGACATCGGAGCTCTTCAGGACGAAATACAGAAACTTTTTGTTGTAGTCACAGATCTTCCAGAACAATATGAGCAGCTCCTGGTGGCAGTGCAGCCGCTTCGTGGAGTTGGGCAAGTAGTTCTGGACGAGAGGGTTGTTCAGCAGCCTCGTAATGCCTTTGAGTACGAAGTGGAAGTCCTCATCCCGATGCACCCGCGACAGATAGTTAATGAACAAGTTGTCACCGCAATTGCCTTCATCGTAGGATGCCTGACCGGGCTGGGTGAGCTGCTGCTGCACCACCATGTCGTGGTCCAGCGTCACGATCAGCAGCTGCAGACACGCCTCCACCAGGGGCTCCGTGGTGTCCGCGAACAGCAGGTGATTGTAGGGCACGCCGAATCCCACCGGGTCGTAAGAGCATACGGTGTTCAGGAACGAGGTGAACAAAGGCAACGCATGTCGATTGTCAGCGGAGGTGAAGTAAGCTATCCATTTGTTGGGCTCCTCGGACTGCTGCGGCGAACGGTACATGGGCTCCGAGAAGCAGGTGAGCAGCAATTTCAGCAGCTCTGTGCGCCGCCGCTCCATATGGGCGTTGTGTGGAGGTGATTGGGCAAAACCCACTCCCGCCTCCCAAATGTATTCACAGCTATCGATGTTAGCCAGCTCCTCGGCCTTCTCGGGACCCGTGCGCCGAGTTGCCGTAACCGTAAAGTCCGGACAGAAGAGCAGATCGCAGGTAGCGTTCAGTAACGACTGCGCCAGCGGCATGGTTTTCTCCTGCGACGGCAGACTGCTCCAGAAGAAATCGCGCCACTTATCGTCCTCGAAGATGTAGGGCAGGCATCGTATCAGCAGCCGGACACAATTGAGGACACACTGCTGCTCCGTCTGCGTGCGACAGCTACTGTCCACGGCCTGGGCCAGCTTCTCCACTGCCTTGTAGCACAGAGTGGCCAGGTTGGCCGGGTTGTCGTTCCGGATCTGGCGAATCTCATTCGAGGTGACCAGCGCAAACACGTCCTCCAGCGTCGTCTGGTGACCCTGCCAGAACTGCTCCCAGAACTGGTCGTCGCTGGGGTCGATCTTTTGGTTCTTCTGCGTCAGCTGCACAATGGCCTTGCGAAAGTTCAACTTGGAGTCGGTGTTTCCCATATTGTTGGGGTTCTAGCCTGCCTTCGCGTCGCTGAGTCCTTAATTCCACCTGCCCCGTGCCAAATAGCCGCAATGCAAGTCTCCGTCCAAGTCTGAAACGAATGCACTTGACATTTAATACGCTTCCGCATAGAAAATTGCAGAAAATTAGAAATTCGCCTACGCACCACAGCTGTCTACGGGAAATTTAGCGGTGACAAGCCTCAGAACTAGAGGTGGAATCGGGATCGATAACAAAAATATCAATAGTAGAGGTGGAGAATCATCGCAATTTTGTCAGGAAACCAAAATTAAATCTGTCATAACTAAGCCAAAAATGCATTAATTTCAATTCGGATAGCCTTTCTGTACTAGTTTTTAGTAAGTTAACAAATCTGCATACTAAGTTTTAAAATATAGAAAATTAAATTTTTAGCCAAATTTTGACAATTTTAATGATGTAACCCCTTATAAAATTTTAAAATTTCGAAAAATTTATGAACATTTTTTTTTTGAGCAGACATAACTAAAACGACTCGGCTGCTGATGCTGATCAAGAATATATATGATTTATGGGGTCGGAAATTAATCCTTCACTGCCTTTTAAGCTTCTGGTCATAATTATAGTGCTATGCGAAGGTATACAAAAATGACAAAAATATATGATTTTTTTATTTTAAAAAAAAACGATGATATTCTCCACCTCCAAAATACAAATACAATCGAAATATCGGTACCATCGTGAGTTGACCCAACTCTAATGGTGGACCATCTCTAACAAGGAACATACACGACACGTAAACGTCACCAGAATTAGAAAAATTAGGAGCTCTAGCAGATTCGTTTAACTACGATTAATAAGACATGCTTAACTAGAACGTGCCCCGTTTCGGTTCGAGGCAACAGAGCTTCGTGTGCGAGTGTGTGGGCTTGTGGCGAGTGCAAAAACATATGCGAAGGCCTCAGTGGAGGGTGGAGAAGAGGTGGAGGAGCTGCTGCTGCCCCACAACTTGCAAAATTTCTGCGCTAGCGCTGGAAGCCAACTACGTAGCTGCCTTTGCAGAGCCGTGAAGACCCGGGGACACCATGTCGCTGCCGGGCAATGGCATCTATGTGGTGCGGGGCGAGATGGCCACCCTGATGACGGCTATGCGACGTGGAACGCGCTGGAATGCCACCGCCTACGTGGTAAGTAGTGCCTCTTATGCTCAAGTGGAAAGTTAATCCCTTGACCCCATTTTCTAGGACGACGAGAAAGACTCGCTGCTGAAGCTGTTCATTGACCTCAAGCAGGAGCTGAATCGCATCGAGGACCTGCGTCTGATTGAGCCACAGGTTTTCCTCGCTCCCTTCCTGGAGGTGATTCGAACGGCGGACACCACGGGTCCGCTGACTAGTCTGGCCCTGGCCTCGGTTAATAAATTCTTGTCATACGGACTAATTGGTGGGTTCACAAGCTGCCCCCTTCCACTTTCCATTAATCATTTTGTGTTTACGGACAGATCCCACATCGCCGAATCTGGCTGACATTGTTGAGCGCATTGCCGATGCCGTGACGCACGCTCGCTTCATGGGCACTGACCAATCCTCCGACAGTGTCACCTTCATGCGTGTCATTGAGGTGCTGCACACGCTAATCCGCAGCCCCGAGGGAGCGGCAGTTAGCAATGAATCTATGTGCGAGGTGATGCTCAGCTGCTTTAAGATCTGCTTTGAGCCGCGGCTAAGTGAACTGCTTCGTCGCTCGGCGGAGCAGTCTCTGAAGGACATGGTGCTGCTGTTCTTCATGCGCCTGCCCCAGTTTGCGGAAGAGCGCAGTGACACTGTTCTACAAAAGAGATTCACCATCGGAGATGCGGCCAGTGGAGCAGCCCAGGAGAAGCATAAGCGAAAGGTTGTGGCACCAGCTCCGGCTTCGATTCCGCCAAGGAAGTCCTCTACAGAAGAACCTCCGCAGACGCCGCAATCGGCCAATTTGGCTGTTCCCGGACACCTAAAGACACCCATACTGGCCACCACACCCGCCAGTCCTGCGGGCAACATTCTGGACATGCAGGGAAAGATCACGCAGACACCAACGACAACTGCGAGTTCGGGAGCAGAGGAAACTACTACCGCTGCCCCAGATGCACCTGCTATACAAGTGGAGACCGCCGACTCGGAGCCTTTGGAGAGGGTGGGAGGGGAAGTTGTTGATGGTGGTGGCACACTGACCGAAGCCAACAGCAGCGAGTACATTAACTCGGTGGGCGTTCGATTCACCCAGCAAACCGCTGAGCCAGACGCTGTCTCCCTATCGCCCTACGGCCTGCCGTTTATCCAAGAGCTATTTCGCTTCCTGATTATTCTGTGCAATCCCCTGGACAAGCAGAACTCAGACAGCATGATGCACACGGGCCTGAGTCTGCTGACAGTGGCCTTCGAGGTGGCTGCCGATAATATTGGCAAATATGAGGGCTTGCTAGAGCTGGTCAAGGATGATTTGTGCAGAAATCTGATATCGGTAAGGCAGCATTCATATTTCTCCTGAAAGAACGTGTTATACTTATTGATTTCTTTAAACAGCTTCTCAACTCTGAGCGCCTTAGCATTTTTGCTGCCGATCTGCAGCTGTGTTTTCTGCTCTTCGAATCGCTGCGTGGACATCTCAAGTTCCAGCTGGAGGGATACCTTAAGAAGCTGAGCGAGATCATTGCCAGTGACAATCCCAAGACACCCTATGAGATGCGCGAACTAGCCCTGGACAACCTGCTGCAACTGTGGCGCATTCCCGGTTTCGTCACTGAGCTGTATATTAACTACGACTGCGACTTGTACTGCACTGATATGTTCGAGAGCCTGACCAACCTGCTGAGCAAGTACACGCTCTCCGCCACCAATGCCGTCTACAGCACACACATCATCTCGATGGACACTCTGATCAGTGTGATTGACAGCATCGAGAGAAACTGTGCAGCGGCCAAAAGCAGCAATAACAGGGAATCTCTGCCCGAGTCTGCCTCAACCACTGGTGGCAGTCGCCATTCACGTCACAACAGCGGACTGGAGGGCATTGTAATCGATTCTGGCAATGGTGTTAGCGGAGTTACGGAAGAGCGCGTAGAGAACATCGCCAGCTTCATAAACAGCAGCTCCCAGCGACTTCGGCTGCAGTCCGGCAGCGATAGAGTTGGTATCACCACCGAGCAGCTGGCCAGTGTCAAGCTAAAGAAGAGGCTGCTGTCCCAGGGCACCGAACGTTTTAATCAGCGCCCGGATAAAGGCATCCAGTACCTGCAGGAGCACGGAATTCTGAACGCCGAGCTGGATCCAATGCAGGTGGCCCTTTTCCTGCGCGAGAACCCCGGCTTGGACAAGAAGATGATTGGTGAATATATCTCGAAAAAGAAGAATGTTGACTCGAAGATTCTGATCAACTTTGTGGACTCCTTTGACTTCACTGGTCTGCGAGTGGACCAGGCGCTGCGTCTCTATTTGGAGACCTTCCGCTTGCCCGGCGAGGCTCCGCTGATCTTTCTAGTGCTGGAGCACTTCTCCGACCATTGGCATGTAAGTTTTTCTATAATCTAGCTCGCATATATATTTGATCCTTTAATTATTTTCCTGGCAGACTCAAAACAAAGAACCGTTCGCTAATGTGGACGCTGCCTTCCGTTTGGCTTATGCCATCATTATGTTGAATATGGATCAGCACAATTCCAATGCCAAGCGCCTGAACATTCCCATGACCCTGGAGGACTTCACCAAGAACTTGCGTGGTCTGAATGGCGGGGAGGACTTTGATCAGGAGATGCTGGCCCAGGTCTTTAATGCGATCAAGTAAGTTAACTTATGGTTTCAGTGATAAGGCTGGCTAATAATCCTTTCCAGAAACGAGGAGATCGTAATGCCAGCCGAGCAAACTGGCTTGGTGCGCGAGAACTATTTGTGGAAAGTTCTGCTCCGTCGTGGCGGCACTCATGACGGTAACTTCCACTATGTCCACGATGCTTCGTACGATGTGGAGATCTTTAACATTGTGTGGGGTGCCTCGCTCAGCGCACTTAGCTTTATGTTTGACAAGAGCACCGAGACGGGCTATCAGAAGACTCTGGCGGGTGAGTAAGCATCAAGAGTTTAGTCTAATTGTCTTTAACTACGAACTCTTCGCAGGTTTCAGCAAGTCTGCCGCTATATCGGCGCACTATAATCTGCACACCGACTTCGACGCCCTCGTTCTCACCCTCTGCAAGTTCACAACGCTGCTAAGCAGCGTGGAACAGCATGAACCGGCGCCGGCAAACAATGAAATCCAACAGGCGGTGAACTTTGGACTTAATGCCAAGGCACAGGCGGCGATGAGGACTGTGTTCTTGTTGGTTCACGACTATGGTGACTGCTTGCGAGAGAGTTGGAAGCACATTTTGGACCTCTATCTCCAGCTTTTCCGCCTTAAGTTGCTGCCCAAATCCCTTATCGAGGTCGAGGACTTCTGTGAGGCGAACGGCAAGGCCTTATTGATCTTAGAAAAGCCACGCGAAAAACAGGAGTCTGGTCTATTCTCCAGCCTCTACTCTCTTATCAGCTCGGAGGGCCAGCGCGAGCCCACTTACGAGGAGCAGGACTTCATTAAACATGGACGCAAGTGCATTAAGGAGTGTCAGCTGGATCAGATGCTCCAGGAATCTAAGTTTGTCCAATTGGAGTCACTGCAGGAGCTGCTCAAGTGCGTACTGAGTCTCCTCAAGGCACCGCAGGGTCACAAATCTATTGGCCTGCCCTACGCCGAAGATCAGACGGTATTCTGGATGGAGTTTCTCGTAAAAATTGTGGTACACAATCGGGATCGCATGATCCCCTTGTGGCCCGCCGTCCGAGACCAGATGTATCTCCTCCTTATGGGCAGTGCCTCGTGCGGCTACGACTATTTGCTCAATCGCTGCATCGTGGCCGTCCTCAAGCTGGCCATCTATCTAATGAGAAATGAAGAGCTGTGTCCCATTGTTCTGCAGTCCTTAAAGATGCTTCTGATGCTGAAGCCGGCGCTGCTGCTGCGCATCTCGAAGCAGATTTCTATTGGTATCTACGAGCTGCTCAAGACCTCAGCCCAAAATATACACTCTGAGCAGGACTGGCAGATAATCTTCAATCTGCTGGAGTGTGTGGGAGCGGGAGCTGTACCGCCCAGTTACGATGATGCCCAGTTGCCACTGCCGCTGAACGGAGGTGCCAAGTCAGATGGCGCTCTCAGTGGCGAAGAGGACGGTTCCACGCTGCCCGAGCGTGGCTACACATCTGACTCGGAGCTGAACAAGACTTCGGTAGGACCGGCAGCCTCTAGTCCAAGTGCCGAGAACTGGATTTTGGTAAACAACAAGGACAGCGAACTGACCACGGCCTCCAGGTGAGTCTCTCAGCCATTGTAAGTGACAAAAATGGGGTTTAAAATTGAATATTCTCCTTGCAGACCCCAATCGCCGCCCAGCTCGAGTACTCCTCCAGTCAGTACGCTAGTTTACAGCTGCCAGCTGCTCGACCATGCTCCCTTTGCCTTGTTCAAGTGCTGGGACTCGCTAGCCTTCATCGTACGGAGTGTGGCCCACATCACGCCCTACAACTTCGAGGCCTGCGTTCGCTGCATTCGCATCTTTGTGGAGGCCTGCCGGGATGGTGGGATCCGCCAGCGCCGGAAGATGGAGGCTGCTGCCAAGCAGAAGAGCTCGAAGAAACGCAGCGATCGAAAGCCCGGAATGGCATCCTCCGCGTCAAGCAGCAATCTAACGCTCCTAACTGGCGACCCAGCCGACAATCTGGCTCAGGGAAATGCAGCCGAGCAGGAGGACCTTGCCCAGCGGTACGAGCAGTTGTCTATTCAATTGCTGGACCTCATGTATACGCTATACACGCGGACGGCCCAGATCTTCCGCTGGTGGGCCGAAGAGGGATGCACAGTGCCGCAATCGGCTGCTCTCTGGTCACCAGGCTGGTGTCCATTGCTGCAGGGCATCGCTAGGCTGGCCATGGATCGGAGGCGAGAGGTGCGCACCCATGCCATCTCGTGCCTGCAGCAGCGGGCACTGCTGGTGCACGATCTGCAGACGCTATCGGGAACAGAATGGTGCTCCTGTTTCCACCAGGTGCTGTTCCCCCTGCTAAACGAACTACTGCCTGAGAGCTGTGCCGCGGGACAACTGGACGCATCCCTGCTGGAGGAGTCGCGCATCCGCACGGCCACCATCATGTCCAAGGTGTTTCTGCAGCACTTGACCACGCTCATCGAGCTAGGCAACGCCTTCAACGAGCTGTGGCTGGATATACTGGACTACATCGAACGCTTCATGAAGGTGGGATCGGACACGCTGTCAGAGCAGATGCAGGAGATACTAAAGAACATGCTGCTGGTGATGCACTCGGTACGCGTATTCCACAACCAGGATGGCAGCCTGCAGCACTCGCTTTGGGAGCTCACCTGGCGGCGCATTGGAGAATTCTTGCCCAATCTCAAGGAGGAACTGTTCCGCGACGAAGGTGCGTACGGCGGGCGGTCGGTGTAGTATCCGCTTAATCTCTGACCCTGCCAGCAGATCTGATTTGGCCAGCGATTTCGCTAGACTCCACGCAGATTAGGTATGCCAAGTCCCTGGCCGTAGGCGACTACTCGCTGACCTTGCCACTTTACGGCCGCGGTCCGAAGCTTTCCCCTAGGGGCACGAGCAAAAGCGAGATCCTCATCGAGCCAGTCAAGCAGCGCAAGAAAACTTGGGCCAGGATCAGATCCAAGCTGCTCAAAGGACTGGGCAAGCGGAACTGACTTCATACTTTTCTCTTCTCCCCGACTTCTTAATTTACATTTGTGCCTTTATATATTTGTACAACAATTAAATAGTTATGGTTATGTATCCTCCATCTTTCAGGCAAGCGTGCTCAGACCCTAACGAATCCGGCTCCTGCGGCAAGTGTCGCTCCCTATCCCCAGCAGCAGCAGGTGCCAGCGGTGGCCATATTGCCCAATCAGCCGCTAGTTTTACAGAGTGAGTTGGTGGTCAGTTCCACCCCGCTGGCATCAGTTACACCCACCTTGGTGTCGCCTGTTGAATCGCCCAGGCGGAGTATTATACTGCAGCCCCCGATGGCCGACGCCCTGCAGCAGGCACCCAGTTTTGTATTTGCTCAGGTAAGATAATACAAATTCCTCAGTTTTATATTTACTAAATGTTTGCTTTGACAGCCCCTGGTTGTGCCACCTCAGCAGCCCAGCACACTGCTCCCGGATCTGGTTAATGAAGCAACTGCTGCAGCCGTGCAAACGTCATCCTCGCCGCCCTCAGAGGCGGAGCAGCCAATCGTACCCATTGTACACCAGACGAACATCGTGACCACCAATAATACGTATAATAGCTACGCCATTGAGCTGCCTGTGGCTCCGGAGCCTACGGCCGAGCAGTTGGAGCAGCAACAGCAGCAGCAACAGCAGCAGCAGCTGCTGTACCAGCAGTACTATCAACAGTACCAAGCGCAGCAGCAGCAGCAACAGCAGTTGCCAGGTGCTCAAGCCAGCGATCCTGCCATCAATGTGCCAATCAGTCATCTGCTGGCCGGAAATGCTTACCCATCCCTACCGAAAATGCCGCAGGCAGCCATTGTGCACAGCTTTGCACCCGTCTACGAAGCACCAGCGGCAGCAGCTGCCGGAGCCGGGCCAGCAGCTGATATCTACCAGGAATATGTGCAGAATCCTTACAACTTGACCCTGCAGCAGCAGCAGCAACAACAACAACAGCAGCCGCCGCAGCAGAGCTCCGGACTGGCCAACACATTTCCTGCAGTGGCTTCGCCAGCCAACTACTTTAATGTAAATGTGGACCCCAGCAGCATACCGCCCGGATCGGAGCTGCTCTACGGCCAGCAATGAGAAGAGGAGTGAAGAAACTACATTTAAAGCCACTTGGGCCGTTTTATTTTGTGTCTTGTGTTGTAGTGAAGGGCTAGAGCTTCGTAGTTAATAATATAAAATTGTGTCAATTTTGTTTCTTGTTATTTATGCCTCTGCCCCTCACCTAAAGTGGAAACACATTCCGCCCGGGCGCGTTTTTATTATGCTATCCGAAGAACAATGCTAAGTAATAGATCCAGATGCAACTCCGAGCAGAGACCTTTATAAGCTTTAGGAATGCAAATAGTTTAATTTATAATATATGATTACAACTTCTGTATGTTATGCGAAGAGGCAAACTGTAAATAATCAAAAATATATACAACAAAGGATAAAAAAAACCCCTGAGAATTTATTTTCGGATATTTATGAGGGAAAATGTGAAAACCCATCTCCGTGGGCATGACAGCTTTGCCGTGGCTTGGAGTATCAGTACCACAGTACTAATAAAATTAAAAAATAATAATCAATAAAAAAGAATAAAAATAAACCTAACTCCGTGACAATGTTTATTTCAACATTGCCGTGACCAGGATTCGAACCTGGGTTACCACGGCCACAACGTGGGGTCCTAACCACTAGACGATCACGGCTACGTCAGGTTGTTGTTTGCCGCCAGCCAAATAACTGCTTTGAAATAAACGCAAAAACCAGTCGCAAAGTGAAAGCAACAATCTCTTTTTGCTATAAATAGATTAGATTGTAATACAAGATATTTGTTATTAATTAGAGCCATTATTGTATACCAAATCAGCTTTAAAAAAAATAAATAAGTGCTTCGTTTAAATAATATTTCTGTAAGTTTTCACTTAATAAAATAACCGAAAAATATGAAATGAATGTTAATTAATCATAAGCAAGACGGCTAATGCGATTCTCTGTTTTAAGACGCTCGAGCGCCTTTCATTTTTGAAGTTGAGCTAAGATTGCATTAGCAAGCAGTCTATACAATATATGCAGTTTGATAAATGATTTAGATGGAAATATATATATTATTAAAAATAATTTAAGTAAAAATAATAGTAATAATAAAAAATAAACCCGACTCCGTGACAATGTATATTTCAACATTGCCGTGACCAGGATTCGAACCTGGGTTACCACGGCCACAACGTGGGGTCCTAACCACTAGACGATCACGGCTACGCCGGGTTGTTGGACAAAGCTGGCCAGAAATCAAATCTAAGCTCCAGTGTTGAGGAGCAATGTAATGAATTAGTAGTAAATCATTATTAGCTCCGAAGGTCAAATTTATCTATATCAACATGAAAAAACAGAGATTTATACAATAACAATACAATAATTTCATAAGATAAGTTTGTATTAAATATTCCCAACAAATCGACACCCAGAGGTCGCCACATACATTTTGACATTATCCAACACCCCTATGTTGTTGAGCAGTACAGCACAGCTGTTTTTCCAAAGCGAGAAATAAAAAATGGAAAATTTCAACTCTATTGAAATAGCAGATTCTGACGAGGATTCGCCGAGTGAAGTTGGCGATACAATGGATCCGAAACGTTGCGCAACACCACCGACATCGAGTGCAGCCAAAGCTAAGCTGGCAAACGAACACACCCCTAAAACGACAAAGGCCGCCAAGGAACCGGATTCGGCGACCAGCGGGAGTCTCTCGCTTTTAGGCGATTCCACCTCACCCTCCTCGACGGGCACCTCGCCCAGCTCGGCAGCGGACACCAAAGCTGGGCGCCACAGGGCCAGAAAGAGCCAGCTCCAGGCCAAACGAATGAGTCCCACTGACCTTCAGTTCGTGACTATTCCAGAGGATGAGAGTCTAGAAGCGCCGCCTTCCAAGCAGTCGAAGTTGGAGAGGGATGCTGCGTTAAAAAAGGAGCAAGTGAAGGCGTCTATTGCCAAATTCCTGGCCAATGACGAAATGCAGGGACTGATAAAGCGAATCGCCAGGGAACGGGTGCGCTGCAACTTTCTGCTGGCCACATATCACCTCCCGGACATGAACTTCTCCCTCAACACGCACATGGACACGCTCTGCTTCCAGTTTCGGGAGCGCATAAAACAGCGTAGGGGTAATGCTAATCCCTCTAAGGCAGTCTTAAGCATCGCAGCTGGTGCTGCTGCCTCCTCCACTGCAACCACATCGAAAGTGGCTGGCAAGAGCATCGTCAAGGCACGACAGGCCCAGTCCTAAATATGGTCGCTGGGATACAGAAATACTAACAGATTTTAAAAAATAAGCTAAGAACTTAGGTTTTTAATATAAAAGGTAAGAACTTATTGTACTATAACTTGTCAAATTGTAAATTATAATTTTGCTTTGCTTTTATAATGTTTGTAACAAATTTGAATATTATCACAGCTCATTAAATACAGACAACAGTATTATCTCTCTTCGTTCCCACAATTTATTCAATGATTTCTATACTACTGTTTAGGCAGAGTGTAGCTTTAAAATATTTGCCTTATAATTAATTAAACAGTTTCTTGGGATTGTTTATTTGCTTTGTGAAGGGAGTGTGCGCAAACTTTGCTTTGTTGTGATTGCTTGCGCTCTTGTGAAAACAGTCATTTGGCAGACTAGTTTCAACAGCCCGGCGTAGCCGTGATCGTCTAGTGGTTAGGACCCCACGTTGTGGCCGTGGTAACCCAGGTTCGAATCCTGGTCACGGCAATGTTGAAATAAACATTGTCACGGAGTCGGGTTTTCTTTTTTATTGTTTTTTCTTTATTAAGAACGAAATCTTTTTTTTTAATAAAAATATACCAACGGTCATAGTTAAATTTGTTTTAAATCCCTTGAATTTTGTATTTTCTTGTATCAAAATACAGCTTTGCAGCTAGAGCAAAAAGTGAATGTGCAAGGCAATCTCTTTTCTTGGTTTTGATAATTATTGCTGACCACTATTAAGGCGGGGCAGGCGGGTTTTTGGATCTGGTAATTCAACATCCGACGTAGCCGTGATCGTCTAGTGGTTAGGACCCCACGTTGTGGCCGTGGTAACCCAGGTTCGAATCCTGGTCACGGCAATGCTGCAATATGCATTGTCACGGAGTCGGATATCTTTTTTAAATTTATTTCTTTGTATGTTTATATATTTCTTTATAAAATGCTCCAACTTTTAAAGCTTTTTCAAACCTATATCTCATTGAATTCAGAGTCAAATAAGTTAGTTTAACATTTATTTTCTTTCACACTTTCTGGAACGGTTAAAATGGATTTTAATGAAACATCTAGTGCAGATTCAGATACAAAGGATACCCCTATTGGTAGCCATGAAAACAAATATCAAGCAGAGATATCTAAATTCTATGCAACCATTGCAACGGTTTCGAGAAACATGCGGAAGGATAACTGGATATATCTACAGCGGCATCCGGAGATACGCGCCATAATCCGGGTCATTACCTCGGAAGTTATCAATGCCAAAGCACCGAATATCCATCAATTTATAGCGGATCTATTTAAAGCCGACAACGAGAAGTACTTGATTGAAAAGGTAAATTCTTTGATGAAATTCCGTTAAGGAGCTAATTTTTAACTACTTTTTAGATAAACCATCAAATTAAGGCTGTCAACGAACAGATGAGAGAAGGAAGTTGGGCTAATGCCGATAATGGTATGACCTTCCCGCCCTCTCCTGAAAACTCTACAGAAAGTGATTCAAATTGTCCAGCAACAAAATTAAACATCGACACTCAGAAAGGGCACGAATTTGTCAGACCAGTGTGTCCAGAAAATTTTAAGCCCAGGTGTAAATAGTTCAAGTATTCCTTAATCATTAAACAAATTAAGTTTGGTTACTTTAAACAATTTTTTAAATATTTAGGTTTTTTTATACCCTTGCAGGTATTATCAGTCAGATGCTTGAAACGCAGTAAAGGAGTCATTTCCGACCCTATAAATCATATGTATTCTTGATCAGAATTAATACCCGAGTCGATTTAGTCATGTCTGGTAAAAAAAAATTTTTTTTAATGTATTAAAAAATTTGCCATCGTCAAAATTGTCAAAATTTGACAAAAAAATTTAATTTTCTAAATTTTAAAACTTGGTATGCAGATTTGTTAACCCTATAAAAACTAACATAAAAAAGCTTTCTGAATTAAAATTAATTCATTTTTGGCCTAGTTATGATTTTGAAAAACTGGTTAATCCAAAATTTTGAATATACAAATATAAATTTAATACCTATAAAGCACATATTTTACGTTTTCTTGGTGATATAGGAAGGCCAAGAGCCAACGATTGCCAAAAATAATACATGTATATATCGAATTACAATCAAAATCTTATTTAATAAAACTTTGATGGACAATTAATTTTATTTTAGATTGAGATTAATTCTTTTTTCGCTTAGTTATGGTCGTTTTACAGTCGAACCCATAATCCTATGGCTGCCTGCAAGGGTATAAAAACTTCGTCTTCTCGAAGTTAGCTTTCCTTCGTGTTAAAAAGCTGTAATTGGCCAACACTGGCCAAGCTGTATGACGAAAAAGTCTGGCAACACTGTGCAAAAGAGGAGCATAAAAGAATATAATTTAAGAGGAAAATAAATATTATTAAGTGTTGTGTAATTAAAATAATTCAATTATTTGTCCCAAGACAGCCAAATAAATGGTAGTACTCGTGGAGCGCCCGAAACAACAAATAAAAACGGCGAAAAATTCAGCAAAAAATTCCATATTGTCTGGTGAGTTAACTTCCCCTTTGCCCTTGCCTCACATCTCCCACATTCGCCTTTGGCCACCCCAACCGCTACTTTTGCGTTTTGTTGTGATCCGCTGCTTCGTACCAAAATAACAACAGCATCGAGCAAGTGTTTTTGTTTAAAACACAGGGCTGGCTGTGTTGCATGACCAATTCTGACATTTGATGCAACATGGCAGCACAACAACAAAACTTCAACAACAACATAAACACTGACAACAGCGCCGGCCGGCGAGGCGACAAAACGAAAACGAAAGCGAAACGTCATTCGTGTCGGGCGTTTACTTGGAAACGTTCAGCTTTTTACAGCGGTCTGAAGAAAAGTTCTTTGCAGCGGAGTTGTCCCATCGCAACGGCGTTTAAAATGCTTCCCCAAGACAGGAAAATTCTGAGGTGACAGCCCCACACCGACCTACACTTGTTGTCACGCCGAAACTACATGAATTTGTGTAACAATATCACCCACCTAAATTTGCCTTCCATTCGCAGGCAACATACTCGCCAAAACCAGAACCAGAATCCGAACGCGACAGCGGTCTCGCGGCGTTCCAGGTTTAACGGCGCCTATCAGCACACCAAGATGAACAGCAACTCGAAGGCGGACCCCATCTCGCTGAGCTTCCACGACTCCTGTCTGCGGATGTCGGACGTGCAGCTGCTGCACGGTCCCCACTGGCTGAACGACCAGATTCTGAGCTTCTACTACGAGTACCTGTCGCACGTGAAGTACAAGACGAACAATGACTTGCATTTCATTGCCCCGGAGGTGACGCAGTGCATGAAGTACATGGACGACCAGGAGCTGGAGCTGCTGCTCGGCCAGAGTCAGGCGACCAACAAGCCGTTTATCTTCTTTGCGCTGAACGACAACGAGAGCACCGAGGCCGGTGGCACCCACTGGTCGCTGCTTGTCTTCTCGCGTCCGGAGAAGACCTTCTATCACTTTGATTCCTACGGGAACAACAACACGAGTAATTCCGTGGAGCTGATGAACAAGATCAAGGAGCTGCTGGGCCAGCGTCAAGCCAAGTTCCGGCCAATGCGCTGTCTGCAGCAGGCAAACGGCTACGACTGCGGAATCCATGTCATCTGCATGACCGATCACATTGCCGACTACCTGAACAGGTACGAGATGATTGACGGGCTGCCGCCGCTGCACATTGACGCCGTGAAGGCTAAGCGCACGGAGCTGCTGAAACTGATCCTCTCTCTGGGCGGCAAGGGCTAGATTCCCGGCTTAAAAGCTTCTCTCTCCATCCAGCCATTAGTATTAAGCGACCAAATTACGGAATGTAACCCCACACGCTCTCTCTCCACCAAGTATCGGAAGTAAGAGCGGCGAAGATACCTGGAGACAAGTGAATATGATATCCTTGATATTGCTAATTATAGTTTGTTTTACTTCGTTCGCCAAGTAAGGATGTTTATTTGGAGAGCAGTGCCAGGCACACACAAAAAAGAAAACATCACTCAGCGACATTGGCACCCCAAGGAGGCGGTGCTTTTACATAACCTTAAGTTTGGTCTTGCAAATAAAGATTTGTTTACACCGAATGCGAGAGGCGCTTAGGACTCATATTTCTTTGTTTGTGGCGTCGCCACCGGATTTGGGATGAGACAGTAAACACGAGCGACGGTCATCGTCTTGGGTTGCAATTATTTATTATAAATGCACAACGGAAAGGGATCCGCTTGGATCTTTGATTAGTTTACGATTAAAAACACATACAAAATAGATAAATCCACATCGAAAATTGATATTACAACGAGGCACTGGAGTACATACAAGGAATACCTTTTATCGCTGGTCATCCGCCGCCTGGCGGACGTTTTGGGTGGGTGGGTTTTTGAAGGGGAGTGGAGGAGATTCCCTGACCACTATCTAACAGCTAGCTACGCTACATATGCTTGAGTCTGGCCTAACCTAGGGTCTGGCCCAGCCACCAAAGGCTCGTTCCAGCTCCTCGGCCACGGCCAAGCACAACCGATCCTCGTTAAAGTTAGCGATTACCTGGACTCCCAAAGGCAGACCTTCGCTGCCCAGTTTGCCCAGCGGCACAGCGGTAGCCGGAAATCCCAGCACGTTGACAATGCCGGTGTAAGCAAAGTTAATAGGACGTGTGATGGGCTCGTTGTGATACGGCGCCACTGTGGGATGCGTGGGATAGATGAGCACTCCGTTGTCACCCAGCAGTCGTTGGAGCTCCGCCCGAAGATCGTTCCTCTTGCGCACCAGGTGATCGTACTTGGGGGATCCGTGTTTGCACTGGGCACTATCCATAATTGCCGTAGACAGGCCGATGAACGTGTGCTTGGACGCGCCAAATAGCCACTTGAACAGCTCCAGGTACGTGTTGATGTCGCGCTCCAGGTTGCCCAGCTGGTACGCGAATCCATGGCCGCTGTCGTCCCGCATGTTTGCAAACCAAATAGCCGCCGACTGACGGAACTGGGGCAGCTGGATGCGTTCCACCTTTTGGCTGCCGAACTTCTCGCTCAGATGCTGGGCCACCCGCTTCATGGCCTGCGTTAGGAAAGGAAAACAGTCTATAGTTTCTGTTCATACAAAGAATTCAATTCAATTCATACCTGCTGCAAGTCAGGGTCCACGGCAGAGATCAGGCGGCCGCCGCCATCCGACTCCTGATAGAAGAACTTCAGCTTGGTGAGGTCAACATCCTTGTCCAGATTCAGTAAGGGCGCTTTGTCACCCGCCATAATTTTCAACATGGGGCGCAGATCCTCAGCGAAGCGCGACATGGGTCCCAAGCCGAGAAAGGTATTCTGTTCGTCACTGAATGGTGCCGGGAACTGACCCTTATTGGACACTACCAGCTTGCTGGGCTTGTGCCCAAAGATTCCGTTAAAGAACGCCGGCATGCGAATGGAACCGCCAATATCTGAGCCAAGACCAAAGGGAGATGCAGCCGCCGACTGGATGCAGCCCTCGCCGCCGCTAGAGCCGCCCACAATGCGATTCGTATCATAGGCGTTCCTCGTGCGTCCATGCACGGTGTTATTGCTTTCCCACCACATGCAAACTTCCGAAACGTTGGTGAGGGCGAAGGGAATGGCTCCGGCCTTGCGCATCAGGGCCATGGCCACGGCATCCTTGTCACCGCGTACATCGCGTCGTTCGTACAGTCCGGCCGTGTGCAGCATACCTGTGGATAAGTTATTAATTAATAAAATTTCTCAGTATCTGAAACCTTTGCCCACCCTTGACGGAAATGCAATCCTTGGTGGTGATGGGTACTCCCAGGAATGGTTTCAGCTCGGCTAACTCCTCAGCGCTGTACTTTCCCGATTTGATCAAGGCATCTGCCTCTGCTGCCTCCTTGAGAGCTTGGTCATAGCGTTCATCCACCACGCAGTTCAATATGGGATTAACCTCCTTAACGCGTCTTATGAAGGATTCTAGCACCTGGACGCTGCTCAACTGGAAAGAAAACATAATAATGTAATATAATAAAACAAAGATAACCATGTCCACTCACCTCCTGGCTGCGAATCTTCGTGGCCAGCGAAGAGGCGGACTCCAGCAGAATGGGATCTGTGATTGGAGGAACTCTCTCACCCTTGGGTCCATAGATCAGCCGAAAAATGAAGCGAATGAAGGTCTGCAGAATGCCAAAAATGTAGCCACCAATGGCCTGGGTCAGAGGAACGCTGCTTGCCATCTTTACAGAGCTAGAGGAATGTTACTACTGGGGGGAATTATATGTGGCTGAATGTCAGTGATGCCTTGTCGTCTGTCCCATGAGTTGGTGCTCTGGAAAATGCATATTAAATATTATCGTTAAATATGTACATATGTACATACATCCAAAATGTATATATATCTACAGAGAAAAGGCATAAATAAATGGCGTTGCTTTTGCAATTTCAACAGGTTTATCAGCGAGAACCTAACAAATATTTCCATAGCTCGGTGTGGATAATATATAATAAATATAAAGATTCAAGTAGCTCTACGAAATGGTTAGCAAAAAGTGTATGTTCCTGATTTTATGGTCGACAATTCATTTAGTTTATATAGCCATTAGCTTTATGAACCAAATGGTTGCTCAAAGAAAAAGTGGAATTTTTGTATTTGGAAATACTTTCCACTACATAAACATTAAATAATCTTTGAATCTAGAGTGAATTGCAGGGTATTATATTATAGGGTTAGCGTGCCTGTCATTCGGGGCAAGGGAAATCGAATTGCTCGTGTCTGGGTCGAGATATAACTTAATAGCTCAGCCACTTAATTGGGGTGTCCCAGATAGGCCATGTCCACACCTGTGGCAGTTGATGACTCATAATATAAATGACTCATAATCCAAAACAACCTGAATACTTTCAGTACATTTGAAAAATATTTCCAAAATGAAAAACAAAGTGCCTAAAAATGCAGTAAAATAACAACTGGTAGCGTTGATATTAAAATAAGAACTCGGGCCAAATCATTTCTCTCTGCATCTCTCTTTTAAAAATCTAAAGAAAACTTTGGCCCGTTCATTCTCTTGGAATATATATTGTTTAAACAAACGATTCTAGTGTTTGGCTTGTAAACAATTCGCTATATGCAAAAACAAACAGCGGAAACTTTCAAGTTGGCGAGAAATTCAGACAGAGAAAGAGGTTCGGTTCATATCAAATATTGGATCTAATGTCTAGGGCCATATGTTCACTGGAACTTGATTTTGTGTTATCTTATCGGGAGAGTGTGTGTTGTTCAGACAGCTAATTCGCTGCTTAAATAGGGGAAAGATACTGGCACAAAGAGTCTGATGGGAGTGAGCGTGAATCCCCCATGAACTTCGACGAACTCCAGCCAAAGGCCGAGGCCATAAACCCACTAATATGTATATCGACATCGAAACTAACACCTCCTCCCCAACTAGATTTATTGTTCTCTCAACAAATAATAGGGAATAATGATAAAGGCCTCAAGTGAGTCACAGATCGCGGCTGGCTTTTTTGTTTACTCCGCCCGACGTTGACGATAAAAGTGGCAATAACTTAACCATTATGGCACAATCCGAGTGCTGCTCTGTACGTGATTAGCAACAATTCAAAGTTCTAATAATTGCTTATCGCTTTGTTTGAAGTTCTAGTGGGACTCTTATCGCAACATGTTGCTTATCAGCGGCGCAGTGTTTCGCAACATATCAGAGTTCGTCTCTGGGTTGCTAATTGAATTGCCAGACATTCAAATGGGGAGAGTGTGCACTACAATCAAGTTTTGCAAAGGGGAGATTTTTAAGGGGTTCAAAAGGCTAGATATCTACCAAATTTGTCTATTTTAAACTATTATTTGCGAAATACAAAAGGAAGGAATAAGTATTTACTCTAGAAAACAGCTTTGTTAAGATAATTCAAAATACAGAAATAGAATAATAATGATGAACTTGAGACTTGTTTTTGCTATAATTCCCCTCCATCACTAGGCTCGGTTAAAGGTCAATGGGTGGCAGTGATGCGAAACGATAATCGCGCCGTAATCAGGGCTTTAAGTGGGCAATCCGATAAGATAACCCATAAATACTTGTCTCATTTTTAGGCTATTTTTGCCAAACAAATACTATTTCCCTGTAATTTACGTGACCTGTTGCTTCCAAGTGGATCCCTCTAAAATGGAAACAGCAATCCAACTTAATTGCATGTCGTTTCTAATTAGAAACCAAAGGGGCTGCGTGTATCTATTGATTTCCAACTAGACCCATTGCTGCATGAGTATGTGTGATATACACAAATAAAGTGGAAAAGCAAACGCCACGACCGGCAGCGAATATGCTGAGTGGGGATGTCAGGAGGAGGGTGGGCGGAGGCGAGCTATCCCCGGGCGTGTGCCAGTGACATCATTTCTTCTTAGTGGCTGGATAACCGCCATATCTAGCATATGCTTTGTTTGGATTACTTATTCATCAAGTGTCATTTTGCACTTGCTGTGTGTGTGTGTGTGTGTGTGTGAGTGTCTGTGCTTGCTTGGGCGCGCGCGAAAATAAAAGAACGCCCTGCGACCGACGTCACAAAGAGGACAAAAACAATGAAAACTCTTCGATGTCAATTAAATCTCATAACCGATGTGATACCCAACACAGGAATTATTCGATTCCATTGCATAAGGACAAGGCGAAAACTGCACTTTGTGCAAGCTCTTCAAAAAACCGGTCGCTTCACAGCAGTTACTAGTTCTCGCGTATGCACTTAAAAAACACAATTGCGCACCGCTGCCGTGAAATTGCACAAAAGTCCAAAATAAACAGATATACACACCAAACTCGAGAACCGCACAACAAAAACACAATGCACCGCTGAAACCGTGTTGTTGATCAGATGGTTTAAAAAACTTTGTCGGCTCCCACTATCTTTCGGTTGCGATGTGACCGGGTTTTAGGGTATTCATCAAAAATCCATAAGCTATGGTCATACCACGGGGTCAGCTGTGTTTGTTTACAACTCCAATAAAGCGTAAACTTGCAAGCATATTAATATAATGCAAAATGGTCGAATTATTTATTAATTTACTTGAATTTTGAAGTTAAAAAGAAGTTGAGATGAGCGAATGAAAAACTAGAGCTGAAAAACATTTTATCTATTCAAGTTATCGATGTATCCATACATCGATTTAGGAAAAGCATCGATTGCAGTATCGATAAGAAAATCGTGACAGGCTATGTGTGGCAACTCTAGCCCCGCAACAATTCGAGTTTGACGCCGATCTCTGACAATGTAATTTCGTGATATTTTCCGACCATAAGCGAAACGTGAAACTAGTGTAGAAGTTGGTGATAGCAGTACTCGCCATGAGCATCAAGAGCCCGGCCCTGCAGTTGGCCGAGCCACAGCTGGCCAAGCTAACGAGTGAGTCGGAGGAGATCAGGATGCGCGCCCTCGACCAGGTAGAGACGCGCTTCATCCGCTGCTTGCAGCTGGGCGAGACCATTGACTTCAAGCCGCTTCTGTTGATGAAGCAACTCATCCGCTGGTTCGGACACAAACCACATCTCGCCGCGGACCGTGTCCTGGCCATTATGTTGGAGCTGTTGCGCTCCGAGTATGGCAGCGTGGTGGTGCGCAAGATTACCTACGAGCGACTCTCGACGGAGCTGGGTAAGGTGCGGCGCATCCTGCGTCCGCTGGAGTCCAAGCGAGTCACCGATCTGCTGGACGACCTGCAGTATTTGCTACTCCAGAAGTACAACATACGCTTGGAGACGCCGTCCGGGTCTTCGGTTAGTTCTGTTAATGTAACCACCGAGGGAACAGAGTCGGTGACCAGCAGCATCAGCATTCTAAAGGCCACCCTCAAGCCGGATGATTACGAGCCCGCTTGGACGCAGCCCTGTCCGGAGGATTTGGCTGGCTTGCAGGGCATGTTGGATATGCCGCGAAACGGGGCGACTGACGTCATTGAGGTGCAGGTGCTCCTTACCAATTTGATAATAAGGATGGGCGACTACCCGGCGGAGTACCTTCTCCAGCCGCCGTACACTTTCCTGATCTTAGTTCAGCTTCAGCAGAGACGCGACGGTTGTCTGCTGCATGTGAACCGGGCAATCATAGCGTACCTGAAACAACTCCAACGCCGTATCGAGGATCGCAACACTACCATGTGTTACGCGACTAGCCTGGATGCTCCTGACTCACAGACTAGGCAGGTGAAAGTGGAAAGCGCCCTAGCGTTGGTGATGACCAACTGCCTCGACCTAGTTATGAAGTGCTCCACAAACGACAAATGGCATCTCCTTGAGCTTGTCAAGGAGTCCGTCAAGACATATGAAATACTCAAGGTCGGTGTAGCGCCCTGTGTGACCACTCAGCTCGGGGGCCTTGTCAAGAAGATGTACAACTTTTGCAGCAGCCAGACGGGCACTAACTTAAACGAACTGGTCATCTCTCTGATGATTCCCCGGCTGCAGTCGCTGATTTTCAATGAACAACTGATGGAGGTAATGCTCGTGAATATCAACTATGAAAAGAACTTGAATCGCGATGATGCAAACGCACTCATACAGCAAATTCTCATGGACAGCTGCTTCGTAAATTTACCCGGTCGCATGTGCTCGCTAGGCGACCTGAGGGGCCTTGTCCTTGAGAGTTCGAAGGATGATGATAACTTGATCCAGCTAAAGATTGCCTATATGAAAGCGCTGGATCAACTCCAGCCGAAGACCAAGGCAAAGGCACAGTTGCTGATGGAATCGAAGGAGGTGTGCATGGTGGTCAACCAGCTAGGCAGTAAGAAACTGCTGAGGCAGCTTTTTGACGCAGTCGTGGCGTGCACGTCGCTATATCGTGAGAATCCTAAGTTAAGGACACAGGCGAACGAGCTGCTTTGCAACTTGGTGGACTTGCCCGACAAGGAGCTGCGTTGGTTTGCATACAGCCTGATGCGCAAGCCCGTAATGAATCACTTTCATGCGTTTATGAACAAGACCGTCTACATGACGGGCTGCAATAATCAAGAGCTAGTGCGCCAGAACATCCTCGGATTGCCGTTGACCACCGAGTTTCTTCGGAAGGTGATACTCCAGAGTTGGGACACGACAGCGCCGGATAATGTCAGGCAGTGGTGCCTCGATTACTTCATACTGCTTTTCAAGCTGAACTCCTTCCTGGCAAATAAGGACCTCAAGAATGTTTTGACCATGCTTATTCCCCTTCTGCCGCTGCTGATTTGCCGATCCATCTCCGACACTCAACTGGACAACGTCATCTGGTCGCTGTGGAAGCCGAACGCTTGCATAATAGATCCGCCTTTGATGATGCGGGTCTATGTCTGTTACCTCTTTCATCCGAACTCTGACATTAGGCAGATTGGTGCCATGCCGATTAACTGCATCTTGCAGTCCATGGATAAAGTGTCAAAGTCCCGGGACATCAGCGATGAGTTGATATCCAAGTGGGAGGACCCTGACATTTGCATTATAGAGCCGGCGGTGAATTACAAAGACATCTTCGCGGAGCCCACTAACGAAGCCTTTCAGGGACAGCGCAGCCTGGATGCACTGATCCGGTTGCTAGAGACAAGAGATCTGCGGCCCTCCATCAGAAAGTCCTCAATGACTCAGCTAAATGTGCTGCTCCGAAATTGGAAGGCCTGCGAGTGCTTTAACTCGGCTGAAGGCCTCAGCATGATTGTTTATTCCCTACCAAATGGTTTGGAGTTTTATTCCGGTGATCCCGCTGATATCCTTGTGCCAGCCGTGAGTATTCTAATGAAGTTAATGCTACAAAATCCGGACTATCGGGTAAAGGTCGCCCACACGCCTGACGTGTACATAAACCTGCTCCGCACTATTCTGCTGCTACCCCACGAGCGGGAGTTGCGTCAAAATGCCAGCATATGCCTCTTCCTGATGCTCTTCCATGACTCCATCGTCGCCACCGAGGACAAGCTGGTGATAAACATACCGCTAGGTGGCCTAATTCTGCCAGTCACTTATGAGGTTCACATACCAGAGCCAGCCAGCGCAGTTATCGACGGAGTCAAACTTCAGCAGCACCTGGATAAGACCTTTTTTGGGACGAATGAGGCAAGCTCTGCCCAGCATTGGCGCCTGTTTTTGTATAAGTACATTTGCAAGGTGATGAAATTCGAGTCCATGCAGGTCGTGGACATCCGGAACGAGCTCAAGATAAATCTGTGTGACATGGCCCTAATGCAGGCATCGGAAGCGGAAATTCAGCTACGCAGTCAGTTGGTGGCTGCGAGTAACTGCAGCAGCCACGACGCCCTCCAGCAGAAACTCGATATCATTCAGCTGTTCCTCGTCTATCTGCGCAGCTCTATTTTCGAATCGGACGGTAAGAGTCTGTGGAAGGTGATCCACAAATACATTCGCTCGGCACCGGCCAACGATGCGGATTGTAGGCTCTACATGTCACTCCTGGAACTGTGCCTCAGCTGCCTGCGCTTTTCCGTGCCTCATGTGATCAATGGGCTGAGCGAAGCCCTTGAAACGGACCCAAACCACAGCTTCCTTTTGCTACTGCAGGATAGGACCATATCGCTGGACGTCCTGTATCTAATAGGTCAGTGTCTGGAGCAACTGCTCGCCGCCGAGGACTGCGAGATTCAGATGAAATGGCATGGCAAGCTCTTTTTTCAACTGAGTGCGGTGGCCAGGAAGCATTTCGAGATCCGGCAGCTTCAGCATGTGCGCTGTATACTGGGAATTCTGCGGCGATTGAGCGAGCGTGAGCTGATTCTTACCGGTCTCCAGGTAATGGTGAGTACTCCAATCAAGTTTATCGATTTCTCTAGGAAACTTATGTACATTTTATGATTTCAGCACTATTGCCAGCACTTTATGCAGCTGTCCAGCGATCTAAGAACCTCAACGCATACAGGAGCCCAGTGGCAGCGGGACTGCCTACACATCATTTGCGAGCTCCACTTGCGCCAAAGCTCTGGAAAGACGAACCCCATGTGCGAGGCGGGCGCCACCAACAAGGTGCTACGTTATCTGCTGGGCCTGTCCGGGCACACCGATTGCGAGGTGCGAGCCCTTTCCTGGGTCCTGATGGCCGACTGGATCATCTGTTGCGATGTGAAGATTGAGAACATTCTGCCCGGCCTGAACTTTCTGCCTGGCGGACTGCCGGCCTGCTGCCTGACCACGATGTTGGACGTTCATGAAGTAATGCTGGTCAGAGTGCTGGCTGGCAATGTATTTATCCTGCTGATGCCGCTGGTCGGAGCCGAGGGCTGCGTCGATCTGCTGCGGAACCACACCTTCCTGAAGGATGCCTCCAGGGCTCTTAGGACGCTGCATGTGTCTAACCATTTGGAAAAACAGTCAGTGGGGGAGCAGCATTCGTGTGAGATAATCAGCTGCTATGTGTCCATCTGCGTTACCATGGTTGGACTCGATCCGGAGTGGTGCGGCGCCACGCTGTGCCAGCACAGTTTCTTGACTGGCCTCAGTGATGTGATAAAGATGGCGGCGTTAAGACCGTCATCGACTGCCTTCTTTGAACTGTGTGCCGAACATATCTGCGAGCTGTACGCGCTTTGCTATGAGAATAACTTTGAGTTTCTCCAGAGGACCATCTGCCGTGACACCGTTTTCTTGGAGAATTTCCTTTCACTAATGACCCATGTGATGGATCTGGAATTCCACGAGCGCCTGCTGAGTCAGCTATTTAAGCTGCTCTTGGTGTTCTGCAAGGACTCGAATGCCTTTTCCTTCCTGTGCGAGGATCTAAAGGAAAGGCCATCCTTCTTTATAGACTTCTTCTTGATCGGATTGCATCAGTCGTCCAAGGGAACCGACCTCAAGCGATACACGCTCAAGTGTTTGGCACTGATCTTCATAAAGAAGCAGAGTGCTCCCTTGGTGCAGCAGTTGGAGCAATATGTTGTGCCCCTGTCGCCAAGTTGTGACCCAGCCAAACATGCTGAGCACTGCACGACAAACTCCAAGGAACCAGCTGAGATTAATATCAAAGCCATTGCCTTCATCTACCGCGTCCTGGAGCAACTCTTCATCCGCTACTATGGCGCTAGGACTTTCACTTTTCTGCAAGCCCTCGACCCGGACCACGTTCAGGTATGCGAGACTTTCGGTGTGTTTCTGAAATACTCAAATGAGGCTGCTTCTGCAGCCGACGAGGTGCACTTGTTGGATCGGATACTTATCATCTTGGACACATTTCTAAATGACGAAAAAATAGGCAATGCCTCTAGCTATGTAAGGCGTGTGGGCGCTCATAGATCCCAGGAAATCATTGGAAATCTGTTGGGGCTCTTTAAGATGTTGTCGCTATGGTATAGCGCTCACCATTCTGTGATCAAGGAGCCCACGTCTGCGGGCACAATGGTTAACATATTAGTCCGTCTTTGGCCGTGGCTATCGCATTCGGCGGAGCTGAAGCAACTTGTCGTCCAGGTGGTCATGTTCTTCACCGAGCACTCCTTTGAGATGTGCAGACATACTTCTCTGGTCCTGTCTGGGCAATCACATTCCCTCCTCCAGTTAATGTCGCGCGTGGCTGACTTTGAGACCACCAGAAAGGAGCCCAGCGCAGGGACATTTGGCGAGACAGCATGCATAATCCCAGCCTTGAGGGTCATGGGCAATTGCTGCTCCTGCTCCGAAGGCCGTCAGAGCCTATCTAAGATGCACGTGCTAGACATGTTCGATACGATCCTGCCCGCTAATCCGGCAGGCAACAAGGTGCGGCCCCAGGTTGTGCACGCTTGGCTAGCCTTCTGGGAAGTCTACTCCCGCTACGATGTAGGCGCCAAGGCCTGTCACCTGCGCTCCCTAATTAGCATTATCCGACGTAAGTCGCCACTGGACGAGCACCGGATTCTGAGTCTTCGTATACTCCGTAACATGTGTTTCTTTAACATCAACCGCACCGTGCTCACAGACATGACTGAGTTCACAAATATGCTGCGCGATATTATCAACCAACTGGTTTTGCAGAAAGATGCGTCCAATGGAAAGGGCTTGATCTCATTCGAGGAGCACCGCTTGGCGACACTGATGCTGTACAGGCTCTTCGGCTTCGGGGCTAAGTACAAGGCCATGCTGCGCGGCACCAAACTAATGCGAGCGCTGAGCCACCTCAAGGACCAGTTGGCAGGCATGAAGACTGAGAATCCTGATCGATTCTCAGACATTCCCCATGCGCCAGAGCTCTTCGAGTTGCTGACTAATCTCTTTGAGGCAGTGCAAGCGTAGGCAACAAAGAAAGCCACCAACACAATCTGAAAGAGTACAAAGAAAAGGAGTAGTTTATTTATAATGAAGTTATTGTTTTTATGTTTTTTAATATGTACTTCTTGTAATGGACATGTTTTTGAAATATCTTTAATACCTTATTTGAGCGAAATCTAAAAGAACTAATTATGTCATTGAAAGACGAATAAATAATTTAACATGAAGTACATTTTAGTGATTTAATTGCATCCATTTTCGAAACTGTAAAACTTCTGCTAGAAGTCCATCATTAATAATAAGTATATGGCAAATTTATCCATTTGTGGTTTAATAAGATGTGGCACTGAAGTAGCCCCAGATGTATGTATACCCAGCAACCGCAACTTGGATATAAAGATAACACTGTCTACACTCGAGCCGTGGTAAACATGCGTGTTGGAAACCATTTCTTAAACGTTTTTAAAATGTTGTAAAGATAGGAGTCCATAAATCTGCCATTATTTAGATACCAAATAGGCAAAACTTCACCTGGGACTGGGGAAGCAACTACAAAAGGTAGGGGTTTTGCCACACTCTCCTCGTTAGTATCGAGCGGTATATTGCATGTTCAAAGCGATTTATCTTTATGGGATTCAAAGTGCGAATCAGTGCCGATAATATCCGTCGAGCCTCAACCTCGGGACATTCAAGGCAATGGATAGATTCAGTGCAGATCCGACTGGCCAAAGGAACTGTTCGACTTTGTGACCGCTGAAATCAAAAAAAGAAATCATAGCTATGAAGTCGGAGGACGCGAATGTAAGTTTTGATTTCTTGAATCAGTTTCCAGTAATATTAAGCCATAAACTTATTTTCAGGGTTCCGCCGAAAGTCAGTCGGACTTGGCTCTAATCAACATCCTATCGCAACGAAAGCACACAAGGCTGCGACTGCCCTGGTACTACGCGCCATCCTTCCTGCTCCTTTGGGTGGCCCTGTTCTATGCGGTTGTGTATCCTCTGTACCATCGTCTGCCGGATAGTGTCCTTATCGCAGATGAGACACGGAAGCCCGGTGAATTTGTGGCCGAGAGGGCACAGAGACTGCTTTACAAGTACGATCGTATAGGTCCCAAAGTGGTGGGCAGCGTGGCGAATGAGGTGACAACGGTGGCCTTTCTCTTGGAGGAAGTGGAAAATATTCGGTCAGCGATGCGTAGTGATCTCTATGAGCTGGAAGTGAATGTGCAACAGCCCTCGGGAGCGTATATGCACTGGCAAATGGTGAACATGTACCAGGGTGTTCAAAATGTGGTCGTAAAAATTAGCAACAAGAAATCGAATAGTTCTTCCTACCTCTTGGTCAACAGTCACTTTGATTCCAAACCCAGTAGTCCTGGTAAGTGAACTTATCTGATCTATTTTGGCAGTTTGGTAATGGCATTTCTTAGGATCCGGCGATGATGGCACAATGGTGGTGGTTATGCTGGAGGTCTTGCGTCAAATTTCCATCTCGGATACAGCCTTTGAGCATCCCATAGTCTTTCTCTTTAATGGAGCCGAGGAGAATCCCCTGGAGGCCTCGCATGGCTTTATCACTGCCCACGAATGGGCGAAGAACTGCAAGTAAGCAGTGTCTTTCCACTAATTAAAACATAAATATAACATAAATTTACCCCATAGAGCTCTTATAAATCTAGAGGTGGCTGGCAGTGGAGGACGTGATTTGCTATTCCAGAGTGGACCAAATAATCCCTGGCTCATAAAGGTATGACACATCCCTAGGTAATTTAAAACATATGATAAATTCCATAGCCCATCCCACTTTATAGAGCTCGCGCAGTGTTTTTTTGTTTATCGAAACTTGATTCCTTAATTGGGGCAATTTAATTGTAGAGTGTTTACTTTACGATATCGACGCTTCCAAGAGTCGTAAAATAATCTTTATGGATATACATATACAAATCTTAACACAACATTTGGTAACCGGAAACATTGGTCGAATTCGGGGACATTCCCAGCTCGTAGACCTCGTGCAGAGGGTATTTGTTTATTGGTATTTGATTCCTTTATGGCGGCAATTTGATAATGGAAGTTTACTTTATGATTTCCAGGAGACATCAAATGTTTTATAATGGATTTATAATTTTTTTTTAGTATTACTATCAAAATGCCGAGCATCCGTTTGCCACCACAATGGCCGAGGAGATATTCCAGTCTGGCATTCTGCCTTCAGATACGGACTTTCGCATCTTTCGGGACTACGGCCAGCTGCCGGGTAAGTTGCCAGCAGTTGCCTTGTACTCTATACTAAAATCGTACTTTTATAGGTCTTGATATAGCTCAAATCAGCAATGGCTATGTGTACCACACCATTTTCGATAATGTCCAGAATGTGCCCATAGGCTCCCTTCAAAATACGGGTGAAAATGCTTTATCTCTGGTGCGGGCTTTTGCCAATGCCAGTGAAATGTACAATCCAGAGGTGAGAAAAATATATAGTCTAAACAAATATAACTAAGATATATTTGTGTTACAGGATCACAGCGAAGGACATGCAGTGTTTTTCGATTTTCTGGGACTATTCTTCGTGTACTATACCGAGACCACTGGCATTATCCTGAACTGCTGCATCGCAGTGATCAGCTTGGTTTTGGTGGGCTGTTCCCTGCTCAGAATGGCCCGCGAATCGGAGGCGTCTCTGTGCCAAGTCTCGATATGGTTCTCTATCATCCTGGGACTTCATGTTCTGGGAATGATTCTTAGTTTGGGACTGCCACTGCTGATGGCCGTTCTCTACGATGCCGGCAATCGTTCCATGACGTATTTTAGCAATCACTGGTTAGTGATTGGCCTGTTCGTCATTCCTGCGATTATTGGACAGGTTCTGCCACTGACCCTCTACTATACACTGAAACCCAATGTGAGTTTTCTTGAAATTGATTAATACTTTGTACAAAGAGCTAAAGGGTTCACTTACCACAGGACAAGATCAGCCATCCCAATCATCTACACATGAGCCTCCACGCTCACTGCGTTCTGCTGGCCATAATTGCCATAATCCTGACTTCTGTAAGCCTTAGGACTCCCTATCTGTGCATGATGTCCTTGCTCTTTTACTCGGCAGCTTTGCTGATTAACCTATTGAGTACGCTGCACGATCGCGGTATGTTCTAAAATAAGTTCAACATGTTGATTGAATCTAATTCAATATTTACTTGCAGGCTACTTCTGGGTACTGATGGTGCAGATCCTTCAACTGATGCCGTTCCTTTATTTTAGCTACCTCTTCTACACCTTCCTTCTGGTATTCTTTCCCATGCTGGGACGCTTTGGCCACGGCACTAATCCAGATCTTTTAGTTGCCCTGCTGTGCGCTATGGGTTGCTTCTTTGCCCTGGGATTTGTGGTAAGTCAGAGAGCTTTTAGTCCATATCGAAACCTAGCTAATCTCGTACTTATAGGCTCCCCTGATAAACATGTTCCGCTGGCCCAAATTGGCTTTGCTCGGATTGGGGGTTGTTACCTTTATATTCTGCATGATCTCGGTCTCCGATGTGGGCTTTCCCTATCGCGCTAAGACCAGCGTAATGCGGATTCACTTTCTGGTGGGTTTAACACTTCCAAAGATAAATTAACTCTTGGTAATTAATCGATCAATCTTTCAGCATGTGCGTCGCATCTTCTATGAGTACGATGGCTCGGTGAGTCTGAGCGATTCGGGTTACTACTTTGACTTCCAGGATCGTCGGCTCTACCGTCCCCTGGAGGACACCAATTTGAATCTGACTGGCCTAGTCAGCACATCTTCAGACTGCGATAAGTACTTGATGTGTGGTGTCCCCTGCTTTAATCACCGTTGGTGCAAGACTCGGAGCTCCAGTCACTGGCTGCCGCGTGAGCAGGAAGTGGCTATACCAGGAGCCACTTCACTGAGGCTACTTAGCAAGACCCTGCTGGAGACGCCCAAGCTGGCACGCTTTGAATTCGAGATCTCGGGTCCACCGCACATGAGCTTGTATATTCAGCCCATGGAAGGAGTTGAGGTGGATGACTGGTCCTTCATTCGGAATATGTTGGATGAGCCTGAGACCTACTCGGCGCCTTATCAAATATTCTTTGCCTATGGAAAGGATAACTCTCCTTTGAAGTTTCACATAGATTTTAAGGTGAGTTCAAAAATAGTATGTTTATAGTTTCTGGTATAATTTAATTTCTTGTAGAAATCTTCTGGAGACTTCAACACTCCCACGTTCCAGCTCGGATTCGCTGCCAGCTTTGTGAGCTACGATTACGAAAGGGATGCAGCTGGATTGAAGTTTATATCCGATTTTCCCGACTTTGCTCACGTCATGGAATGGCCGACGTTATATGAACGTTATATATTTTAGGTATACTTTCTTATGGTGGTTCTCATTTTAGTTACTTTATTTGTTGCCATACGAATTAATTAATCAAGTGTGTAAGTACTGCCTGTGGAGCGATTAGAGATCGGCGATTAGATCCCGAACTGACCTGCAAGCGGATTTGAAACTGTAAATTAAATCTGCGCTATCACAGACTAATTAGCTTCTTCGTCTAGTTTGTTGTTGGCACATTTCAAGGCTCTCCTCGCCTTATCTTTGTGGGTTGAAGTGGACCGACGGGATCTGCAGCCGTCGGAACACAAAGATTCAGTTGCGTGGCGGACAAACCTCAGAAAGGTTCTCTACTTGGGGAATATTATGGAGCTACCGGCCAATGGCGGCGATAAAGCGAGTACTTTTATATATAAACATATCTCCCGAATATTAGTCACTGTGCAATTCAGGAGGGCTACTCGGATACCGTTCTCTTTAATGTATTGGTGAAGCAGAAGGCGCTGAGGAGGCGTCTGCCTTGGTATTATGCGCCATCCTTCCTGCTCCTCTGGGCGGTGCTATTTTACGCCGTGGTTCTACCGCTTTTCTACAAATTACCCGACCGCGTAACCCTGGCCGACGAGCCAGTGAGACCCGGTGAATTCGTGGCCGAGAGAGCGCAGAAAGCACTCCAAGAATTCGATCGTATCGGACCTAAAGTGGTGGGGAGCATGGCCAATGAAGTCATAGCCGTTGAATTTCTCTTAAGCGAGGTGGAAAAGATACGACGGGAAATGCGCAACGATCTCTTTGACTTGGAGGTGGATGTTCAGCGGCCAAGCGGCTCCTATGTCGTGGGAACCATGACCAGTATTTACCAGGGCATCCAGAACGTTGTTGTCAAGCTGGCTAGTAGGAGTTCCAACAGCTCATCCTACATGCTGGTCAATAGCCACTTTGACACTAAGCCAGGCAGTCCAGGAAAACGAATTCCGAAATCTAAACTCACACCCCAAGGCTAATAGGTTTTTATGAGTAGGTGCTGGTGATGACGGGACCATGGTCGTGGTTATGCTAGAGGTTCTCCGTCAAATGGCCATATCTGGAACGAACTTTAGGCATCCCTTAGTCTTTTTATTCAACGGAGCGGAGGAGAATCCCCTACAGGCCTCCCATGGGTTCATTACCCAGCATCAATGGGCCACCAACTGCAAGTTTTTATTAAATCCAACTTGTGGTTTTAGTTTAATAATATTTCTTGCAGGGCAGTTATTAACCTGGAAGTGGGTGGCAGTGGAGGACGAGACATACTCTTCCAAAGTGGTCCGAATAATCCTTGGCTGGTAAAGGTATGTAGAACCTATATTTTAAAAGGAATACGGTATACTTTATATATCACTTTAAGTACTATAAAAAACACTCGAAGCATCCGTTTGCCTCAACTTTGGCGGAGGAAATCTTTCAATTTGGCATATTGCCCTCCGATACGGATTTTCGCATTTTTAGGGACTACGGAAATATTCCTGGTAAGGTTATATTAGCTGGTTAATGGGAATATATAATTGAATCGTTTTTTTAAAGGTCTTGACATTGCACAATTCAGCAATGGTTATGTTTACCACACAGCCTTTGACTCCTTCGATGTGGTGCCAGGACGCTCTGTTCAGAACACAGGCGAAAATGTTCTCTCACTGGTCAGAGCCTTTTCCAACGCCCCTGAATTGGATAATCCTGAGGTGGCTTTTAGGGTATAAAATGAAAATAAGATAATAATTGGTCTATATTCCAGAACCATACCGAAGGACATGCGGTGTTCTTTGACTTCCTAGGACTTTTCTTTGTGACCTATACGGAAAAAACTGGCATCATCTTGAACTACTGCCTGGCTGTGCTCAGTCTTCTTTTGGTTGGTTGTTCCATTTGGAGAATGTCAAGTCAGTCAGAGAATTCTATAGGAAGGACATTGACATGGTTTGCCGTCCTCCTGGGACTGCATTTGATTGGATGTATTCTCTGCATCGGCCTGCCCCTGCTGATGAGTGTGTTATATGATGCTGGCGATCGAACCATGACCTATTACAGCAGCAACTGGTTGGTCATTGGTTTATATATTTGCCCGGCAATCATTGGTCTGGTGCTGCCTTCGACATTATTTTATTCATTGTGAGTTGTATTATATGGTTATATTCACTTTAATTTTAATTCTTGGTTTTCAATTTATTTCAGGAGAAGTTGAGCCATTCTTACCAGATCTACATGGGTTTGCATGCCCACTGCGTTGTCCTGGCAGTTCTTTCTATGATCTTGACGGGGATAGGACTGCGTATTCCTTATATGTGCATGATATCCTTGTTTTTATATGCGATCTCACTGCTGATTAATCTTCTAAGTACCTTACATGATAGAGGTAGGTAAAAATCATGGTAATTATATCCTTTCAGGGTATTTTATAATTTCTTGATCAGAATCAACAGCTGATTCGATTAAACCATGTCTGATGGAAAAATACATTTTCAACATTTTTTCGAAATTTGAAAATTTTATAAGGGGTTACATCGTTAAAATTTTCCAAAATTGGTAAAAAATTTAATTCTTTAAATGTTTAAACTGGGTATGAAGATTTAAAAATCTAATAAAAACTAGAAAAAAAAGCTTTCCGAATTGAAATTAATGATTTTTTGACTTATTTATGCATTTTTTAAACTTTGGTTTTTTATAAATAATGGCATTTGAAGCTGGCTAAGATCGATTTCCGATTCGATCTTATAATTGACTCGCCAAACTTACTTTTTAACTGAAACTACTTATTTTTATACATTTATATGTTATACTCCCTTAAGACACACATTGCGTATACTTAATTTAGGGGTTTTCACATTAAGTATACGCCATGTATGCCAGATTTGTCTTAAATCGAAGTTTTTTTCTTTTTTGTTTTAAACAAATTTCTTTCCTGTTTTAGGTTACCATTGGGCATTGACAGTGCAGATAATCCAGCTTTTTCAGTTTGTGTACTTTTGCTATCTGTTCTACATATTTCTTGTGATATTCTTTCCTGCTATGGGAAGAAATCGTGACTCATCCAATCCAGACATGCTTATAGCCCTGATATGTGCCATGGGAACATTCTTCGCATTAGGTTTTGTGGTAATATTAAAGATATTCTTATAATAAATTACCTAATTATGGAAGTATTACAGGTTCCTTTGATAAATATGTTCCGCTGGTCCACACTTTTATTGATTGGTCTCGGCGTGGTGACCTTCACCTTTTGCATGATCTCTATATCGGAAGTGGGATTTCCCTATCGTCCCAAGACAAGTGTGATGCGGGTGAACTTTCTGGTACGTTTATATTAATTTCCCTTTAAAAATCGAATTAAATACTTTATCTTTTCACAGCAAACTCGTCGCATCTTCTACGAATTCGATGGCACCACCAGTATCGACGATTCTGGCTACTACTTTGACTTACAGGACAGGCGTGCTATGCGTCCGCTCAAGGATTATCCCGTAAATCTAACAGGATTGAGTAAAATAGATCCCCCTTGTAATGACTATGTGATGTGTGGCATGCCGTGCTTCTGGAGTAGCTGGTGTAGGTCCCTCGGCAGTGCAGCTTGGTTGCCTCGGGAGCAGCCAGTAGAAGTACCGGGCACATTGAACCTAACCCTTCTGCGTACAAGTGTACTGGAGTCCGGAAGAGTCAAGAGATACGAGTTCATACTCTCTGGGCCACCGCACATGGGTCTGTATATAAGGCCTTTAAATGGAGCTGCAGTTAAGGACTGGTCCTTTATAAGGACTATGCTGGATAGGCCGGAGAAGTACTCGGCGCCCTATCAGATATACTTCTCTTATGGCTTGGATAAATCACCATTTACGTTTCATATTGATTTTACAGTGAGTTTCACATTAGCTTATTTATGTTTATGGTTATTTCTGATAAACATTTAGCTTACAGAAATCCAATGGAAACTTCGAAGAACCCATCCTTGAGCTTGGAGCTGTGGGACACTTTGTTAACCAGGATTTTATGCGGGATGAGACTACGCTGAAGTTCATCGAGAGTCTGCCGGACTTTGTTTACACCATGGAATGGCCCTCTATCTTTATGCGATATATTTTCTAGGATTCCCCAGTCTGCTGTAATCGTTGTGGCTTTGCATCTATTATACGTATTTGAGTCGTTTTCCTGATCTTTGGCTATGATAGAGCTAGCGATAGGGCAAAGGCTGGGAAATAAATATAATCTCTATACTATAGTAACGTCACCTTAATCTGCCAGACATCGGTCAATGAATAAGCTTTAATTTGCAGCCGCCCCTCGCGTGCGTCGGAATCGCCACTTATGTATATTTATATTAAGTCGTAAACCCCTATAATTAAGATACCGTGGCCGTGGCCATGGTTAAGTCCCAGCCGCCCTGCTGCGCCTTAAGACAAAGCAGTTCCCCCGCCAGCTTGTTTCGGGTATCAAGCGGCACACGGCATTATCTTTATGGGACTTAATTCGGCGGAAGGCTTCAAGTCGATATGCTCCGGGCGCAGACGTTCAGTTATGCGTGGATCGGGCATCTGAAGGGTTTGAATCGGCTCCGCTAGCAATCTAACCATGGAGGAGAAGACTGATAAAGTGAGTGTTGATTTGTGAGATTTATAGGATGCGCCCCCATGGATTTATTGACTGGCGCTTCCCTAGGAACTCGCCCTCGACGCCGCACTCATCGAGTCCTTGGCGGTACACAAGGAGCCTGGCGACAGGAGAAGACTGTCATGGTACTATGCCCCCTCCTTTCTGCTCCTTTGGCTGGCACTCTTCTATGCCATCGTGATTCCGCTTTACAACAAACTGCCGGAGAGGGTGACCATCTCGGAGGAGTCCTTGCGTCCCGGAGAATTCGTGGCGGAACGGGCCCAAAGTCAGCTCTACGTCTACGATAGGATAGGACCCAAAGTTACAGGAAGTTATGCGAATGAAGTGACTACGGTTCAGTTTCTCCTTAATGAAACAGAGAAGATCCGTTCCCAGATGCGCAGTGATCTATACAGCCTCGAGGTGGACGTGCAGTCACCCACTGGGGGCTACGTGTTCATCGACATGGTCAACATGTACCAAGGAATTCACAATGTGATTGTAAAGCTGAGTTCAAAGAGTTCCAAGAGCGAATCCTACCTTCTGCTCAACAGTCACTTCGACTCCAAACCAAGCAGTCCAGGTGAGTGATCTTTGGTTTTCGATCACAGTGCCAGAAAATGACCCCTTTAATCAGGTTCCGGTGATGATGGTACCATGGTTGTGGTCATGTTGGAAGTTCTCCGCCAAATGGCCATATCGGAGACACCATTCGAACATCCCCTTGTCTTTCTGTTCAACGGGGCCGAGGAGAATCCCCTCCAGGGCTCTCATGGTTTCATTACGCAACACGAGTGGGCAAGAAATTGCAAGTGAGTTAAAGAAAATTAACCCGATATCGATCGATTGATTTTTTTTTCCTAGAGCCTTTATCAACCTAGAAGTGGGCGGAAGTGGGGGGCGGGACCTATTGTTCCAAAGTGGTCCGAATAATCCCTGGTTGATGAAGGTAAGAATCATTATTCCTCAACAGAAATGCGGCTTATGGCATCCAACAAAATTTAACTGTTGAGCGTTTATGGCCGACTTTATGGGTATTTTTTTTACTGCCGAATTACTGGATAGCTTTTTTTATAGTACTATAGGCAACATGCGAAGCACCCGTTTGCCACCACCATGGCCGAGGAGATCTTTCAGAGCGGAATTTTACCATCTGACTCAGACTTTCGTAATTTCCGGGACTTCGGGAATATACCCGGTGAGTCGATGAGTCACATTATGTCCGATGGTATTCGATAACAATATGGTTTCTTGCAGGGCTGGACATTGCCCAGGTTAGCAACGGATATGTGTACCACACGGTGTTCGATACCTTCGAGGCAGTGCCTGGACGATCCATACAGAATTCCGGAAATAACGTCCTCGCAATGGTTCGGGCCTATGCGAATGCTTCTGAATTGAATGAAGAAAAGGTATGCTTATTTCATTTTTACATATAAAAGGATGATTGCTCAAAGGTCAACATTTCCAGGGTGATGATGGCCATGCTGTCTTTTTCGATTTCCTGGGTCTTTTCTTTGTGTATTACACGGAGACCACCGGTATTGTCCTGAACTGTCTCATTGGAGTAATCAGCCTGGTGCTGGTGGGCTGTTCCCTGTGGCGAATGTCACGGCAGTCGGAGAAGGTAACGCTGTCTCAGATCTCGATTTGGTTCCTCATCATTCTGGGCCTGCACGTGGTTGGATTTTTGCTGTGCCTTGGCCTGCCTCTCCTCATGGCAGTGTTGTTTGATGCAGGGGATCGCTCAATGACCTACTTTACCAGCAACTGGCTGGTGTTTGGACTCTACATATGTCCCGCCGTCATCGGCCTGGTACTTCCCTTGACGCTCTACTATACCCTGAAGCCCAATGTAAGAGTTGACTTTAATATCTCATACTTAATTCAAGCACTTTATATTTTGATTCTAGGATAAACTGAGTCATCCTTATCACCTTCAGCTGAGCTTGCATGCCCATTTGGTGGTGCAGGCCCTGCTCGCTCTCATCCTTACCGCCATGGGTCTCCGCTCGCAGTACCTGTGCCTAATTTCCATGATCTTCTATGCAGGTGCCCTCCTGATTAACCTTGTGAGCACGTTGCACGATCGTGGTGAGTATAGTGCCAATCTCTAATCTAAAGGCTCTCGTTGACTATGATTTATTTCAGGCTACTATTGGGCACTGATAGTGATGTGCCTCCAAGTGCTTCCGTTTTGCTATTTCTGCTACCTTTTCTACATGTTCCTCACGATATTCTTTCCGGTCCTGGGCAGAAATGGTTACAACACAAATCCCGATCTTATTATAGGCCTATTTTGTGCTATTTGTACTTTCTTTGCCCTGGGATTTGCAGTAAGTGTTCCATATTAGTAAATATATATTAGGGTTACCTCTAACGATGTCCTCACAGGTTCAGTTCATCAACATGTTCCGCTGGCCGAAGCTCATACTGCTCGGTCTGGGAGTGGTCACCTTCATCTTCTGCATGATCGCCGTCTCGGAGGTGGGCTTTCCCTATCGGCCAAAGACCAATGTGATGCGAGCCAGCGTCTTGGTAGGTTATCGCTTTATTTTGATTCTCAATCAGCTCACCCTTATCTTGAATAGCACACTCGTCGCGTTTTCCACGAGTTCGATGGGTCAGTGAGTCACAGTGATTCCGGCTACTACTTCGACTATCAGGATAGGAGAGCGTTTAATCCCCTCAAGGACACCAGCCTGAACCTGACTGGACTGCAGCCTGTAAAGAATGACTGCGATAACTACGTGATGTGTGGCATTCCCTGCTTCTACTATAGTTGGTGCCGATGGCGCCAGTGGGCTGGCTGGTTGCCACGCGAGTCCGAGGTGGAAATTCCCGGAGAGCTGACCCTCCAGTTTTTAGGAAAGACCATCCTAGAATCGGGAACAACAGCTCGATATAATTTCCAGCAGTCTGGACCTCCACACATGAACGTGTTTATCCAGCCAGTGGGCGACGCTGTGGTAGAGGACTGGTCCTTCGTGAGGGACATGTTGGACAATCCGGCAGAGTTCCAACCGCCTTACCAGGTCTTCTTTTCCTACGGAACAGATGACACTCCCCTGTCGTTCCACATCGATATGTTTGTGAGTTTTAAAGGGATGCAGAGAGGTTATCAGACTATGACTTACACAATATATATTACAGAGGGCCGATGGGAAGTTCGATGAGCCCACATTGGAGCTGGCTTCGGTGGGCCACTATGTTAGCTACGAATATCCTAGGGATGCAGAGGCCCGCAAATTTGTAGCCGACTTTCCTGACTACGTGCATGTCATGGAATGGCCTTCGATATTTAAGCGATATATATTTTAAATCATTTATAGCTATAGGTAGGTCATTAACAATTTTACAATAAACTCCATCCATTACCTGCCCTAATGGGTTCATATAAAAAAGGCCTTTATGAATTTATACAGGAAAGAGATTTGATTTGATAAGAAATAATAGGAAAACCTTAAAGTATTCTAAGTATATTAAATCGATAAATTGATATGCTCATTTTGTGGGTAAATTAAAGCTTTTCAAATATCATAACTAAACCAAAAATGCATTAATTTCAATTCGAATTTCTGTTTTTTTTTAAGTTTTTATAGGGTTAACAAATCTGCATACTTAGTTTTAAAATTTAGATAAATGAATTTTTTGTCAAATTTTGACAATTTTAACGATGTAGCCCCTTATACAATTTTTTAAAATTAAAAAAAAAATGTTACAAAATTTATTTTTCTACCAGACATGTTTTAATATAATCAGCTGTTGATTCTGATCATGAATATATATAATTTATAGGGTCGGAAATGACTCTTTCAGTACGTTTAAGGCTTCTAAATAAAATTAAAACACCCTGAAAATGATAAAAAAGTCTTTGATTTAAGATAAATCTAGCTTACATGGCGTATACTTAACGTGAAACCCTTAAATTAAGTATACGCCATGTGTGTCTTAAAGGAGAATAGCTTACAAATTTATAAAAAGAACTAGTTTCAGTTAAACAAGCAAGTTTGGCAAGTCAATTATAAGATCGAATCGGAAATCCATCTTAACCAAGCTTAAAATATCAATATTTAAAAAAAATCGAAGTTTAAAAAAACTATAACTAAGCCAAAAAAATCATTTATTTAAATTCGGAAAGCTTTCCTATGCTAGTTTTCATTAGATTTTTAAATCTGCATACCCAATTTAAAAATTATTTTTTTTGCAAATTTTTAAAAATTTAATCGATGTAGCCACCACCACCTTGCAAGTGTATAACAATGTAGTACAAGTTGGCGACAAAGTCAGTGTGAAACTATAGGGTAAGAGTAAGATATTCGTGATTCATTTCTAATAAGTTAGGCTTAAGGCTGAGTATTGTTTTGTAGATATTCCTAATAATTATTGCTTTATCACTTTAAAAATAATATTAAGTTATTGGAAGTTATTGGAAGTTATTAATTGGAAAATAAATGCAAATACAGCACAGCTGATTTTAGACCTAGGGCTAATCTCTCTCCTATAGCATCTATATATAATATATAATTATCATGGTTGAGACTTACCGGAGTGGAGGACACATAGTTATCCATTTCCATAGGCTGATCATGGTATCATCGAAGGGAGGCTCTTCCTGGTTATCCAGATGTACTGCATCGGCCACGTCATATTTTGGCAGTCACTATCACTAGCACTATCACTTTCACCATAGATGTAACCAGCACGGCGGCCTAGGACAGACTGAGGCCAGAGCGCTGTTAGTGTCTGTATTTATAGTCTCCGAGTAAAGAGAACAGAGAAAGTGAGAGCGTGAGAGAGAGAGAGAGAGTAATGTATCTCCAGACTGCCTATCTCTCGTAGAAAGTCAACGATATCTCTTGAGATACACAGATAGCGATAGAGGGAGAGAGGCACAGTCTAAGAGATTGAGCTTATACACACACTCAGTTTTGTATTTTCCTTTACATTTAATCGTTTCCTTGGCAGCTATATGATATAGTCGTCCGATATTTAGCCTGTGGGCAATTTTTCGATGGAGGATTGATGCTGGACATGCTAGACGATCCGGAAGAGTTTGAAAGTCACCAACTAAATGTAAATAAAGTTGACAAATCAGATTCTAATACGAATACTACAGAGATGCAGAGGCTCGTCGGTAAATATCAGATTTTCCCGATTAGGTGCAGATTATGCCAACCCATAGCCTCGGTACTTAAGCGATATGTTTCTTTGGGGTTTTATAGTCATAGAACTTTTATAAAGATTTTTACAATAAACTGCCATGTGCGAAAGGCAATGACTTGGTTAATCGTGAGATAAGGTTTGTTATCTGAGTTTTTAATAGCCGCTTTGAAGCTGTGCGATAGTTTATCTTTATTATTATTGGTCATTATATGTTCGGTATTTATTTAGTTGCGCCTGAATTACCAACCGAAGGGGGTCGATTTAGCTCCCGCAGGTCAAATAAACATGGGTCAGAAGTCGGAAAATGTGAGTATTTCTTAAATCCAACATTCTGTGGTATTTAATTGACTGCTTTTTTAACAGGAGGTCTCGCTAGAGACTGCAGCCCTCGAGTCTCCATCGCTAAAAGAGCAACTTGTTAAGAGCCACAGACTGTCCTGGTACTACGCTCCGTCCTTTCTGCTCCTCTGGCTGTGTCTCTTCTTTGCCATCGTGATTCCTTTGTACAACAGGCTACCAGAAAGGATTACGATCTCAGAGGAATTGGCAAGACCAGGAGAATTCGTGGCTGAACGGGCACAAAGTCAGCTCTTTGTGTACGACAGGATCGGACAAAAAGTAACTGGCGGTTATGCGAACGAGGTGACAACTGTTGCTTTCCTTTTGAATGAAGTGGAAAAGATTAAACAGCAAATGCTCAGTGATCTCTATGAGCTCGAGGTAGATGTCCAGGCGCCTTCAGGAAGTTTTTCGTTAGGAAGCATGGTGAGCATGTACCAAGGAATACAGAATGTAGTTGTCAAGTTGAGCACGAAGCAATCTCAGAGTGAGTCTTACCTTCTGATCAACAGTCACTTCGACTCAAAGCCAGGTAGTCCTGGTAAGTTAGATACTAATTTATAAATTATTAAAATATCTTAAAATGTTATTAAATTGAAATTGATTAGGTTCTGGCGATGATGGCACCATGGTTGTGGTCATGTTGGAGGTTCTACGCCAAATGGCAATATCCAAGACACCCTTTGAACATCCTATAATATTTCTGTTTAATGGAGCTGAGGAGCTTGGCCTCCAGGCTTCTCATGGCTTTATTATGCACCACAAGAGGGCAGCGAACTGCAAGTGGGTCTTAATGGTTTAGTATAAAAATCTAAATTAATAGCGATTGATTTTTTTAGGATGGTTATAAACCTAGAGGTTGGTGGCAGCGGGGGACGTGATCTCTTATTTCAAAGTGGTCCCAATAAACCTTGGCTCATGAAGGTAAGATATGTTTTTGCAGTTTTATAAATTCTAATTGATTCCAATTTTCTTGTAGTATTATAAGCTGTATGCTAAACATCCATTTGCTACTACAATAGGCGAGGAGATCTTCCAGGAAGGAATTTTGCCATCGGACACTGATTTTCGAATATTTCGGGATTTTGGAAATGTTCCTGGTACTTTCTTTATGAATTTATATAGAAAAATATAACGTTTATATACCTTGACAGGCTTGGACATGGCCCAAACTGACAATGGATACGTGTACCACACAGCCTTTGATACTTTCGACGTGGTTCCAGGCAGATCAATTCAGAATACTGGTGACAATATTCTAGCCCTTGTTAGGGGCTATACGAATGCCAGTGAATTGTCCGAGGAGAGGGTAAGCAATCACAAATTGAACAAATGTTTATGGAATATTCGATAGAACAGAGATACATTTTCAGAGTGATGATGAAGGACACGCTATTTTCTTTGACTTTCTGGGCCTCTTCTTTGTGTATTACACAGAAACTACTGGGATTATTATGAACTGCTGCATTGCAGTGATCAGTTTGGTTCTGGTGGGATGTTCCCTCTGGAGAATGGCTCGGCAGTCGGAGAAGGTCACAATTCCTCAGATATGTCTATGGTTCCTTATTATTCTAGGACTGCATGTAGTGGGAGTTATTCTTTGCTTTTGCCTTCCTCTTCTGATGGCAGTGATCTTCGATGCGGGAGATAGATCGATGACTTACTATTCTAGCAATTGGCTGGTATTTGGACTGTACATTTGCCCCGCAGTCATCGGTCTCGTGCTTCCCTTGACCCTCTACCTTACTCTGAAGCCTCACGTAAGACTAATTATTTGTCCGTCTTTACTTCAAATTGAATTAATATTAATTACAGGACAAACTAAGCCACGGGTACCATCTTCAAATGTGCCTGCACTCCCACCTGGTTGTCCAGGCCCTTCTCGCTATTATTTTGACTGCCATGGGAATGCGCTTTGTATACATATGCCTTATGGCTATGATCTTCTATGGAGGAGCTCTTCTAATTAATCTGCTAAGCACACTTCATGATCGTGGTAAGCATTATTCTATATATATATACATATATTGCATATATCTGCTAAAAAAAGATAACTTTACAGATTTCAATATATTTTTATCTAATCTAATTGAAAGTTATCTTTTATTATTATAGAATTTCGTTTTTAGTTTTAAGCAAATCGAAATACTATATATTATAACTCCTAGAGAAACGGTAATTAGTAATTAACTATGATCAGTAATTAACGAGAAGCAGTAAGTAACTCTAAACAGTAAGTAACTTTGACCAGGAAGTATCTATGACCTGCAAGTATCAATAACCATAAGTATCTATGAACACTAATAAACAATGACTTGCAACTTTTGTAACACAACACTTCTCTGAGACTTGGCCGGCAGCAGTCACTTCGTTCCGGGGATGTTAGAACCAGTTGGGAATCATATGCACAGATGTGGGAGATTTATTTTGAAACAAATTTAAGCTATTTAAATGAAACGATGGAGTTATTCTTTTATATATTTTTTTACTACTATATAATTTGGAGCACGACGAATCGGTGGACTATATATACACATATATATGGCTGCTATAGGAACGATCGGACGATTTATAGTACTATGATCGGTAATTATCAATGAACATTAAGTAACTATGACTAGTAAGTAGCTATGACCAGTAGGTAACAATGATCAGTAATTAACTCTGATTAGTAAGCATCAATAATCAATCAATCAATTAGTAAGCATCATTAATCAATAAACATAAGTAACTTTGACCAGGAAGTATCTATGATCAGCAAGTTACAATAACCAGTAAGTACCTATAAACACTAGTAAACAATGACTTGCAACTTTTGTAACACAACACTTCTCTGAGACTTGGCCGGCAGCAGTCACTTCGTTCCGGGGAGGTTAGAACAATTTGGGAATTATATGCACAGATGTGCAAGATTTGTTTTGGAACAAATTTATGCTATTTAAATGAAGCCATGTTATTCTTCTATATTTTTTTACTACTATATAATTTGGAACATGGCGAATCGGTGGACTATATATTCCAATGGCAGCTATATAAATATATATATAGCTGCCATTGGAACGATCGGACGATTTATAGTACTATGATCGGTAATTATCAATGAACATTAAGTAACTATGACTAGTAAGTAGCTATGACCAGTAGATAACAATGATCAGTAATTAACTCTGATTAGTAAGCATCAATAATCAATCAATCAATTAGTAAGCATCATTAATCAATAAACATAAGTAACTTTGACCAGGAAGTAACTTTGACCAGGAAGTATCTATGATCAGCAAGTATCAATGACTAATAAGTACCTATGAACACTAATAAACAATGACTTGCAACTTTTGTAACACAACACTTCTCTGAGACTTGGCCGGCAGCAGTCACTTCGTTCCGGGGAGGTTAGAACAAGTTGGGAATTATATGCACGGATGTGCAAGATTTGTTTTGGAACAAATTTAAGCTATTTAAATGAAACCATGGAGTTATTCTTCAATATAATTTTACTAGAATATAAATCGGGGCATGGAGAATCGGTAAACTATATATACACATATATATAGCTGCCATAGGAACGATCGGAAAATTGTAAGAAGAAGTATTATAACTTTTCAAGTTTTCAACAGATTTTGATTAAATTTGATATATAGCCATTATATATTAATTTAGATTTTTGTGTAAATGCAAAATGGTGATTGTAAAACTGTTAGTAAAGAATATATAGGTGAATGAAATGAAAGCAGGCATTACTTTATTGTTTTTTTTTTTTAACAAAAATATATTTAATTTATATTGTATTAATCCAAGTGATCGAATTTCAATTTGCAAGGGTATACAAACTTCGGCAAGCCGTAGTTAGCTTCCTTTCTTGTTTAAAATATTGTTTATTGCAGGTAACTATTGGGCTCTGATTGTAATGTGTCTGCAGGTGCTGCCATTCTGTTACTTCTGTTACATTTTCTATATACTGCTCGTGGTGTATTTTCCGATCACAGGAAGAAATGGCATTGGTTCGAACCCAGATATCATGATAGCCTTAATATGTGGTGGTGCGACCCTTTTTACTCTAGGATTTATTGTAAGTGATATTTTCGGTAAAGGTTTTGTTATGATTAATAAATATTTTTTTCATTTCTAGGCTCAATTCATTAATGCTTTCCGATGGCCGAAGCTGATACTCTTTGGCTTGGGAGTGATAACTTTTATTTTCAGCATGATTGCTGTGTCGGAGGTGGGCTTCCCGTATCGCGCCAAGACCCATGTGATGCGATTTAATTTTATGGTTCGTAGACACTGAATAATGCATACAATTAAAGAAAAAAACGATTAAAAAATTCATCTTTCCACAGGATACTCATCGCATGTTCTACGAGTACAATGGGACAATGAGTCACAGCGATTTCGGTTACTACTTCTCCTACCAGGATAGACGTGGATTAAGTCCTCTGCAGGACTCAAACGTTGATCTTACGGGGATAGTGTCCATGGAGGAATTCTGTGATGACTATGTAATGTGCGGAGCACCTTGTTATTATTCCTGTGGCGGACGAAGAAGAGCTCGCTGGCTCCCTCGGGAGTCGGGAATTCAAATGCCAGGCGAAGTTATCCTAGAGTTTTTAGGAAAGACTGTCTCTGAGGCGAACAAAACCGTTCGATTTAATTTCGAACTCACGGGACCTTCCCAAATGAATATTTTCATTCAGCCAGTGGGTGAGGCCAAGGTAACAGACTGGTCCTTTCTTCAGGATATTCGGGAAAGATATCAGCCACCTTACCATATCTTCTTTTCCTACGGAATAGATAATAGTCCATTCAAGTTTTTTGTGGAATTGACGGTGAGCTGGAAAGCATCTTATATATGTTATTTATATATACTTGTACTAAATTATTATTTATTATATATTTTGCAGAATTCCGATTTGGATTATAATGTTCCCGTCTTGGAGATTGCAGTTGTGGGACATTTTGCCAGTCCGGAGTACACTAGGGATGCAAATGTTCTTAAGTTTATAGCGGAGTTACCAGACTTTGTTGATGTGATGGAATGGCCTGCTCAATTTAAGCGCTATATATTCTAAGTCTCTAAACTTCATTCAGAAAAGCAGTACATACCTTCACTCTTTCGGTATCTTTGTGTAGTAATTGATTTAGAACTTATAAAGTATAATTTTATAATATCGTATAGATATATCTTTATACTGGAATCAAACTTACAGTCCGGGGGCTTGTGCTCGATAAACTTGGTGAATGGTATCCAGATGTCATATTATGAAAATAAATCAATTTACTTTATGAAGAGACTTTGGATTCATCCATAAATATACTGGGAATCAGATTTGATAATAGTGTTGAAAAGCTTTAAATATGAGAAGCTTCAAAGTAGGTTGCTTAGTTGCGCGTTTTAGTTCGTTGAGTTCGAACACAGAAGATTTTAAAAATGATATTCTTCAACTAGATTTAAGTATAAACGTTTCAGATTTTTCTAATGAAAGCAGAATGAATTAATTTATTTTATAGCGCAGAAGTCACCCTGGAACTTGGATATGTGAAACAGCCTTCTGACTGTATATATGTATATTATCTTTAAATCTAACAAAGTGGCAAAGGCTTGCAATATTTTACTTATGTATATTTAATCAAGCTTTAAATTATTTCTAATTATATCTAAAAAATTGCTATTAAGATTTTGCAAATAAACTTCCATCCGTTTCTTAGTTGAATATACAATTTGTATGCCTTTTGTTTGACATATATACGCTAGGTTGATAAGATCTGTTATCTTAGTATCCAAGCGATCATTGTGTTTGGAATTATAGACGATAATATCTTTATAGACTTTGATTTGGTAAAAGCCTTCAAGCTAAGGAATTTCTGGTATAGACTTTCAGTTTTAAATTGACTTTTGCTGGTAACATAACAATGGAAAATAACTGTGATAAAGTGAGTATTTGTTTATTTAAATAAACAAAAAGGAATGATTTAACGATTGGTGTCTTAGAAGGATATTCCGCTAGACAATGTCGCTATCGAATCTTTAAACCAAAAGAAAGAAAATATCGAACGACAAAGGTTACCCTGGCACTATGCTCCTTCTTTCCTGCTGCTCTGGCTGTCTCTCTTTTTTGCCATCGTGATTTCTTTGTACAACAAGCTTCCAGATAAGATTAACATCTCAGAAGAATTGCTAAAGCCGGGAGAATTTGTGGCGGAACGAGCTATGAGCCAGCTGTATGTCTACGATCAAATCGGACCCAAAGTTACGGGCAGTTTTGCCAACGAGGTTACAACGGTTGCATTTCTTCTGGGGGAAGTGGAAAAGATTAAGGAGCAAATGCTTAGTGATCTCTATGAAATAGAGGTGGATGTTCAGACACCTTCTGGGGGCTTTTCATTTGGAAGCATGGTGAGCATGTACCAAGGAATCCAGAATGTAATTGTCAAGTTAAGCACAAAGAAATCCCAGAGTGAGTCCTACGTCCTGATCAACAGCCACTTTGACTCTAAGCCAGGCAGTCCAAGTAAGTGTTATTCTCCTTTAAAACTTGGTTTTTCCAGTGCTAAGGTTTGTCATTAGGTTCTGGCGATGATGGCACCATGGTTGTGGTGATGTTGGAGGTCCTTCGCCAAATGGTCATTTCGGAGACACCTTTTGAACATCCTGTAGTCTTTCTGTTCAATGGAGCTGAGGAACTCGGTCTTCAAGGTTCCCATGGCTTTATTACGCAGCACAAGTGGGCAACGAACTGCAAGTAAGTCAATAAAACAAATGCCGAAAAGTAATATTAATAACATTATTTAAGGATGGTTATAAACCTAGAGGTGGCCGGCAGTGGAGGACGTGATCTCTTGTTTCAGACTGGCCCCAATAAGCCTTGGCTCGTGAAGGTAGGGGTATTTTTAAACATTTACAACATCCGATTAATTCCGGGTTTCTTTTAGTATTACAGACTTTATTCTAAACATCCATTTGCTACAACAATAGCCGAGGAGATCTTCCAGGGTGGACTTTTGCCATCGGACACTGATTTTCGAATCTTTCGGGACTTTGGAAAAGTGCCTGGTACTTAATTATTTTCGTTGGTTACTTAAGCAGACAAAATGATATAAAATTATATACATCAGGTTTGGACATGGCCCAGGTCAACAACGGATACGTTTACCATACAATATTTGATGCTTTTAAGGTTATTCCAGGAAGATCCGTTCAGAACACGGGAAATAATGTCCTCGCCCTTGTAAGGGCCTTCTCAAATGCAACTGAATTGTATGAAACGGAGGTGAATATCTTTTATTTTATATCTATTTACACACTTTTTACTAAAGTTTGGATCTATTTTTAGAGTATCGATGATGGACAGACTGTTTTCTTTGACTTTCTGGGCCTCTTCTTTGTGTATTACACAGAAACTACTGGGATTATTATGAACTGCTGCATTGCAGTGATCAGTTTGGTTCTGGTGGGATGTTCCCTCTGGAGAATGGCTCGGCAGTCGGAGAAGGTCACAATTCCTCAGATATGTCTATGGTTCCTTATTATTCTAGGACTGCATGTAGTGGGAGTTATTCTTTGCTTTTGCCTTCCTCTTCTGATGGCAGTGATCTTCGATGCGGGAGATAGATCAATGACTTACTTCAGTAGCAAATGGCTGGTGTTTGGACTCTACATTTGCCCCGCAGTAATCGGTCTCGTAATTCCCTTGACTCTTTACTACACCCTGAAACCGAATGTAAGATCTATTAATTCTTAATCTGTGTTTCATATTTAAAGGAGGTTCTTTTGTAGGACAAATTAAGCCATGCTTACCATCTTCAGATGAGCCTTCACTCCCATTTGGTGGTCCAGGCACTGCTAGTTATTATTCTGACTGCCCTGGGAATGCGATTTCAGTACCTGTGCCTTATTTCGATGATCTTCTATGCAGGTGCTCTTCTGATTAACATTGTAAGCACTTTGCAAGAAAAAGGTAAGTAATATTAAATCTACTAATAGATCTTTTTTAACCAAGATGTGTTCAAGGTAACTATTGGGCTGTGATTGTGATGTGTCTGCAGGTACTGCCGTTTTGCTACTTCTGTTATATAATATATATGCTCCTTGTGGTATTGATTCCAATAACCGGAAGAAACGGCATTGGCATGAATCCCGATCTGATGATAGCCCTGATTTGTGCTTGCTGCACTTTCTTTGCTCTAGGATATATTGTAAGTTGATTTTATTGGGAGTTTTATTGAGATTCAACTTAATCATTGATCTTTAGGCTCAGTTTATTAATGCTTTCCGCTGGCCGAAGCTTATACTCCTCGGACTGGGAGTGGTCACCTTCATTTTCTGCATGATTGCCGTCTCAGAGGTGGGTTTTCCCTATCGGCCCAAGACCAATGTGATGCGAGTCAATGTTGTGGTATGTTGAATGCTCTGTAACATTATAAATTATAAGTGTAAGTGGTCGTATTTTTTCGAAGCACACTCAACGCCTGTTCTACGAGTTCGATGGTTCTTTGAGTCACAGTGATTCCGGTTACTATTTCACATACATGGACAGGCGGGGACTTAATCCTCTCAAGGATTCCCAGGTCAACCTGACGGGTCTGATTTCTATAGAACCTGATTGCGACAAATACGTCATGTGCGGGGCTCCCTGCCTTTACTCTTGTGGCAGCCGGAAGAGTGCTCGTTGGCTTCCTCGCGACTCGGATGTTGTTATTCCTGGAAATATTTTACTAAAATTATTGGGAAAAAGTATTACTCAGGCCCAGAACACTGTTAGATATGAGTTTGAGGTAACTGGTCCACCGCAAATGAATATTTTTGTTCAACCCGTGGGTAATGCTGTGATCACAGGCTGGTCTTTTGTGGGAAATGCCCTGGAAAAAGCCCAGCCGCCCTATTACGTATTCTTTAACTACGGAATAGATGACAGTCCTTTCAAGTTCTTCATTGAGCTAAAGGTGGGTTATATTATCTATTAAGTAAGGAATTAATCATAATGTGAGTATACTTTCTTTATATTACAGAAGTCCGATGGTGTTTTCAGTGAACCTGTCTTGGAGCTTGCCGTTGTGGGACATTTTATAAGCCACGATTATGACAGGGATGCAGAGGTTCTCAAATTCCTTGGGGATTTCCCTGACTTTGTATTTGTGGTAGAATGGCCTTCTATACTCAAGCAATATATTTATTAGAAGTACTATATCAACTACTCAATAAATTGGCAGCCATTACCTGCCCGACTATGATTATGAAAAACGTGCCTTAGTTTTCAGGGCTGGAAGTTTTGTGCAGATAACAATTGTTATCCGTTTGATATCTTTATATCGTATTTAATTTACGGTTAATAAAATCGATGCAAATCGTAAAGTTTATTCCACCAGATTGATATCTTTATGCATGTGCACAATCATGAAACTAGGAGGCCCTTAACTCAATAAAATGCTGGATCTTTAAGGCTGCACCTATTTATTCAGATGTCATATTAGTAGAGTAAATCAATTACCTGATTTTATGAAGAGACTTTGGGCTGTACCATAAATATACTGGGACGTGTGGGCTCCAAGTTGGATATCCAATCACAGATTTGATAAAAGAGTCTCCTCGAAAAGCTTTAAATTTGATAAGCTTGCGAGAGAATGGCTCAGTTGCGCGGTGTTGTTCGTCGAGATCTGATGCTGATAAGTGGGGAACGAAATGGAGCAGCACAACGAAGGTTTTAAAGAGGACACGGTCTCCTTACACTCGGAACACTCGATCAAGTTCAATGGGAATGAAAAAAGCACTTTGCAACTGGTGACCGAGGAGCCGGCGGATACCGAAAATGGTGGCCATCTGGAGAGCATAATAGGATTCAGAGAAAAGAAGAAGGCTGCAAAGCCATTGCCTTGGTACTATGCTCCGGTCTACCTGCTCTTCTGGGTCGGACTATTCTTCGCCGTGGTCTATCCACTCTTCAATTACCTGCCCACCGGAGTCAAGCTGGCGGAGGAGTCCGATCTGCCGGCCACCTTTGTGGCCCAGCGTGCAGAGGAGGTGCTGCTAAAGATTGATTTGATGGGGCCCAAGATAGCGGGTGACTACGTGACTGAGGTGACCATGGTTAATTTTCTGCTCGATGAGATAGAAAAGGTGCGTCGCGAGATGCGTTCCGATCTCTACGAGCTGGAGGTGGACGTGCAACACTCGAGTGGCGCCTTTCTGCACTGGCAGATGATAAACATGTACCAGGGCATCCAGAACGTGGTGGTAAAGCTAAGTGCGAAGAGCTCCAATAGCACCAACTACTTGCTGGTGAACAGCCACTACGATTCCAAGCCCAGTAGTGTGGGTAAGTGGATCCTCTTCCTTGCTTTACCGATACTAGAACTAAGTATAATGACCACCCTTCAGGCACTGGTGATGCTGAGCTCATGATTGTGGTCATGTTGGAGACGCTTCGCTTGATGGCCACATCCGGAGAGCCCTTCCTGCACCCTATAGTCTTCCTGTTCAACGGAGCCGAGGAGCAGCCCTTCCATGGATCGCATAGTTTCATAAAGAATCATCGGTGGTCTGCAAACTGCAAGTAAGTGAAATATCAACGTTTCCTCCAAGTTAATGTCTTACATTGTGATCTTCAAAACCAGGGCATTGGTTAACCTGGACTCGGCTGGCTCCGGCGGTCGCGAAATTCTCTTCCAGGGGGGTCCCAATCATCCGTGGCTGATGCGGGTGAGTGTAAATCGTGCACTCCACTTGAAGGCTATCTAAATGAGAGTCGTAAAACTCGAAAGTGCGCCTTTTTTACTGCCCCCTGGGGCTTATCAAATCCCCAAAATTAACGACCGATATGTAAAGCAAATCGTGATATTTGCAGCAATACAAAAACAGTGCCAAACACCCATTTGCTACCACGATGGCTGAGGAGATCTTCCAGGCTGATTTGATACCCTCGGACACAGATTTCCGCATCTTCCGTGACTTTGGACCAGTGCCAGGTGGGTTTTTTAAGTATATTTCACGAGGCCCGCTATATATCTCATTCTGGTTAGGTTTGGACATGGCTGGCTGCTACAATGGCTTTGTTTATCACACCAAGTTCGATCGGTTTAATATTATTTCCCGGGGTGCTCTGCAGAACACTGGAGACAATGTCTTCTCTCTGGTCCGGAGTATTTCCAATGCCGAGGAAATGTATGACACTGAGGTAGGAAGAGCGAGAGGAGGATTACATTAAAATTATAATTACATAATTCATTTTTACTTTCAGGCCCACTCCGAGGGTCATTCCGTGTTCTTCGACTATCTGGGTCTCTTCTTCGTTTACTACACCGAGTCCACGGGTGTGGCCCTTAACATATCCTTTTCATTGGGCGCCATACTCCTCGTCTGCCTCTCCTTGTGGCGTATGGCCAGGATGACGGATCGCTCTGTAGGCACCTATTCCCGGGCATTTGGAATGCAGTTTCTGTTGGCAATCCTGGGCTTCCTGCTAGCTCTCGGCTTCCCCTTGTTGATGTCCGTGTTTTATGATGCAGGCAATCGAACGATGACATACTTCAGCAACAGTTGGCTGGTCATCGGTCTTTTCATCGTACCCTCTGTTATTGGCCTAGTCCTGCCCAGTACTTTCTATTTGAGCCTGCGACCAAGCGTAAGTATTTACTTACTGTCCTTGATTGTATTGTAAATAATCGATTTGTTTTAGGAAAAGATCCCACATGCTTACCGCCTGCAGATTGTGGGACATGCCTACTGCGTTCTCATGGCTGTGATTTGCATATTGCTGACTGTCGTTGGCATTCGCACTGCCTATCTTTTTATGATGTGTGTGTTCTTCTATGTTGGAGCTTTGATTATAAATCTGGCCAGTCGGTTGCACGATAAGGGTGGGTTCAAGAGTGTACCGGAGAGATAAGTGTAATATATGCAAACTTTGTTTCACTTTAGGTTATCTCTGGACTTGGGTGCTTGGCGCCTGTCAGATTCTGCCGTATCTATACTTCACTTACCTGTTCCATGCACTCCTGGCCATCACCATTCCCATGACAAGCCGCAAGGGCTTGGAAGCTAATCCGGATCTACTTATATCCTTACAGTGCGCTCTGGGCTCCATTCTGGCACTGGTCTTTTTGGTAGGGAATCTTGAGAGGATAATAACAAGTTTAAAGAACTTCAATTTATGTCTTTTTGCAGGCTCCCCTCCTTAACCTGTTCCGGCGTCCCAAGAGCATGGTGGCTGGCCTTGCCCTGGTGATGTTCATCTTCTGCATGATCTCTGTTTCGGGGGTGGGATTCCCCTACCGCGCCAAGACGAATGTGATGCGTCTCCATTTCTTGGTGAGTTTCGGTTAGAGATCTTAATGGATATATTGATTTTATGAGACTCCTCTTTCGCTCTACAGGAGGTGCACCGCAAATTCTACGAGTACGATGGATCTGTGAGTCTGGAGGATAGCGGTTACTATTTTGATCTACAGGATCGCCGCCTGGAGACTCCTCTGCTGGACAAGATCAATCTCACGGGTCTCACACGCCTCGATGAGGAGTGCAAGACGGAGATGAAGTGCGGCATGCCCTGCTTCAACCATCGTTGGTGTGCCGCTGTGAAGGATGCCCGTTGGCTGCCGCGGGATGTGCCAGTGGATCTACCCGGCATTCCCATTCTGCAGCTCTTGAACAAGACTGTGATTGGGACTGAGTCGGATCCAAGGTTCCGTTTCGAGTTTGTGGTGTCAGGTCCGCCCAGGCTAAGTCTCTTCATTCTACCACTGGATGGGGTTAAGTTTCTGAAGTGGTCCTTCCTCATGGGAATGCTGGACAATCCGTCGGTGTATAAGCCCCCATATCACATCTTCTTTGGCTATGGAAGCGACAACTCGCCCATCAAGTTTTATATTGAACTCACGGTGGGTTATATCTTTATTATCTAATGCAAATTTATTTCCAATATCTATCTTTACCTAACTCCTGCAGAAAGACGACCACAACTACGAAGTTCCGCTGCTAAAGCTGGGAGTATCTGGGCACTACATGAGCCACCTAAGTTACCGCGATCCCACGACAATGAAGTTCATCGAGTCTCTGCCAGACTTTGCCCATCCCATGGAGTGGCCCAGTTCCTACGAGCGATATATATTCTGAGATTATATAGATTCACACAGTAATCTTAAGATCAATTATTTATGAAAATAAAGAAATGGGAAAGTGAGCGATTTCCAAGTTATTATTTCTTTGTATCTGTTCCAACATACATTAGATATACATAGCTTTGATACTATATAATATCTATGAATTCTGTTGACTAGATTTATAAATAATTATATTCGACACGCAGATGTTTTCAACTAAATAATAGTTCAACAATTTCAAGACTTTTCGAAACCGTTGCCAGTGGGCAGTGGCCTTGACTTTGGGCCCATTACTGGGTACTGCCGACCAGATGCGGCACAATAAACAAATAAATCCACAATGGCCAACAAGTGCGATTGCGATATGGGGCAAAGTCAGCGGTTATGATTTCGGTTGGAGTAATCACATCTATCGTCAGCCCCTCGAGGGCCCCTCGAGGAGATCGGAAATATTCAGAATTTATCGTTGGCATTGCCGAAAAAAATAAAACTTTGATAGGTACTGGCATGTACGCATACCGATAGAGAGCGCGGTGTGAATAACACGCGCCATAATGCCATAAATATCGAATATCTTTATACTATGCTGAAGATATCAACCATATCGCATCCATAAACATAAAGCACAATTTTAAATTGCTAATGGAGATGTCGGACGAGTTAGTCGTGCGTAGGAAGTCGCTGGAGGAGCTCTTGCTGGGACGGTTCCCGAATCTCTAACCTAATATGGGCGCTAGAAGGGACAACCTGATGATCGAGCTGGAGGCGGAGAGGAAGCGACAGCCAGCCAAACCGTTCCCCTGGTACTACTCCCCCACCTACCTGCTCTTCTGGGTGGGGCTCTTTTTTGCCGTGATATATCCCCTTTTCCAGGCTCTGCCCGCCGGCATCAAGATCTCGGAGGAAGCAGATAATCCGGGTAAATTTGTGGCCGAAAGAGCTCAGTACATGCTGCGGGAAATAACTCAGATGGGTCCGAGACTGGTGGGTGATGTTAACAATGAGGTCACCGCCGTGAATTTCCTTCTCGAAGAAATCGAAAAAGTGCGACAGGTACTTCGTGACGATGTCTACGAAATGGAAGTGGAGGTGCAACGTGCTTCCGGTTCCTATCTGATCAAGGGCTTCCTGAATCACTATAAGGGCGTACAGAATGTGCTCGTCAAACTGAGTACGAGGAGTTCGAACAGCTCGTCATATCTGCTGGTGAACAGTCACTTTGACACCAAACCAGGCTCACCTGGTGCCGGAGATGATGCCTCCATGGTGGTGGTGATGCTGGAGGTGCTAAGGCAGGTGGCCATTTCGGGGGAACCATTTCTGCATCCAATCCTGTTCCTATTTAATGGCGCTGAGGAGCAACCCATGCAGGGCTCCCACGGATTCATCACTCAGCACAGATGGGCGGCCAACTGCAAGTGAGTACTTGCTTAAATTTTGTGAAGAGATCATTAGAGTCTCCCTTATCCGAATTCACCCTGTCCTAGGGCTCTCCTCAACTTGGATTCTGCCGGCGCTGGGGGACGAGATTTGTTGTTCCAGGGTGGGCCCAATCATCCCTGGCTTATGGAAGTAAGTTCCGGGAATCTCCAAAAGAATTTCTACGGAAACTCATGATGATGAGTCATGTATTTCTGTTTTTTTTTGCCTTGATCACTCTTCCGATATGGACGATATCAGCCGCCGGCGGCTGATTCTAAACCAATTAATCTAATCTGACGTCTTATCATCGTCTCGCAGCATTACAGAAACAGCGCACCGCACCCGTTTGCCACAACGACCGCGGAGGAGATGTTCCAGGCGGGCATTATACCTTCGGATACCGATTTCCGGGTCTTTCGTGACTTTGGAGTGGTGCCAGGTGAGTGTCCAGCACCATTAGGTGTTCCTGGGTGTGGTTAATTAAAGCGTATTTTCCATTAGGCCTGGACATGGCAAACGTTTACAATGGCTTTGTTTATCACACGGAGTTCGATCGTTTCGCGGTGGTTTCTCGGGACTCCCTGCAGAACTCTGGCGACAATGTGCTGGCCCTGGTGAAGAGTATTTCCAATGCTGAGGAAATGTACGACACGGAGGTGGGTGTCCATTTACTTCTCTTCCTTATACTATAACTAAAATCGTATCTTTGCTTTTGCATAGGCACACGCCGAGGGGCATGCGGTGTTCTTTGACTTTATCGGACTCTTCTTTGTCCACTATCAGGAGTCGACGAGCACGGCCCTAAATATCTCGTTCTCCCTGGGGGCCATAGTTCTCATCTGTGTCTCCTTGTGGCGCATGTCCAGGGTTTCCGAACAGACCATGGGCACTTATGCCGGCGCCTTTGGACTTTTGTTTCTGCTGGCCCTAGCCGGGATTCTTCTGGCCCTGCTTTTTCCCGTGCTCATGTGCATCTTCTACGACTTGGGTGATCGCACTCTGAGCTACTTCAGCAATAGTTGGCTCGTCATTGGTCTGTACATAATACCCTCGGTTATAGGTCTTGTTCTGCCCATGACGCTCTATCTGACTCATCGACGAAGTGTGAGTAACCTTTTGGATGGTGTTTGTTGGTTTATCAAGTTTTATTTATGTTATATTTCTAAACAGGACAAGATCCCACACAAGTACCTCCTGCAGATAGTGGGACATGCGAATTGCCTTCTCCTGGCCATCATGTGTCTGGCATTGACCGCCCTTGGTTATCGCAGTGCCTACCTTTTCCTAATATCGCTGATTTTCTATGTTGCTGCTCTGATTGTCAACTTGCTGAGTAAGCTGCACTGTCGAGGTAAGTTCAGGTGCCAAGGATCTGTATAGATTATTCTAAAATAATTCTTATATAATATAAATTTGTTATTTACATTAAAGGTTATCATTGGGCTTTGGTTTTGATGGTCAGCCAGATAATACCCTTTATCTACCACGCCTATCTGTTCCACATGTTCATACTCATCCTCATTCCCATGGTCGGGCGCTTTGGCATGAACACCAATCCGGACTTGTTGATAGGAGGGTTGTGTGCCTGCGGCACCATTCTTGCCTTGTCCTTTGCGGTGAGTTAAGTTTGAGGATGTTTATGACCGTAAGACTAAATACATAAATCCTATTCTTGAGCAGGCTCCACTCATTAACATTTTCCGGCGACCCAACTCAATGCTGGGTGGCCTATCGGTGGTCATGTTCATCTTCTGCATGATCGCCGTCTCGGAGGTGGGGTTCCCCTATCGTGCCAAGACCAATGTGATGCGAGCGGACTTTATGGTGAGTACTCTGGAATCTTATATTGTGACAGATCATTAATTACGCTTCTCTTGGGGAGCAGCAAGTTCATCGCAAGTATTTCGAGTACGATGGCTCCATGAGCCTCGAAGACTCCGGCTACTACTTCCACCTAGGGGATCGGAATCGAGAGGCACCGCTCCGAGAGTCCATGGACCTGACAGGCCTGGTTCGCCTGGGCGAGAACTGTGACACGGAGCTGATGTGTGGCCTGCCTTGCTATCGCTTCTGTGCTTCCCGCAAGGATGCCCTGTGGCTGGCGCGTGAGGAGCTCGTGCAGCTGCCCTATCCCACGGTGCTGGAATTGAGAAACAAGACGGTCCTTTCCGGGGGCTACCAGGTGCGCTTTGATTTCCGCCTCTCTGGGCCACCGAATATGGGGCTTTTCATCCTGCCGCTGGACGGCGTAAGGGTGCTCCACTGGACCTTCTCCCAGGGCATGTTGGACAATCCGGCCACCTACAGGCCGCCGTTGAATGTGCTGCTCACCTACGGTGTGGATACCACGCCCTTCGAGTTCTATATGGTACTTTCGGTGAGGACAATTGTCAGCTTTAGTCTCTATGTGGGTAGCTCTTAATTTACCATTGACTTGCAGAAGGACAATGGTAACTTCGACGAGCCAGCGATGAAAATGGGCGTGTCCGGTCACTACATGAGCCCGCATGCCGAACGAGATGCACTGAGCAAGGAGTTCTTGGCCACGCTGCCGGAGTTTGCCTTCTCTACGGAGTGGCCCAGCAGTTACGAACGCCATATATTCTAGAATTCTAAGAGGTTACCCAAGTTTCGTAGTTATATTATATTTTTCGAAATGTTGTAATTGGTAGTATTTATTGGATGTTGTATAACATTTGCAGGCTTAAGAATAATTTGTTTTATTTGTCTTCCTGGAGGACTGACTGATTCTCCGATTAGGTCGTGCCATGTAAGATGTTTATGTTTGGCCCAACCAGGGCTCTGGCGGTTATCCGAAAGTCATTGACATTTCCGAAACGAAATGGCTTAGAATGGGGCAACGATCAAACATTAGGTGCTGCATTTCTCAATACGTCGATGGGCAAACAACGGTCGCAGTTGGATGTGTACTCCGTCAGTTTACTTGTGGGAAAAACATTTGTGCAAACACATCTGCTGCTCTGCCCGGGCATAGATCCAGCATCCAGGTCGAAGGGTGTATAAATACCGAAACCGGGACCCCCGAAAGACACACTCCGAGTTCAGCAGCTCATCCGACTACCAGCAACAGCTAGCCAGGTCAAATACCCACCAAGAAAGCACCATGAAGTTCCTCGCTGTCCTCATCTTCGCTGTTGTTATTTCCACCGCGCTAGCAGGTACTGCCACTACAACTGGAACTGGAAGTACCACTGGAACCACTACAACCACTCCAAGTTCGCCGTCAACAACGACCTATACTTACACTACTACGCCTACAACCCCTACCTACACCACCACCACCACCACCACCACAGCCAAGCCCATCAAGCAGCAGATCCTGTCACTGTTGTTCAACAAGAAGTCCGGATAGAGAAGCTCCGCTGACTAAAGATGCCGCCCGCCCTTGATAAGCCTTGATTGACGAAATAAAAGCCCAAAACCAATAAAAAAATATATAAAAAAACAACACAATCCGACTTTTGAGTTCTTATTACCACAGTGTGCAGAAGGTACAGTCTTTTCATTCTTTTTGAAACATGTTGAATATTTAAACATTTAATGTTTGATCTCATTCATTATATCAATTAGAAAAAATCAACATTGAGTCTAGAGTTTTATCAAAGAAGGTATAAAATTTTCTCTGAGTGCAGCTTGGTAAGTAGTTCCTTCTCCAAAGTGAGGCATCTCACGTAGCAACGCGGCAGCTGTTTCAGGTAACTGACATTTGCCCAAGTGGGGCGTCATTACCGCCTTCTGGCCGGATGGACCTGTTTACAACCAGCTGCCCTCCTGCCCCAAAGGTCAGGTGACACTTGCAACACTCAGTCAGTCGGACAGTCGGAAAGTTGGGTGAGTCCGCTGGCCAGACATGATCATGGTCAGGTGGCAGTCATAATTCGTGATGATCATCAGCGGCATTCGAGTTAAATGTCTAATGACTGGGCTGACAAATTGATGTAGGAACCCAGCCGCAGAGGAAGAGCCATGAATGCCACAAGCTGGCCATGTACAACACGACTCAAGATGATCGAAACAACAACGCCCCACAAAATATTGCAGACAGTAGTCCCTGTCACAGAACAAATTATGGATACAACTTTGGATTAAATTAAGCGAACAGACTTATCAGGAACATTTCTCAAATATAAATAAAAACTTAGCTTACTTTCATTTTATTGAATCAATAAAAATACTCTTAACATTCTTTACTTATTGATTTATAGAAAAAAAAATGCCAATACATGTTTAAAATTATTAAAATAGAAATAAAGACAACTTGCTTACAAGATTCTACGGCAATATCAGTCAAATTTAACTGAACCCAAAAGAGCACTCATTAAAATATTAATTTTTTTAACACAAAACCAAAAACATTACCTCAACACCTAATGGCTATCAAATAAACCACTATATCTCCACTGTGGCATCGACATCGACAGGTTGTCATGTATACAACTCATTCGACAAATTGCGGCAACCCACAGATCGGATGGGTCGTACTCTTGTGGGTGGATTCCGATTCGGTTCATGAACGCTCCATGAGAAGATCATCAGCATCGGCCACCGACTTCTAGCAGGCTTCCGATCAGCCATGAGGCGCCTCTTCAAAATGCTAGGCACTCACCCGGTTGTGGGTCGTAAATCTTGGCCAGCTCCTCATATCTGGCATCTGTGCTCTATGCTCGCTCGCTCGGGTTGGCAACCGTAAAGTTCAAGCCACGAGAGCCATTGGGTATAAATATGCAAACAGGCGGCTCTGGCGGCCACAGTTACGGAACGAACCGAAACAGGTGCACCCACCAGCCCAGCCCGCCAGCCAGGATAACAAGGATACAGTCCAGCATGCAATACACAGTAAGGTGGAACCCAGAGGGATATTAGAAAAGGAAGATAAAGAAGTAGGTCTTTGATCTATCTCCGATATTTGAGGGAAATCAGTGCAGGTCTGGTATCTAGCGATATAACAGAATATATTCTTTGGGTAATGAAAAGGAAAGGCTTATCCTCTGAGTCCTTGGATTACCTCTAACTGGGCCTAAGATATCTCAATCATATGCGTTCTCCTTGTAGTTCATTATAGTGGCAGCTCTGCTGCTTAGCTTGGTCCATGCCCAACCCAGGCCCCAGGCTCAGGGCGAGCCCATTCCCATCATCAGACAGGAGCAAGAGGTTAACTTCGATGGCTCCTATAAGTACTCCTACGAGACGGGCAATGGGATCAATGTTGCGGAGGAGGGCTACCTGAAGAACGCGGGCACCGACAATGCCGGCCAGGTGAGTGTGCATCAGCAGCAGCCTCGAAGTCGTGCCCAGCCATCGTGGCATTTGGCTGGATGGCAATTTGCCCAAAGTGAACCAAATGAATCTGCAACTGATCGCAACTCACATTTGCATCTCGTCCAAAAAGGTCGCGCAGGGCTCCTTCTCCTACACCTCGCCGGAGGGCATACCCATCCAGATAACCTATCTGGCAGACGAGAATGGCTTCCAGCCGCAGGGCGATCACCTGCCCACACCGCCACCCATCCCGCCTGCGATCCAGAAGGCACTGGCCTACCTGGCCACCGCTCCTCCACCGCCGCAAGAGCCACAGCAGGGCGGCGGTGGGTTCAACAACCGACGGGGCTAAATACATCAACTCACTCCATTCACATAGATTACCTGATTTTCATTTATAAAACCTGTGCGAATTAATAATAAAACTGGCCATACAACAACAGAGTCTGAGTCGAATTATTCTTGAAGATTTACCTGAAAGGTTTCACAATTCACTTAAGGCGGCTTCATCAATTGAATAAAAATTCTATTTAATGGTGTATATTACAGGTAAGATAAATATTAGTATTCGGCAATTACTGTTTTTAGGTGGTTCTTCTTGACATTTTCATTTCTTCTTTAAGAGTCAATAAAAATGTATTCTTTTTATTATATTGCCTCAGGATAAACTTAATTAATACAGCAGAAAGAACAGAAAACAAGACAATTCTTATGGATTGGGGATAGTTTTGTAAGAAGGTCTTGCAGAAATATATATACATATAGGTTTCAGTTACTTGTAAATATTGTAGATATTTATTATACAAGTTTTTATACCCACGCAGCAAAAGGAAATTGATTTAATAAGAGATTTTATGTAGTGTAATATTTTCTAATTTTGTCTGTTGCTAAATTCAAAAGCAAGAATGCTGGAGGACAAAAATATACTTCGTTTTAATGGCATTTTATATATATTTAAAATTATTCTAAAGAGAGCATTTTAACTATTCGGTAAATTAATAACTTTACAATATAACTCTTTGGTTCAGAGATCAAATACAAAGATACCCATTAAATTTGGAATTCTTAGATGATTTTTCCATTAACTCAAAGTAAAGGCTTCTCGCAATTTATTGCATAGTTTCAGGCGGTTCTGAGTAAATCTTCAGCTTGCTGCCAAGCTCCAAAATCTTCTGAACTATCCGCTGTCCGAAACTCTTCAAGTCACCAAGAAGATCAAGAAATGCCAAGTGCCAAAGTGACTCCCGTGACCACGGCAATAGATCTCCATTAAGTCGCCTCACCTGCTGAGCTGGCTGTGCCTTCCTACAAATTATGAATTAATCGGCTCGTAAACCAAGGCGCTTAATTGATCAAGTCACCCACCGGTGCACCCGGTCGGAGCAGTGGCAATTAGACACAACTAGCCACTCAGGGCACCCGGAGCGGAGCCCCGACACTGTGTGGGCGGATGGGGTGCATCCGAAAGGTATAAAGCTGGGGGCCGTCGGCTAGAGCTTTTCATTGCTCGTCTTCGACGATGTGGCTGCGCGTAACGGTGAGTCGGATTGGTGGGGCTTAGCTATTCCACCAGTGGATTAACCTAGTCGCTGACACCTTCCAGATCGCTCTTCTCCTGGCCTGCGTGGCCATGACTCTGGCCCAGGGCGATGGACGCTATCGTCCTCAGCCCACGCGGGCTGCCGCCGCCGGAGACGGACGCTATCGAGGAGGTAACGATGGCAGGTACACGGGCAGCAGCGATGGCCGGTATCGTGGTGGCAACGATGGCAGGTATTCCGGCGGAAATGATGGACGCTATGTCCACCAGGACAACAAGTACCAGCATGACGATCGTCCTGGAGGGGCTTACTCGGGAGACCAAGGACGCTATGTGGGTGACAAGAACAGGGGCGGTGGTGCCGGAGGAGGCGGCGGAGCAGGAGCAGGCGGTGGTGCAGCTTTCGGCGGAGGAGGGGCAGCCGGGGCAGCCAGAACCACAGCCCGGCCCAAGCCGCGTCCAAGTACTCCAGCTCTACCGGCGGTGCCCGATCCCACTGCAAATTTACCAAAGGGACGCGGCACTGGTGAAGGTGGCAATGGTTGGGCCATTATCCGCCAGGAGGATGATGTGGATCAGGACGGCTATCACTATCTATGGGAGACGGAGAACGGCATCCTGGCCGAGGAGAGTGGCCGCATAGAGAAGCTGACCGAGGAGGATGGCCTGCGCTCCAAGGGTTTCTACGAGTACACCGGCGACGATGGCATCCTCTATCGCGTGGATTACGTGGCGGATGACAATGGCTTCGTGCCCAGTGCCGCCCACCTGCCCACAGCTCCACCTGCACCACCATATGTGGCCAAATTGTTGGAGTATCTCGAAGCAAATGCCAAGAAGAAGAAATAAATGTGTTGTAGAAATGTCAGAGGTTAATGAAATAAATAATGTGCCATAAATAATATTGAAGTTTCAAGTTTAAATTAACGAAATTAATATAGCAATTCGATTTTACAAGAATTTACACAAATATATTTAATTGTATGGACTGCAAAGGCTTAAACTTATTTAAATTTCTGAAGCCTTGCTTTATTAAAATATATTTTATATGAGTTTTTTTTTTTTTTTTAATTAGTAATGGGTAATAATAATATTAGTTTTCATTGCTTAAAAGTATTAAATCCTACAGGGTGAATTTTCCAAACTACAGTTTATTTTCTTTTCTATCTATTCAGATTTAATAGATATTTTTCTATTTCTATAGGCTCTATAGGTTTTAGCTCAGTGTAGGCAGGATGTGCTGTTGTATGTATTCCAGGACCTCGTTTATGGTATTATGAATCTTGGCAGGCTGAAAGCAGATAAATTATAGTAATACATACATTAGAACATAAAAGAAACTTAATTTTTGAAATAGTTTGAATAAGACTTACATCCCTCTCGGAGTAGATGTTAGTTTTCCGCAGCTTCTGCTCTTCAACTGTCTCCGGAATTGCCTCCTCAACTGGCTCCGGCTGGGACTGACTGGTCTCTGCCACGGTTACTTCGCTCTCCGGCTGACAGCTCGCCTCACATCCTTCGTCCGGCTCCTGGTACTCGTAGGCCTGATTTTCATGTTCCGAATCCGACACCGATTCCGACTCGTCACCCCACAGCTTGTTCTCATTGACATAGCTATAGCGCTTGGTGTCCGGATGCGATTCGTCGCCATCGCGCAGCCACTGGAATTGGATTATCTGCCAGCCGGTGCCATTGAAGTTGAAGTCGATCATAAAGCGCAGATGATCACGGGGACCCAACGACAGGGAATCGCCACCGGCTTCCTGCACACGGGCCTCCAGTTGATCCTGGACGTTGCGGAAGATGCCGCGCAGATCGGCGGAGTAGGGCTCACCGCGGTCCCCATAGCCACCATCATAGGGCCGGGGATCGTGGCGGTACTTTCCACTATTATCGGGAACGTACCAGCCAGCCGTGGCTCCATGCAACTCGGGCACATAGCGTCCACGCTTCACGTGCAGTGAATCCGGTCGCTCCCCATCCTCTGCCCAGGAGCCTCCGACCAGCAGTAGAGCGACCAGCAAACGTGTGTCCATGTTGACAACGAGATAACGTCTGAACCGATTCCATTGCACTTGGCATCCATTTTGGTTTCGTCAATAGAGTTTTTTCGCCTATAAATTGCGAGGTTTATGTCCAAGACGGCATCGTTTAATTGGCTTAAATATGGGCGGGATGCGAGCTGATTCGGTGGCTCATCCGTTACTAGAGAAATATAGGAATTCTTTGCATACTAACAAGTCATTTGGAAACAACTTAGTTAGCAACTCGTTTGCATTGACGACAGTGCGTTGCATTTAACCTTTCTGAGATGCATGGCGGCGGTGCAAGTCGGCTCGAAATTGGGGGCGACAGCTTCGGGAGATGATAAAATTATGCTTAGATAGCTTCATACCTATTTAATTTAATTAATTTACATTTTTAAATAAATAAGTAAAGTCCCATTCACAAAGACTAGGAAATGTTTGACTTCTGTTGTATTTCTTTTTCGCTTGATAATATAATATTATACTTTAAAAACTAAGGAGAACATGGTCTTGAAATAAGCTCTTAGTAAATTGTATATATTAATTATAAAAGGATGACCTAATATCTCAACCAGCTTAATCCAGAGTCATTCAACTCTTAATTTTACGATTTGTGAATCAGCCAAAAAGAGCCGCTTCCAGAAACGCGATAATCCCCCCGAATTAATGTCTTTTCTGGTCGCTTCATTCATCGATTGATCGATGATTGGCCAGACGAGTTTCAATTTGTTTACATTTCAGCAAATCCAATGGGATCAAAGGCAATTAGTGTCGTTTAAATCAAATTTAAGCCGAATCATAAACAATGAAACGCCCGTTTTGTTTTAATGAGCATTAATAACAATAATGTCTGTCAATCAATCAAGCCGCCAGATAGGTCAACTCGTACAATTCGATATCCATTAATCATTTCGTTGGAGTCGTTGATTTGGGTAATCACAAGTCACAACATCCCCGACGATAGAATCTTCAAGAGATGTGAGAAATCGAAAGCTTCACGCCCCCAAAACAAGGTGAACCCGGAGTGTTCTTGGGGGAACCTTGCGCATATTTGGATTATTTGATCATGGTTAGGAAGTGATCCGAGATAGATGGACCATGAATCATGGGGTTAAGAAACTTACACACCAGACGGATCAGATCATTGCTGCTTGGGGAAATTATATATTCTACAAGTATTAGAACTGCAATTTGTTGATAAGCCAACAGGTTGATGGGTCTGGTTTGTGAAATCTCGAATTGTTCGTGATTTTAAATTATTCACATGGCATAAATAAGCAGAGAGACTGCCGTTGGCAGTGACTTGCCAACAATATGGTGCGTAATTTGGTGTTTTGCATGCAATTAATTAATCGCACAAATCGCCGGCTATACCGCTCCCGGGGAATTATCCACACTTCCCTCAAAAATATATACCAGATTGTCCTTCGGATTGCTCAAATTATCACCACTTACAGCTGACAATTTACTATATAAATTGAGTTTAGTCAGAGAGTGAGAGAGAGACTTACCAGACGGCGCCTGCAGTTAAATATTTAATGATAATTCTGCGGTTTATCTTGACTAGGTACATATTTCTGTGGTACAATATCACAAAATTCCATTCAGATGAGCTCATCCTCTCATCCCAGATCGCTGGTGAAATATACTCGTTATAATACATTTCTCTTTTTCGCACTTGTCAGGCTGCAAATTTATTTATATGTGATATTTCCTTTTTATATTGAAATTTATATTTGCACACTCCTTACAAGAGCCGTGATATGAAATGGCCATGAAATTCACTTTATTTAGCACCTTTGCACGAGAGGGAGGCGATCGTTTGATCAATATTTTCGGTGCTTTGAACCTGGCTTACACTTGGGTTATTTAGGGCCTCCAGTCCCGTGTCAATATCCAGGGCCAGGTGTCGGGTTCCAGGTTCGGTTAGGAATTTCGGGGTTTTGGATTCCACACATTTTAGAATCCAATTACGACTCATTGTGCCCGGTAATTTGTTGTCATTGTTGTTGAGGCCTCTGCTCCAGTTTGCAGTTTGTCATTTTGGCCTTTGTTTCCCTCTTAGTACAAAATTTCGTTTTGTAAATTAATTCGTTGGGTGAAACAAATGCCAAACAATTAATGGCATAACTGGCTTGTACTTAATGGGAATGCGCCGAAATGCTACCAAAAATCCATCCATCTATCGTGGCATTCGGTGGCTAAACTGGCTTCTCGGCCGTAACAAATATTTATAGACATGAATTTCTGATTTATTCCATCTCGGACTGTACTAATTGAACCAAAAAAGGAGAGCGAACGATAATTAAACAAACCGGGTGAACAATTTGGCATCAAAATTTGCGAACAAAAACCGAAATCAAAACAATTGCGAGGGAAAAATGATACTCGCCCGAAGCCCACACAAAAATGAGACTTATTTATGGGCATATTGTCGCAGAATGTACAGCCTATAAAGATTTCATTTGTTTTGCGATAAATGCTAAAGATTCTGGCAGCAGGGCTTAGGGGGTGAAAATACCCCTAAATCATCTCTTGATCGAGAACAGGAATGCCAAGGAAATAACGTAATTTCGTATTATAATCCATTTGCAAACATTTTTTTGTTGGAGTTCGCCAGGAGAGAAATAATCGAGGAGACAACCATCTGTAAATTAGGGGAAATGGGTTTTTTATTAAGATATAATATACAGAGAAAGAAAATTGGATTCAGCTTTATTTATTTAGTTATTATGAGTATCAATGAAATATTATTCTGTTCTGTATGAATCAAAATATTAAAACTCTTCGCATAAAAAGTTAAAGAATATCCCAGTCTAAGATCAGGGCTTCACTGCCCTCGAGATTACAGCATGCTCCACTAGCATAATGCTCTAATTAATGGCTCTGAAAGAAAGATACGAGACAGCCCTCAAAACATAAATAAATAAAAAACATTGTACAGATTAGAGCGTATTCCGCGGGCATATCATATTATAATAGTATATAATCCAACATATAGCATAGCAAGGGTCTGTGTTAGTGACACATGTGGCTTCGCCGGCTTAATCACTTTCATTTAAAATCAACAAAAACAATAAATACAAACACAAAGAAATCAGAATGCGAGACTCTCGTTTATCTTGAGTTCGGAAGCGCGCTTGGGTCCACGCTAGTATGCGTCCGGAAACCATGGGCCGCGGAACTGAGCTCTCCGCTGCGGGACCTCTTTGGATCGGTGTGTTCTGGCTGATGGCCGGAGCTGTGGCCTCCTCCTCCTCCGACGATGTGCTACGCTGCTTCCAGTGCAGCGAATCGGACATCTCGTGCGGCTCCCCGCGGAATCCCCTTGGCAATGTGCTCGAGTGTCCCAACTCGACCATGTGCTCGTACACCGAACGGACACTGGTGCTGAATGGTCGCGAGTGGACCAAGACTTTGAGGGGATGTGCCAACCAGGTCCAGCGCACCGTTGACCTGGTCAACCGGAAGTGGGAGTTTGGCTACGAGGTGAAGGGGGATCAGTACGAGGAGGGCTGCGTGCGAAAGGACAAGGTTAACTACTGCCACTGCCGGGGATCGCTATGCAACTCGTCGAGTTTCTCCAAGCTCGACTTCCGGCTGCTGATCTTTGCAAGCATCGTCATCGTCGTCCGTGGAATACATCTCCTCCTCCTTTTTTCCGGCTAGTCGGAGACACTTTTTGGGGTGTGTTTCCCAACGCATTTCCTGCCACCGTCTCACATAGTCTGAAATATGTAGTAGCTTTAAGCAGATTATGGATTTACGTGCGACACTTTCCAAAGGTGAAGCCGAAGCCTTGTCAATAAAGTCAGTCACACAAACCCGTTCCTGGCATTGGATCATAAAAGCATATGCTTCACCGGGGGATTAGCATCTGATCGATCCTACCTGGATTTTCGTGAGATGAGATGTGTGATATACTTGTGACGCATCAAAGAAAGTGCCAGATTTGACCAGCATTGTGACTCAGGGTCAATGCCAATGTCATTTATACGTATAAACAGAGTTTGCTGAATTTTTTATTTTATAGAACGTATAAAATAATAATACCAGCAGCACTCCTGCGGCGTGAAGATCTGATATCGTATTTGGAATAGCATGCAAATCAAGTGCCAACCGGTGCGAGGGCATCACAAATCGTACCTGTAATTGATTAAAAACTCATCTTATTTAAATATTTATTAAGTATTTGTGACTTTTATGAATGCCCCCATATAGATAGCGCCGAAAGCCAAACCGAACTCGGTAAGTAACAATAACAGCACGCGCCGTGATTCACCACACATACACCGATGATCCGCTCTCGCCGGGATCTCGGTCTTGGGTTTCCAGATCGTTGGGTTCAGCGTACGACCTTTGGAGTGCAGTGACTGTGACGCAGTATCGATACTTGGCAGAGGCATCGATGTATTCGCCATCACTAAATGATGCTGGGATGCTCGGATGCTGGGATGCTCGGTTGCGGCATTTTAATCACAGTTTATGTGGATGACTGTTATTAATCGGCAAAAGTCCGCCACTGACAATCATTCTTCATGGGATAATGCATTGAGAAAAAATATATAAAGAAATTAAGACTGAATTTTAAAGATTTTCAGTTAAAGATATTTTTTGAATGCTTAAAACCCTATATACTATGGGATTCTAAAAGCCTTAAAATTAAAAATGTAATACATTAACCAGGTACCAAAGAAAGAACCATTAAATAAATTGAAATATTAAATATATATACATCAAATAAAATCCAAAATAAGCAAAGATTATATGCAATTTTGTCTGTGTTTTTTTTTCCTATGAACTTGACAGCGTCTTCCGAGGCGAAACCGTTAAGGACACATTCCAAGACGATCCCCAAGCTGTCACTGTCAGCGCCGTCGCGACGGCTGTGTCAACGTTTGCCACAAACAATTAAATTCGTTTTTGTCAACATTTTTCTTATGCCAATTCCCTCCGATTCCGGTTTTAATATGCACGTATGCTGCGATCACCGAAAACTGAAGCCCAACCCCATCCTCATCCTCATCCTCATCCACATCCTCATCTCCATCTCGATTTCGATTCCGATCTGCGATGCTTCGATATTAATGCATTTTTCGTTGCGGCAGGCGTGCGCATTGTCTGAATTCTTTCTTATTTTATTTATTTATATTGTTTGTTCAGTTTTTTTTGCTGTATTTCCGCTGCGACGGCTTAATTTATGATTTCATTACGGCACTTTTATGGCGCTTCCGAGTGCCTCCAGGTAGTTGGGGATATGCGTATCTGTGATGTTGTCATCGGTTGCCACGGCTAGTTAAGCATTGAGCTCCAGCTGTGAAGTTAACGGTGGTCATTTAGGGATCAGGGAAGTGGCTTAAACTATATATATATGGGGATATTTTTTATGGCATTTTTTGGAAACTGTAAAAAATAAACGAGGAGAATATATGTATGTAAAGTTCAATTGGTTTTGTGGTATGTTTTAAGGTACAGAAAGACGTCACTAGACTTCCTTTGTTTTTCCCCTATATGCTTAATTACAATCAAATTATGTATTTTTCACATTGAAAATCTCAAATAAATAAACAAAAATTACCTATATATTTTGTTTGAAAAAGATTAATCTGTGTTTAGCACTGACCCAAACTTAACCTTCGATTATCAACGAATTAAAATTGCTGCCAAAAATGATTCGCTCTTGTTGTTCAGCAGAATTTCGATGACACTACGCTAATTAAAATTGGGAATTTCTTCTACAAAACTCATGTAAACACGACGAGTCATCGAAAGTCCTTAGCTCAAAGATCATTTAACCCATGTACATATAAGTTAAACTTGGTAAACAACTCCAGACAGAGACTATTGTCATTCTTTGAGTTGCTTAAACTGAAACAATGAACTTAATAATGAGGCATTTGCCAAAAATAATACAGTATAATACAAATTGTTTAATTAATTTTATATGTAATTACGTTTATTTGGTGACATTGATACGCATTATAAATAATTGTCTCTGAGAACGATTAAGTTTAGAGAGAGACCGAGACAGAGAGGGGAACCCGACTCATCATCTAAAAAATCCAAAAGGGAGCAGCTTGGAGAATCGCTCTTTGAAGAATCATGGTTGATGAACCGAAGTGAACCGACGAATCTTCTCTCGGAGAATTTAGGCGCGTCGATGCGTCGAGAGTAGCTTCGCTTCGACTGAGGCTGCGAACCTGGCATATTTCTATATAAATCCGGTGTACTTGAACGGCAACCAAACATTCCTGTTGCAGTCGCCCTCAGAGCAGGATTACCCAGCCAGCAGTATCAGTTCGAGGATATATTTCCCCCTCAAAAAGGATAACTCCCATCAACATGTTCACCAAGTCAATGCTCTGCTTCTCCCTGGCCGCGGTGAGTAGTTAAACAGGATGTGTGTGATATTGATCCTGATCAGTGCCGAAAAACAGTGTTGCCAAAAGTGTTGTGTTACCAAAAATATTAAACGATTATAAATGAAATGAATTAAGTATTTCATTAACTTCATTATACGGTGCAAAGCAAGTTTGAGCTCGGCTGCACCTTTAAATAATTAACACAATTCGCAGATTAATTTCAATATCAACTGTTTGCACAGAAAAAAAATAAAGATTGATAAGTAAGGAAGTATAAATTAAATATGTATTTTTTAGATAATTATACCCTTGCAGGGTATTCTAATTTTAGTCAGAAGACTTAAAAGCAGTGAAGACGTCATTTCCGACATTCTTGATCAGCATCAAAAGCCGAATCGATCTAGTAATGTTCCCTTGAAAAATAAAATTTTCAATTTTTTTCCAAATTTTATAAGGGGTTACAGGGTTAAAATTGTCAAAAAATTTACGAAAATTTGAAATTGGTTAAAATGTTAATATTAGTATACAGATTTATTAATATGCTAAAAACTAGCACATAAATACTTTCCGTATTCGAATTAAGGCTTTTTTGCCTTAATTGTGATATTTTTAACTTTGATTTGACCGAAACAATTAAAATTAAAATATCGATTTACAGTCACTACATTCCTTCTGGTTATAAATCAAAATCTCTGATCTCTCTTTGAGTTATATAGTTAAAATTAATAGTAATGGTAGTTTAAGGTAATCTTCTGAGCGAAAACTGATATAAATAAATAAAAAGAAGATATACGGAAAAAGATTTTTAATTTTTGTCCTCAGTTAATATATGTATATATCTTATATACTCCCTTCCCATTAGGCCCTCATTGCTGTCTGCCACTCCAGTCCGCTTCCGGACGAGAATGGCAAGTATAATCCCAACAACGACGGCAGATATCGTGCCACCGATGATGGACGTTACCATGCGAGTTCACAAAACGAAGGTATTTTCGTGATTCAACCTCAAAAATAACGTGCCTACTGCCACGCCCACTGACTGCATGCCGCCGCAGAAGCTAAAGCTGCCGCCCACTAAAAGCAAGATCGACTTGCCCAAAAACTAACACTCTCACCCTACTAAATACTATAGCCATGTATAAATAATATTTACTAGCCCCCCGGACATGTGAATACTCGATGATATCGACAACACACTTATACCAATAATCTGTTGACTCTCTTATAAGTTCAAGCTCAAGGCTGACGGATCAAAATTAGCGAAATTGTAAACAACCAAAAAAAATACAAGGCCTTGAGCTGAGCTTTTAACACTAACCCCCAAGAACTCTTATTCTTTTAGCACTTTGATATTAAACATTTAATCTCTTATAGGATGGAGTGGTTCGCAAGACAGTTTAGGTAAAATATAAAAAAAAGGGAACTCACACAATCACACTCATTTTATACAAAAAGCAGATGAAAGTTGACACTTTTGGTTAATTTGACTTAACTGTAGCTTAACTCCAAATTTAAACCTCTTCTAAGAAGGCTCAACTGCCACTTTTGTACATAAAGCATATGAGAAACTAATTAATTCTGTAAATATCTGTTGTTGGATATGTATAATTTGAATAGTTTCGAACTGAAAACTCACCTCACACTCACACCAGAGAGGGAAGTCTGTAAGAATAACACACTAACCAGAGATTTGTTTTGTTAACCTCAAGGTCGCTACCATCATATGGTGCAGCCCTATAACCATGTGAGTGATCACCGTGAGCTCGGAGTGTACCATCACATTCCCTACCCCTATGATGGCGGCTATGGACCCTATTCCGGCCTGAATCTTCCCTATGTCCATGATGACAGGCCCTACAAGTGAGTAATATTATTTGTTTTCTGGACAATTATATTCCTAACTCTATATCTCACTCTCTCCCCTATAGCCACGACCTGTACACAGTAAGTAACGCCGAGTTTAAGGTACCAGAAATCCGCTTGGAGTACGGCTTCCCCGATCATGAACCCCATCACGAACCGAGCACACAGCACTAAGATTCCAAGATTCCCTCCAACAACAACACCGAGAACTCCCCGCAATCCCGAACCCCATGCTTTCATAACCAAAACCAAGCACAAAATTTGAGAATGTTTTTCGGCTCTGCAATTAAATCCTTCCCCACGCGCCACATGACACCATGACACCTTCCCACATCCGGTTTCCTGCCTGCATGACCCCACCAATTCCTTATTCCCGATGCAACACACTCGCATGCAACCCCCACAAAAAAAAAAAAACACCCAAAAAACACACCCAAGCACGCCAGTTCCGAACTCAAGAAAATCAACTGAATACCACAGAGTACGACCACAAAGAAACCCACAACTACCACCAAAAGGACGACGACGACTACCACCACGACGACCACCACGCCCAGGAATATCCTGTTTAACTATGACGACGAGGGCGGCCACAAGATCCTGCACCAGGAGGAGGTCCGCGCCAAGGACAAATACGATCATGCGTAAGTCTCAAAATTTAAAAAGATTTATCTCTTAAAACCAAAAAAAATAATATTATTACTTTAATTCTCCTTTGTACCCAACAGTTACCTGACCGAGAACGGAATCTATGGCGAGGAACAGGCCAAGCTCCATCATACTGGTGGCACCCATGCCAAGGGCTACTACGAGTACACCGGTGACGATGGCAAGCTTTATCGCGTGAACTATGCCTCCAATGATGGTGGTTTCATGCCCCAGGGGGATCACATTCATCCCATACCCGAGCCCATTGCCCGTGCCCTCAAGTACATTGAGGAGCAGCACAAGGCCAATGGAGGCGCTCAGTTCGATCATCGTGGCTTCCGCATTAACCACATGACCAAGGACATTAAGGCCCAGATCAAGGCGATGGACCTCAAGCATATGCCGAAGGCGCTAAGCGAACAAATCCTTATGCTCGAGCATGAGGTGGAGCTGGCTGAGGAAGAGGAGCGCGAAGAGCAGGCCGAGATGGAGCGCCAGCGCAAAGCCAAGTTGCACTAAGAACTGAACTTGGAGCGGGTTCACCCCAGACTCGCCTCATCCACAGCCATAACATATATGTTCCCCGCTACCAAATCAAATCCCCTGACCAGTCCTAGTCCATCCAGAACCCAGCACCCAACTCCATTCCCCATGCATTGCCTAAGAGATCATGATCATGATTATGATCCTTGGCCAAACACTATAACAAGCCATCGCAAAACCACAAAAAAAGGAAAAGGAAGAATAGGTGAAGAATGACAGCATCATCGAATTGCAACCGGAAAACATCCGTATCTATATATATAGTCCGCTCCCATGTTATTTTGTATTTATTTATCTATCGAACTTGTCGAATTTGACGATGTTGCTATGCATAAGATAATTAATATTTGTTATACGCTATATCGAAATAAAACCTACTTAATATTTGTTATAAATTACCAAGAATTTTAATTGCAAGAATGCGAAGATCATCGCGGGCCCTTGACTCGCAGAGTCAGAGTCACATTATTGAGATTCAAAGGCCGAGGCGAAAGTGTCTGACATTTTGCCAAATTATATTCAAGATTTTCAATACACAATATACGGGCGGCGTTAAAAAATTAATGGGTTTGTTGAACCCCCCTCAATCGAGACCGAAACAAGTCTCAATCTAAGTACGAGTTTTGTGTACACAATTCGTATACACATTTCTGATTAGCAAAGTGACCTAGTTTTGTGTTTTATTTTAAATAAGTAGCACTTTACGACTTTTACTAGACGAGTTTAAACTCATTCGAGTTCGTAGGTTAAATCTATTTGGGAGTGGTATGTATATATTTAGAGTGTCAGTGTATCTATTCAATCTGCTTAAAATAATTAACAGTCAATAAATCACTCAAACCTCAAAAGTAAGTTTTTAAAACCTAGAAAAAATGGCTGCTTTAATCTTAAGAAAACTCTTACATTATTTGTATATTTTTTGTATTTCTGGCAACAAATTTTTATTTCAATTGGGGAATTCTGATTTCTAAAATCAACGGGATGGAACCAAATTTGAAATCAGGGAAAATAAGCTGGTGACCTGCGACTTTGCATAATTTAGAGTTTCATTATTGAAGGAAACGATACCTTTTAGGAGATCTCTTATTTCGTTTAGGGGTTTTGACATTCGACGCAACTCGGTTCTCAAGGCTGCAAAAGGAACAAAATAAATTTCATATTTTTCAAGATCAAAAGACATTAACTGTGAGCAATTAACCAACTTACAGAGAATCAATGGACGTAAAAGGACAGCATCACTTTGGAGTTTGCCCCTCGCTGGGGTAAAGGTGTAAATATCGTCCGTATCATCCATCTCGTCATTATATTTCTCATTGATCTCCTCCCAATTCCGGTCTAGAAGACCGGCAGTTGGGTCTGGAATTGGGACTGGTTTGGAATTGGCAATGGGATTGGCTAAGACCCCATTAAACTGGTTTCGATAGTACAGGTCCCGATAGTTACGGTTCCTAGAGCCGATCCGGGAATCTCCCTTACATGCCATAACTGCTAGTATAAGCACAAAGAGGCAAGATAGCTGAAAAGATATAACACCCCAGGATATAAGCGCACATCCCTTCCGGAGCATCTTATTCAACTTACCAGCTTTGGAGACATTTTAACTTCTTGCGACTGTCAACTTTGATGCCCGAAAGAACTGTAACAGCCAATATGGTTTACAGATCATTTATATATACATACATGTTCGCACTATTTTGCATAAACGATGAATAGAATTGGGTTAACGACCACACGAGTGGCTTAGAACTTACAAATTTTTTATTGCCTTTATTAAATTAAGCGTGTTTCGAGTTAGAAAGATAGAATTGCTAATATCGGATGTGGAAAAATTTTGAATTCTTTCAAAAATGATTTAATGTGAAGTTTTTCTAAGATATGTAACATATAATCCACAAGATACCTGCTCAAAGGATAATTTGATCACTTGAAAGTTTATCATTTAATTAATTTTAGTAAATCGATTCGATATTCAACCTCTATAATTAAAATCAATTACTAGGAACACTCGGTCCTATGACACTTAAAGATAGATTATCATAAAAAAATGAAAATTAGGATTAATTTAAAAGTTAATTTTTTAATTTCCGGTAAGAAATTTTTTTAATAGGACGGAGCAAAGCCCGAAATCAAGTTGTAATCATTAAGTATCGATGAACATTGAGTAACTATTATCAGCAGATAACTATGATCAGTAAGTAACTATGATCAGTAATTATCTATAATCAGTAGTTAACTATGATCAGTATGTATCAATGAATAGTAAGTAACTTTGACCAGGAAGTATCTATGACCAGTAAGTATCAAGGACCAATAAGTATCTATGAACACTAATAAACAATGACTTGCAACTTTTGTAACACAACACTTCTCTGAGACTTGGCCGGCAGAAGTCACTTCGTTCCGGGGATGTTAGAACCAGTTGGGAATCATATGCACAGATGTTCGAGATTTGGTTTGGAACAAATTTAAGCTATTTGAATTAAACTATGAATCTATTCTTCTATATAATTCTTCTATATTAATTTTACTAGTATATAAATTGGAGCATGTTGAATCGGTATATATATATATATATATATATATATATATATATATATATATAGCTGCCATAGGAACGATCAAAAAATTTTAAGAGAAAAAAATATAACTTTTCCAGTTTTCAAAAGATTTTAATCAAAGTTCATATATAGCTATATATATATATATATATAACACCAGTTTGTATATCCGGTCAGCCAGTGAAAAAAAGAGGCGTTCATTGCCTATTCATACTGTTGTAGTTTTTTAGGTAACAGACAAATTATTATTACTATGGTATATTTATTTATGAAAAAATAGAGTTAGAGGGGGGAAATACGGTTAAGTATAGAATTTCTATAACGAGTTTGCAGATTTGAAATCAATGAGTAAAAGCTCTTCGCCTGGGTCTTCAAAAAAGACTGAGTGTTCTCCAGCACGGACAGAATACTTTTATTGGTAACCTCACTTTGGTAATGAAGTTTAACTAGCCTACGCATCTGTCGTTCCATGGCTGCAAAAGAATAAAGTCCATATTAGTTTTAGGGGTACAAGAAATCATAAAATGTTGTAGCTGCAAAAGAAGGAAGCTTGCCAAAATTAAATTGAAGCATTTTTGGCTTAGATATGATCGATTTACGACTCGATACTTGATTCAATAGATAACTAAATAGGGTATAGTATTTTTGTCTTCTTTCTTATTTTTAGTTGAGTTAATTTTGCATTAGGACTCCTTAAGTGAGATAATAAATTCCTTAAGAATAACACGTGTAAATCTTGTAAATATACTCACAGTATATTACCGGAACGCTTTTTGGATTCCCAGCGATATAGCTCTGGATATTCTCCGACAGACCCTTCTGTCCTAGGATTCTATCCTCCGTACCGTCATTTTCATCATTGTCATATTCCTGGACCTCTTCCTGATTCTCGACTGAGAGATCTCCATCGTAACCCTGATTCCGATAGTACATAATCCGATACTTAGGGTTCCTAAAGGAGTTCCGGGAGTCTCCTTCACAGGCAATAATTGCCATTATAAGCACAAACAAGCATGATAGCTAAAGGGATACAGCGTCTCAGGATATCAGAACACAACCTTTTAATAGAGTATATTCCAACTTACCAGCTTTAAAGACATATTGCAACTTTAAACGATGGCCGGTTCAAGGTAACTGTGACAGCATCTGCGACTCACGGGTCATTTTATATCGAACTCAGTGTCCTCATTAACCCATTTCTCAAAGGTGTCTTCGGTCAACGCATTCTTACCCCTCTTCAAATGCAGACAGTTCATAATTTATTGTTTTATTATAACTTGGACTTGGAGTTTTTAAGCGTGTCTAAAATTAAAGCAAATAATATACATATATAGAAATGCTAATTTAGATTATAAACAAAATTTCCATTTCTTTCAAAGAAGAATTCGAGAAGACTTTAACAGCTTTTTGAGAATAAGAATTAAGATGTTTTAAAAGGGTACTTTTGGCTAATTTAAGATATAGTGCATCTTGATACTATTTTTAGCAGAAATAAGGCTTCGTTGAGAGCATTGCTTTAGAAACTCAATAGGTCTCAGAAAGACAGACAGACGCCAAGATATACTGATCTGATAATTCTGATCCAAGATTACATATACAATATGTGGCTACTCTATAAGCTTTTAGTCTAAATTTTAATACTTGGCAACGGATAAAGCCTGAGAAATAGTTTCCCTGGACTTTACCTATAAAATTCCATAACGCAAGCCAACCCAAAAAAACAAAACACAAATGGAAACAAACAGCCATTGTGATTATGTAATTTTGTTGTTACATTTTTATTTATTCTTTATTATTAGTATTGTATTCTTCATTCCTCTTCTAATGCATTTCTTCAAAGAATTTCAATTCATTAATTTATTCATAAAAAATATTATTATCTTTACTAACTTCAATATTTGCAGCACACTTTTGAGCTTGTCATAAAATCCGCAAAGCTTTTAAGGCGTTACCTTGATTACGCAGCTTCATAGGCAATAATCAATAAAATAAACAGAAAATGGCTGCCTTCATCTTAACGAAACACTCGAGTAAAACATTGTTTTTATTTCTGTGGTATTTATTTAAATTAAATTAAGAAGGCTGAACCATATGTCACACAACTAACTAGAAATATGTAGGAAGCAGTATTGGCATTATCTTAATGCTTGGTATGGACCACGTTAGCTGCAGCCGGTTGGCTGGCATAAAAAGCGGAATTCACGCCGTCATCTGAAAGAAATATATATAAGTTGGTATAATATATAGAAGAAGAAGTGATTAAAATAAAGAATTTTTCTTAAGTACGTAACTTAGGAAAAAGTTAATAAAGTATTCAATAGGAGTTAGGTATATGAAGTCTATTTAAGAACTGCTTTTACTTATGTTCTTCTTTCATAAAATTATCAGATCTTCCTTATTAAAGTTCATTTCAAAAAGATCAAATATATATATCATTGTGCATATACTCACAGGTAATCACTGGCCGGAAACCATTGGCATCGGCCAGGTACTTGACTCCCACGCGAAGACCCTCGGGCGTAATAAAGGAATAGGCACCCTCCACTTGCTCCTCCTGCTCCTGGTTGCCAATGTTGACGGGCACGCCCTTCTCCTCCCCATGGATGCCATTCTCTGTCTCATAGCTGTAGGAGTATGTGCCAGCGCCATAGTTCACATCGTTGTTCTGCTCCACAATCCTAGCCTGGGCGGCGACAATGTAGGGATTGTATTTCTTGTAGAAACCATCGTAGTAGCGTCTCAGGTTGTACAAATCCCGATTGCGGTAGTACAGATCTCGATAGTAGGGATTCCTCAGGTAGGGATTCGACTGGGTCTGTCCCTCACAGGCAATGGCGGCCAGGACGAGCACAAAGATGAACGAGAACTGAAATCTCAGGGGATTAGATCACACATCACTCACTCGGTCCATTCTAATTTACCAGCTTCAAAGACATTTTGGTTTTTTGCGTTTATTTTTGGCGACTTTCAGCGCTGATCTGTCCGACGGAACTGTAACAGCTTCTGCTGGCCACAGACCGCTTTTATAACCAACTCTGAATCCTAACCAGACCATTTTGCATAAGCATCGGATTTCGGTCCATAAAATTCATTGTATTCGGTCAAACTTTAGGGGCAGAGACAGGGGCTCAAACAGTTTCCGTTTAGAATTTAGATTGACTTTATTATTATTCGCGTGCCTTTGTTTGTATAATTAAAATTAAGAGCATCTCTTTGAGCCGACAAAACGATTGGCAAAATAAGCAAAAAATTGCTAAAGCACAGCTGGGGGGCGTTAAGTGTTTATTCGTGTTTAACTATATGAAGATGGTAATGCTAATTTCGATAGGGGAAATATTTTGTATTCAGTAGTGAAATTCGAGAAGCCACTGAATAAATTAATAGATTAATTTGCTAAGGATTACATCACTTTAACAAATTACAGATTACATATTTATTGAATTTCTATATGTATGGATTAAGGGTTATTATGTCAGACTATTGTTTAAGCAAGTTGGCATGTGAATCAATTTATTTTTAATAGGTTAAGGGGCGGAACTCAGTTCTGAATTTTACTTTTATTTAATAAATTGTATAAATTACTTTATCTCTTAAGTATTTACTATATATCCAGTACTTCTTTTTCTATTTGTTTTCCCAACAAAGGTTTTTATATATTTTCCTAGTTCGTCTCTTCAACTGGCTACCTCTCAGCTCCATTGCGTCTCATATAATTTATTGTTTCCATTGGAAATTGAGGTGAATACGGTGCCCATTCATGCCGTATACTGAGATGCGGCCACATGAATAAATATGAATGAAGTTGAAGCTCTCGGGGATGGCGATGATCCGGTGGCTCGGCGGAGGGGAAACCTCATCTCGATTGCATCGCCGCGTTCGGCCTTCACATTTCGCGTGCGATTTGACAGCCGTCAACGGGTGCAACAATAGCTGTGTAATTGTGTGCCTACACTAGTCAGCAAAAGTCACGTGCCAGTTTTGGTTTTATTAATTGGGAACCTTTAACGAGTTCCCCACCTAAAATGAGAATAGTATTAGCTTAACGGCCCCAATTAGCATTTGAATTCGAATTCAGAGCTGAGAATAAAACAAATTGCGATCAGTAAGCCTAAGCAATCAGAACAGAACCTAAGTCTGCTCTCCAACTGGAACTATAAATGTCCAAACACTGGCCATTCGTATATTTTATGGTTTCGAGAATCAACGAGTCGCGGCTCATCGCGGAATGCGTTAAATAAGATCTGGCCAAACGGACAAAAGATCTTTATTAGCTCATTTGCATAAATGAGCCGCTGAATATTTGTCGTCTAATTAATTGGCTTCAAATTTATATGGACTTGACTATTTAAATATTCATCGAGCATTGTATCTCTCTAGCGCAGAGCCTAAAAAAGAAGTATCCAAATTGACAATAGGCTTACATGTTAAGTTGTTAAGTTGGATTAAGTCTAGAGTCTTAACTTATATAAGAAATCGATAACTGAATTCAAATAAATGATTAATCAGTTTCTCACACTCGCCATGTCACAGCCACTCAGCACGTGAATGACAAAACAATTAGAACATAAATTATTTACTATATACCAGGGGCCCTAATTATGGCCATATTTGTCGTTTGACGGCTATAAAACCCTTGACCAGAAAGCAGTTTGTAGTTTAGATGCAATTCGAATGAATTGTTGGAGGAAGAGTACCAAGAAACCAAAGATGGAAAGGAAACGAAGCTACGAGGACTTCACGTTCATGGCCAGTACCATGTTCAGGACCCTGGGCTACGATTTAATGGACTCACCCAAACCCCTGTGGCAAAAGTTACTCCTTCGCAGCTATTTCCTTCTGTGTATAGTGAGCAACTGCTATGAGGCCTCCTTTGTGACCTACAGGATCCTGCAGTGGACATCTGTGGCTGGAAGTCCCTCGAAGATAATGCGACAAGCTCTGCACTTTTTCTACATGTTCAGTGCCCAGATAAAGTTCGTAACCTTTATGAAATATCGAAAAGAATTGCGATCGCTAAACCAGCAACTGAAAGATCTGTATCCCCACGATGAAGGCAAGCAAAAGGAGTACAATGTCAATAGGTTTTATCTCTCGCGAGCCACTCGATATGTCCTGTATTTCTACTACTTTGTGATGGTATTCATGGCACTGGGTCCTCTCCTGCAGTCTTGCATTATGTACCTGATCCGGTATGGTAAGGCAGAGTTTCTATATCTTAGGATATTTCCTACGCAGCTCAGCTTTAACACGGAGACCCCGCTGGGTTATATCTTGGGCTATGTTATAGACTTAACCTACAGTCAGTTTATCGTAAATGTCAGCCTGGGCACAGATCTCTGGATGATGTGTGTCTCCAGTCAGATTTCCATGCATTTTGCTCATTTGGCAAAGTTAATTGCCGAATATCGTCCAAGTTTAGAACGGGAACAACAGGACTGCGATTTTTTAGCCAGTGTGGTGAGGAGACATCAAGTTATACTCAGGTGGGTTTTAAAGGGTGATTTATAATTTCCTAGATTTAAATTCTTAGGTACACCTATTTTAAAAGATATATATCTATAGCTTTAAGATACTTCTAACTGCTAATTCATTTCTAATTTCTTTTGGCAGCTTACACAAGGACTTGAATCGAATATTTGGACTTTTATTGGCCTCGAACCTTTTTACCACTGCCAGTGTCCTCTGCTGTATGGCTTTTTACACTGTTGTGCAAGGCCTAAATAAGGAGGGCATCTCCTATTTAATGCTATTTGGCAGTGTGGCAGCCCAGTTCTATGTGGTCAGCTCCTATGGTCAAATGTTAATTGATTTGGTAAATACAATAAACAAATTTCGTATAAACTGCTAATATTTAAATATTTATTAGAGTACAAATATAGCTGTGGCTGCCTATGAACACAAATGGTATGAAGGCGGCCTGAGATACAGAAAAGATCTGGTCTTTGTGATCGCTCGGGCCCAGCGTCCAGCGGAAATATCAGCCAGGGGTTTATATATAATTTCCTTTGATACTTTCAAAACGGTAAAAATGAAAATGTTGTAAAGAATTCTCAGTAATTATTTTAATTTTATATTTTAGTCAATGTCTATTACATATCGATTCTTTGCGGTCATGCGTCAAACTGTGGGAAAGTAGAGTATTGTAGAGTGGTAGAAACATAGATTATGTCAGATCCAATAAAAGCACTATATTTAATATACCCCTACTTAGCGTTTGATGTCATTTAGCTTAATGAAAATGGCTATATATGCTGCTGCGTATAGATCGAAAGTTATTGATTCTGTTCTGTCTGTCAATTTATTCAACTCTGCTGTCTGCCGAAGCTAACGAACTGGAAAAAGCCAGCATGAAGGTTTATTGTAACGAACAGGTGCCCTACGGAACACCCACACCCATCGTCATAAGCATGAAGGTGCTACCAATCAAGACCACAATCACAGTGAGTCTAAGTACTCCCACCTATTTGTTGGCCTTCTTCGAGGTTGGAAATGAGTCTGGAAAGATGCCACCCAAATGGAAAAGAACCTCATCTCTCAGCAAAGAGCTTTCAGTGCTGGGAATTAGAAAAAGGCCAGATAAATGGCACTATGAAGAGGGATTCTGGACAAATTTAATTGGAATATTTTGGACGGCAAGCGATAAGTTTCTCACTTTGCTTGGCCGCTCGGAATGGCTTTCCAAAAAACACGAAGTCAAGGAAATGGTTGAGATTATAGTAAATCTTCCGCTGCCTTGCGCTCCACAACTATCCATACCCGAGTGTTCTTTGCCGGAACCTCCTCGAAAGATACTGATTACAAGGGGTTTCTATGTGAGGGCAATATTTCTAGAGAAGTGCAATCTGACGATTGAGGGAGGAGTTTATAATTGGAGTCTCAGGGATGCTGCGGGGTTGTGTGAGTTATGCCCTTGGTTCAAGTTTACTAACTCACCTTCTCTTTTCCTTAACCTTATTTCCACAGCACAGTTTGCATCATATTCCACGGATCGACCACTCCTCAAAGTACGACAATACTCCTGGAGATTTCCAGCCTCTCAGGATCTGTTGAGGGACTTTTATCTTTTACAAGTCGAGAGAAGGGTGGAAGGTTCAACTTACGCAGCTCGATGTTACCTAAAAGTCGAAATGGGGCACGTGGAAGCTGTGATTTCTGGAGGTAGACATAGGAGATTCAGCTATAAAGATATACTTTGGATGAATGGGTCCATGAGTTACGATTTCTCGAGGAGTCCTGCGGAAAAACAGTTTTCTATATATCTTTGGAACTGCGAGTCACACGATGATAAAGATAATCAATTTTGTCGCGACAACATATCGTCGGGTGAGATATTCCTCCTAAATGGTGGATACATTATAGCTTAGTTTTTTTTAGAGGCTGCCTTTAGTATCCCTGCGAATACCCTAAAGAAAGGATTTACATACGTCTTTCAATTGCAAGTATCCAGGGATCACAATCCAAAGATATCATCGCAAATATATCAAAATGTCACCATTGTTGCTCGCAGGGTACTTCATGTGAAAATCAAATGTCTAAAGAATTGCAGGAGGGACTTCTACACTCCGAATTCCCAAGTCCATCTGATGGGAATATGTGCCAACTGTGGAACAGTGAATGCAGTTCGCCGATGGTCCATAGATGGCCAGAGGATGTTCAGCAGCAAGGAAATAACAATACATATCCGGGCGGAGACCAACAGCACCCAGATTAAGCTGTCGATGTTAGCGGAAGATGGGCGTTATGGCAGAGATATTAAAACCCTGGTTAGGAACACTGGACCCACCGGAGGAATGTGTTCAATGAGTCCCAGGGAAGGACAAGAGGCTATCACCCCCTTTGTGCCATGTTGCCAGGAGTTTGTCACCGAGAACCAACCAATTGAATATTGGTACTACGTTGGGGCAGTACTTATCGAGAGTTGTGTGGATTGCGGCTGCGAGATTCGCTTGCCTGCCACGAATTTCCTGCATGTCCTGGTCTGCGATGCCCTCTTTCTTTGCCACTCCAGTTGGATAAAAGTCAAGGTGGCTCCTCTGGTGGGAATACCGACTCATCCGACGACTTTGCAGCAATATTTGATCAGTCCGCCGAACAGTATTCTCAGGCTCTTGAAAGAGAGACAAATCTCGAGCTATTTGCAGGTCGTAAATGCTATCGCCTCACGCATCAGTCTTCCCGAATCTGGAATTACTCTACTAAATGGCTTCAGGGATATACAGCCATACACTCGAAGTTCCCTCAGTAAACTGGCAAACTTAACCCAGACATTAGCTCATCGTTTACCCACCTCCAATCCAAAAACCCAAGCCTTGCTAATCATGGTAGTTAGAAAACTGACCGATAACTTCCAAGAGGTAATCAGCAACGAGGATGCCATGGATATGACCCAGCTTCCACTTTTATATATAACTCTGGCCTGCCAAAAGGTCTATCAATTAATGCACGAAATCGCTGAGAAAATTCCCCGACCTCCGTCCTCCATTTACGATCGGTATCAGCAGGCCCTCTTTCGCGGATCCCTGGACCAGAACCTTGTGGATAAGCTATATTCGGAAATGTCAGCAACGAGAACTATGCCATGGAATTGGATAAATTATACTTTTGAAACGGATCGTTTAAAAAGTTTAATGAAAGTCTTTCGACCCAAGATGACACAGTTTAAGGAGAGGGGACCACCGCCCAAGGTTGCAGTGCAGGTTCAGTGCCTTAAAGGTCTACCAAAGGGTGCACTGTTAGTCAATACAACCGATAGTTTGCATAGAGTGCTGCTTACAAAGGACCTTTTTAAGGAAATATTGGGCGACCAAAACCCGGACATCTGTTTCAAGTTGGTCTCCATTCAGCGGACTCTAAACTGGTGGTATCCAGATGAGAAAAGGCCGACTTCTCGTATGCTATCGGTGAGAATTTTCAGGAAAAAAGAGAAGAATACGTTTAACAATGAGATTAACCTCGTGAATAGTTATCTTAAGTATAGTGTGAATATGACTATTCCCTCCATGAGAGCACCGAATGACAGATCCCTAATGGACAACCACTGGAGACAGTTCGGAGCTGTGGCCCGGAATGCTCCACAAGAGATTCATGCCGGAAAGTACATCCGTATTATAAGGCATGGACGGCTTAAATCACTACAAGCCGTGCGATTATATCGAATCATGCTGGACGAGCAGACGGTGATGGCCGTACATTTCATAAAAAGCACCCACAAACTGCAAGTCAAGCTGAAGCTCGAGATAAAGCCATTATGGCGGGAGATATCCGACTCCTGGTGTGGTGTGCCAGCGTTGACCACAAACAAGACACTTCTGTTACGGAACAACTGTCGTCAACCGAAACGTGCCTACATGGCGTTGCGTGTGTGGTCCAATATCCCCATCAGGAACAGTCCAAACACACCTCTACCCGGCGGTCCGGCGGCATATACCTTTGCCTTTCAGGTCCGCTCGTGTGCATCGTGGATATATAGCCTTCCACGTGACGAGCAGGTATGGACCCACAGCGGCTGTGTCCCCATTATGGACATCAATGTGACCAAGGAGTTGCAATGCGCCTGCGCTGTCCTGGGAACTTATACGAGTTACGTGTACTACACACCTCCCATAAGGGTTTCAGTCGGTACATTCACGAAGCCTCGCTTAAATAAGAAAATTATTTATATATACCTGGCACTGATCATATTTCTTCTACTCGTCATGTATTGGCTATTTCGCTACAGAAATGATCCTCCCGCCAAGACCGTATTCATTCGAATGGCCGACGACGACGATGTCAAGGATGATGAGCTCCATGATTTTTTGATAAAGTTCAACACCGGCGGACGGGTAAACAGTCTGACCACAGCCTCCATAACCTTAGTATTACTAACTACAGACCAAACGAAGCGAAAGGTGAGGGTGCGGCAGGATCCGGATCGTAGCTTCTTTACGCGAAATTCAACATTTAATGTGTGGCTGCGATCGAGGGAGATTCGAATACCCACCAAATTGATGATCTACCATGACAACGCCGGACGATATCCCAGTTGGTTTCTGCGAAGCATCGCGGTGAATGACATTCAGACCCGCGAGACGCAGATCTTTATTGTCAGACAATGGATTACCGACAAGGTACTGATCCTGCAATCTCCACATTTATTCCGATGGGGTGATATCCTCTCGCTAGAGACCTGGTGTAGGCGCTTCAGACTCCACTTGGAGATGCTTTTCATCAACTGGTTACTGTGGCAGCCGGTGACTGGAAGCTGGAGGGAAAACAGTCACTTCCAAAGCCTCTCCCGGGCCAAGCGATTTTGTGTTTTCGTTAGCAAGCTCATCCTTGTCTACACGTGCTGCGCCATCTATTTTCGGAATACCACCATAGAGTCCCTTCAGCTCGACCGCGAAATGTTTCTTAGCTACAAAGAAATGATAGCTCTAGTGATCTGTGTTACAGCCGCGGATGCTGGCTTTCAGCTTATATTTAAACTCATTGGGAAGCATGTGAGTTAGTCAAAGATATACCATCCCTATTGTATAAATATAAATAATAATAAAAATAAATTCGTAAGATCTTTAGTTGCTTTTGAGTATTACGCTTCAATTCTAAACTTTTCTGGTTACTTTAATAGGACTGATATACATTACTTATTCATTGTACTAAATTTTCCGACGCCCTCAAGTTAAGTGACCAATAAATAATGATGGTTGGACACCTAAACGAAAAGCAATTATAACATAAATAATGTACAAACACACTTCCGGTTTGAAGTCTATAAAACCAGTTAGAACTTGAAGATTTCTTTCTAGTTTTCATTAACTGTTTTAAATAGTTGGAAATGGCTGAAGGAAACAAGAAAAAGGAAAATCTTCGTACCTACGAGGACTTCAACTACATGTCCCATATGCTTTTCAAATCTTTGGGCTTCGATATTTTGGATACAACAGCTCCAAAGTGGCCTTATATTATCCTGCAAGGATACTTCATCCTGTGCATTGTCAGCAATTTTTATGCCGCCTTCTATGTGACCCTAAGATTCCTGCAGTGGGAACACAGTGAGTCGAAGCTGATGAGACATGCTCTACATTTCTTTTACATGTTTAGTGCCGAGGTCAAGTTTGCTGCGTTTGTGAAATACCGAAAGAGGTTGCGGTCTCTAAATGATCAATTAAAGGATCTGTATCCTGTTGATGCTAAGCAGCAAGAGGATTACGAGGTCAACAGGTATTATCTATCTCGAACAACGCGATTTGTACTTTCCTTCTACTACTTAGTGATGGCCCTGATGATGGTAACTCCGCTTCTGCAATCCTGCATCGCTCACTTTGTGGTAAAAAAGGACTTTCCCTATTTGAGGATATTTCCCACTCAACTAAGCTTCAGATCCGATACGCCTTGGGGCTATGTTTTTGCCTATTTCGTGGACTTTACCTACAGCCATTTCATAGTTAACTTCACTCTGGGCACTGACCTCTGGATGATATGTGCCTCCAGTCAGATATGTATGCACTTTGGCCACCTAGCCAAGGTTTTAGCAGCTTATACCCCGCAAAGGGAGAGGGAAGAAGAGGATTGCGCTTTTCTTTCACGATTTGTGAAGCGTCATCAGCATATTTTGAAGTGAGAAGCATTACAGGGTATTCCATGGCTTCCTATTAATATATAACTCTTTTTACAGTTTGCATGATGAAGTAGATCAGATTTTTGGTCTCCTATTGGCCTCCAATCTGTTCACAACCGCCAGCTTGCTCTGCTGCATTGCCTTCTACACGGTCGTCGAGGGTTTCAATATGGAGGGAATGTCCTACATGACGGTCTTCTTCAGTGTGGTTGGCCTCTTCTATATGGTCAGCTCCCATGGCCAAAATCTGATTGATTTTGTAAAGTTTGAATGATTCTTTAGGAGTTGTATATTTATAATGTAATTTACAGAGCACCAGCATCGCTGTGGCTGGCTATAATCAGAGATGGTATGAGGGTTCCGTGCGTTATAGAAAATTAATTATGCTTATAATGGCCAAGGCGCAACGTCCTTCGGAAATATCAGCCTCTCGTGTAGTCATTATATCCTTTGACACCTTCAAGACTGTAAGTTGATTTTGTGAACAAATTGAAAAGAAAGCTAACACTACATTTTAATAGTTAATGACCATTACCTATAGATTTTTTGCTGTTTTAAGGCAAAGTATGGGAAAGAATTAAAGGAGTAACTTCGTGGTTTTCAATTCGTAATAAAAATATTTTTATAAGTCAGAGCAGTGCAATTTCACGGTTTAGTTATACCTCATTTTATGCTATTAATAAATATGAAGGCAAGTACTTGAATCTATTTTTCTTCATTATCTAATTATATACAGGCATTAGAGGCCTTAAAGGTAAAGCGTGAAGTTTAAACACTTGACATATTCAATTGCAAGGGGAGTTGCTCATGTTGCCCACTCCCGCATATCAAATTTCTTGGCCGCGATTTGCATTAATTAGCCATGAGAGGTAATCAACAACGCCCACATGCTTCAGATCGATTCCTCTGCCATTTTTGATGTCTGTCGATTTGCATAAAACCCATTAATACTCACAAACTGAGCCCAAAGATACCGAGACGGATTAGCATCTGGTGTAATGTTGCTGCTGCTGCTAACCTTGATCGCGTCTTGATGATTCATGAACACGATGCGCTCCAGTTAACTTCCCTGACCAGTGAACCAGTTCAGGCCAAAGCAGAAGCGGAGCAGAGTTTGTCAGCCAAGTGCATCCTTGACCATGAAGCGGCTTTAAGTCCCACTCCAAGCCCAAACTGTCCAAGCAAAAGCGCAGAAGCTGGGATCGCGACGACTTGACCAGAACCACTGACATTTAACCGCCGCAACTGGTCCGTCCATCGGTGGCTTCTGCTATTGGTTATTGGTGGCGGTTTTGTGCAATTATTTATTTATGCCTGCATTGACATTAGCATTAACGTTGCCCCGCGTCGCAAAGTATGCCAGACTGGACCAAAGGCGGTTCTTACGCAACAGATAAATCAAGCGATTTGCGATTTGCGATTTACGATTTACGAAGACCCAGACGGTGACGCTTACGATCTGTGGGGAGTTGTCTTTTGGCTATTAACTTTTGATCTTGAGCTCGAAAACACTTTTGGCCGCTCTTGGCAAGCGATTATTTCGGAAAATCTTTTAAGTAACCAGGCTTTTAAGTGTGGGAATTTGCATAAATCTAAACAAGTTTGCTTTAATGAATCTATTTGGTAAGAGCCATGAGTTAATTGTTTAATTTATATATCTGTATTTTTCGGTATAAGGAAATAGGTCTTAAAAATATATGTCTTCTGGGAAAATTTGTAGAAATATAATAGTTAGTTTCTTATATGTAGGTTTTTAATAAATGAGCACAACAGCTTACATCTTTCAGGAACAAATTGTTTTCTTTACCTATAGATAATATTGCAAAATATTTTACGAATGTCCAACACTTTATTACCTTTTGGGAAATTTCATTTAAGTATGCTAGCTAGCTGTAAGTTTTTTTTAATAATAATTATAAATTGTTTCTTAATTAGTTGCTGAATTTCTGAGCTCTTAAGCCATTATACAACCAATATAATTGTCTAGCCACCGTAAATCCTCAAAACGTCTCCCAAAAGTGGTCACCTCCAACTCGGTTCCATCATGCCCACCCTCTGCCTGCTCCCTGCTGGGTATCAAATTGCAGACGCTACTCGAAACGTCTCTAAAACAAATTACGCTGTAAGCCGTAAAGAACACGCCGCGACCTTCACAGTGGACAGCGGGCGAGAACAGGTTGGGCAACCAGAATATTAGATATATGTATACACCATATACCACATACATATGGCCCAGACTGGTGGATAGCCAACTGACATTTCGCTCTGTAATCGGCGAAGCCATGCGTATCACCTCAAGGTTCCGCCAAAAGGCCCAAATGGGAAATGCTTGGCATGGCTTTAACCGAGAGCATAAATCTTGGTTAGCTGCTTAATAAACTTAAATAAACACATTAAAAAGTAGTACGATAAATATTAAATTATTGCTGTCGAGTGTCTTCATAATTACTGCGAGTGAACGAACTAATAAAAGCAGACTTTGGTTTCGCCTTTAACTAACTTGGCCAATTGTCTGAACTCGTACTACATATATGACTCTTATTTTTATTTTTTTTTGTTGGTTGGTTTTCCTTTGGCTTTTCCGATTCTCGGATTTTCTGGTTGCCAAAGACAATAACAATACAATATGGCCACAATCTTTGGGACAATCTTGTCACGAAATTCTGTCGCCGTCTGTGTCGGAGTTGCAGTTAAAGTTGGCTCTGGTGGATGGGTGGATAGGTGGAGGGGTGGATGTGCTTTAAAAAGCCAAAGCCAAAGTCTGGCCCCATCTGCTGGCCCAAAGCCATTCATTAGACGCGCCTACACTTTGGCAGCGACGACAATAACACCACCAACAACAGCAACAAAGAACTCGCTGGCGTTTAGCAATTTCTGGCATTTTGACCCCGTGCACGGCTTCAGTTTGAGGTCTGCCTCTGCCTCTGCCTCTGCCTCTGCCTCTGTCTCTGTCTCCGGCTCTGCCTCTGCCCATGGGCTTGGGTTTCTTTGGTACCTCAGCCTCACCTGAGTTTACCTGGCTGCCTGACTTTGATTGCGATTGCCGATTAATGGCAGCGAATTTAAAGGCAATGGTTCAGCCTCCCAAAAAAAAAATAAAAACACAAAGCAATGGGTCTGCCCCATTTCGAGTCAGGTGGCAACGCCGCCGGCCATGATGGGTATCTTCATTATCATTTTCATTTCCATTAAAAAATGGGCGTTTTTATCGATTTTTAATAAATAATAAATTAAATAATTATACAATACATAAAATATGCCTTACTGTTTAATGATTCTTGAAGTATTTTCATACATAAGGAAAACCTTGATGATCTAGACCACTAAAATGTATGTGCTTACTTTCTTAGCCTAAAAACATTTCGTGAAAGCCCTAAATTAATCATTGCTTACAAAATATATACAATTTCCATATAGAGAAGAAGCTACGTTCGAGAAGCTGATGTGTGTATACCCTTAAAATTACCCATCGGAAAATGGGTTCAAATGTTAAATCGGACATAACTAAGCCAAAGATGGATTATTCTTAATTTGCAAACGTCATATGTGTTTTATAATTATATTAAATCCATATTTTTATATACAAATTTTTTTGGTTAGTCAAATTTTGTCAAATATCATAACTAAGCCAAAAATGCATTAATTTCAATTCGGATAGTTTTTTTGTGCTAGTTTTTAAAAGGTTAACAAATCTGCATACTTAATTATATAATTTAGAAAACTAAATTTTTGTATCAATTTTTGACAATTTTAACGGTGTAACCCCTTCAAAAAATTTTCAAATTTCGACAAAAAAATTTTTCACCAGACATGACCAGATCGATTCGGCTCTTCAAGCTGATCAAGAATGTACAGGATATATAGGGTCGGAAATGTCTTTTTCACTACGTTTAAGGGTTCTGACTAAAATTATAACACCCTGAAATGGTATAAAATAAGTTTTCGATGTAAGATAAATCTAGCATACATGGCGTATACTTAACATGAAAACCCGTAAATTAAGTATACGCCATGTGCTTCTTAAGGTAGAAAGGCTTAAAAATTCATAAAAATAAATAGTTTCAGTTAAAAAACAAGTTTGACAATTAAATTATAAGATCGAATCCGAAATCGATCTTAACTAAAAAGCTAAAAGCTTAAAATGCCAAAATTTAATAAAAAAAAAGTTTAAAAAATTCATAACTAAGTGAAAGCTTTTCGATGCTAGTTTTTATTAGCTTTTTAAATCTGCATACCCAATTTTAAAATTAAACAAATTAAACTTTTTTTCAATTTTTGACAATTTTAACCACTTATAAAATTTTTAAATTTCAAAAAATTTTCAAAAAATTATTTTTTGACCAGACATGATTATATAGATTCGGCTGTTAATTTTGATCAAGAATATATATGGTTTATGGGGTCGGAAATGACTCCTTCACTGCTTTGCAAGCTTCGGACTGAAATCATAATACCCTTCAAATGTATACTAATATAGCAAAAGTTGGCACAAAAGTCAGTGAAACTATAGTTATACTCGTAAATAATTTATAATTAAGTTAGGCTGAGTATTCTTGATACAAATTGCTGTGTCACTTTAGAGTACAACTAAGAAATTGGTTCTCTAAGTCCTCCTATAGCATCTATGTATATTCATGATAAAATTGTCATCCTTAAGACTTACCGGAGTAGAGGACACGTCATGGCTCAATTCCTTCCAGTGAAGAGTTATATTCTTGCTGAATCATCCAAGCGAGCTTCTTCCTGGTCATCCAGATGTACATATTCCATAGGCCACGTCATATTTTTGGGGTCGGAGGGTAATCACTATCACTTTCACAATCACTTATCACCAGAGATGTAAACAGCAGCCTCCCAGCGGACAGAATGAGGTCAGCGCTATGGCAGCACCTGTATTTATAGTCCTCCAGCAAAGAGAGCAGAGAAAGTGAGAGCGGTAGAGAAAGCGATTTCTGGAGGGAGAAATTGAGAGGAAAAGAGAGCGAGAAACCGAGAGCTATGGAGTTACAAATAGAGAGCTCGACATAGAGAGTTAGAGACACGTAAGCAGTAGTTTGTTTACTATTTAAAATTGCAATTCGATCATTAATAATTATAACATTATTAATTATATATATTTATGTTAAAAAACAACGAAGAATGCCTACTTTCACTACATTCACTGATAAGTATTAATTTAAGAGATTTACATTCAGAGTTTTGCATTTTCCTCTACATTTAACGATCGGTTTTTTGGCAGCTATATGATATAGTCGTCCGATTTCAATTAAATCGAAATTTATTGTTCTGGTAATTATATATAATTTTATATATATTTTATATATAAAATCTTCGCTTAAAAATAGACTGTTCCACTTTCAGTTATACTCTTCAACACTAGTTAATAACCATTAAGTATAAACTTTAATCACCGTGTAACTATTTCCGCTGGCTGATGCAATTACTAGCCCATATATTTAAATGTCTGTATTCGCTCTGCCAAAGAAAACCTGCAACAATTGCATAAATTAAGCGTACTTAGTACCAAGTTAGTTCTTTTCGTTGTATTTTCTTGGCCCAGAACAGCTGAGCCTCTGCTGCTCTTTCCAAGCAGAGACCTAGGCGTTGGATCTTTACTTTTAGTTGGTTAGTTTAGTTAGTTTCTTCTCTCTTTCAGCGGATAGCATCGTCACCGCCCGCCGCCTGCCACCCCCTCAGTTAGTTAGTTTGTCTGTCGTTGTTGTCGTTTTTAGTTGTTTTTTAGTTTCGTTGTCGTCGTGTCGTAGCTTTTGCATCTTTGGATGCCTTTTTTTCTTATTTTATTTGCAACTGTGTGTGCGAGACGCTTTGCCAACTGAAACTGAATTGTTTGCAGCCTCGCCAATGCAATTTTCGTATAAATAGACTCACCTGCCGGCATTGGGCATCATTAAATAAAAAACGCTCGTTCAATTAACAGCTCCAACAGGCGCCCAGTTGAAAGGATAACTCAGCCTTTGGATATCCACATCCCTTCAGTGCATCCAACAAAGATGAAGAACGTAAGTGGTTCAAAGGAGACCAAGTGATTTATTACACAAAAAGTGACAAAAAAGTTATCCTAGGATAAAAAGGATATCCTATGATATAATGTGAAAAAATGTGAAGACTAGCAAAGGGCTTGAGAAAATGCAGATTTTTTAGGTCTCTAAAGAAAGCGAGGAATGTTGTGTAGTTTTTTCTATTTTAAATTATTAAATAGAAGTTGTAGAAGTGTTATTTTTAAAGCAGGACTCGCTGGTTTTTGATAGATACTTAATTTAAATATTTCTTTAAAAAGTTTACCGTACCAGACCTAGGTTCTTGGTTTTAAATAATCTAAAAATGGTATTCCTTTAAGCATATTTGGAATAATTAGCCCATGTTATAGTCCATATAATTTTTCTTAAAAATTAAAAAGGGGAAACCCAGTTTAAGTTCATAAATATATTAACATTCCGGTCAGCCAAGTAACCTCCATAAAATATCTACATGACCAGAGAGGCTGAGGTAGTAAAATCTCCAGCATCCAACATGCTCGTAAATCAATCACCTAAGGTGAGGCATTTATAGCGGCTCCGTATCCCTTTTGTGGGCTTGTTTTTTAAGCTTTTCGGTTCAGGTAAATCTTCCGCAATTATGAGGCGGGTGCGAAGCCAACGATTCCAAGAGCGTGCCTTTTGAAGAGATCAAAAGCCAAAGGCAATTAACGGCCACAGATGCGAGCGCTGTTAGCCATGCAAAGGTCACAGTTAGTCCACATCCATGTCCATGTCCACCATTTGGCAGCTGTCCATCTGGTTGAAAAGTTCAGGCACGAAATTGGAGTCCAAATCCAAGTTAGAAAATGAAAACGAAACCCACTCGGAGGTTGCTAAAAAAAATTAAACCGAAGACGAGCGCCACGCCCTGCGATTGTCATGCTATTTCTGTGTTTTTTTTGTGTACAAGTTAATTGAGTCGGTGTGTGGAAATGTGGAAAATATTTAATTGGCAGCTATTTGCCGACCTCAAAAGGTGTCTAAAGAGCTCGGTATGTGAGAACAGCAAATAAAATAGCAAAGGCAATAAATCTCCCGGCGGCGTTCAGCTCTCGGGCACGCGGGTGTTGCATAATGGGCATCGGGCACGATCTCAAGATGTTTACTAACTCACTTAACATTTGCATAGCCCATTGCGTTTTCCATTTCGTTTTCCCTATCGTATTCAATTGCTTTTCCCTTGGACAGTTCGCTCTGTGTCTGCTGGCCATCGCGCTGCTGAGCTGCTGCCAAGCTGCTCCCCAGAAGGCGGATGAGCCGATAGCCATCATCAGTCAGGAGTCCAACATTGAGCCGGATGGATCCTATAATTATGCGTGAGTATGAGCAATAATACAAGTTTTACTACAATAGATTTGGTAAGATTTTAAGGTGTAAAAGAGGGTCACAAAATAAGTCTTGATAGTCTACTTTAATAGATCAGCATAAGAAAATATAGTACAATTAACTTAATTGAATCATTAAGACACTAAATACATTAATCTTTGCCTCAAAGTCATTTACAAATACCTCTAAGTATCGTAATTGACAGCTGTGATATTATAGCTTATAAAGAACGTGTTAAAGATCTCATTAGTTCATCAATTGAACTTCAACCTTTAATTGTCATCTCAAGACTATAAAACTCTAATTGTATTTTCAAATCGTGCTCATAAAACCAGAGTTATATAGCAATAAATATCGGTTTGTGTATAAACCCCTTTAATTAATAGTATACTTTGCGGCACAATAATTTTTAAAACAACTACAAACTCGACTTTCAAAAAGTAATCATGATTCATGATTGGGTTTTCTATATGTGGTAAAGTCTCTTTTAGCTAAGCCCGAGCTCTCCTTTCTTTCACACAAAACCAGCTTATAATAATAATATAGTCAAGATCACAGTGGTTTATGCTAATGAAGCTAAACGAAATATGGATTAATGAACCATTTTCGCATAGAAGTCTGTACAGAAAGGCTAAAAGTTAAGCTGATAATTGAATATATATACGAAGCGCCCGGCGCCAGTCGTCGTCGGGTGACGCACAAAACCGCAATTTTATTTTATTTTTTCCAAGGTGAATTTGGTTAAACCCTTTGACAGTGTCTTTAATTTGTGATTTATTCGACTGCAGCTACGAGACGGCCAACGGCATCAAGGCCGAGGAGACGGGAACCCTGAAGAAAGCCAGCTCGCCGGACAGCAGTGATGTGATCATTGCCCGTGGATCATTCACCTACACCTCGCCCGAGGGCAACCTAATCACACTGAACTACTCTGCCGATGATGAGAATGGCTTCCAGCCGCAGGGTGATCATCTGCCCACACCGCCACCAATCCCACCAGCGATCCAGAAGGCGCTCGACTATCTGCTCAGCCTGCCCCCAGCCAAGCGTCGTTAAGGATGAGGTAGCTTGAGGTAGCCCCGACTTGTACCTGGACCAACACTCGATTCTGACCCCCGATTCTGATGAAGATGCTGCGCTGCTGCTGCTGCAGATCCCCCAGCCCTGATCCCGATCCCTAGACAATCACACATAAGACACAAGCCACGGGCCGGAGGAGGAGGCTCCTCGGCCAAATCCACTGACTGAAGAACACAAAACTCAAACGGATTTGAGGGACAACATAACACAATACACTTCTATGCTATATACGTCTGCTTTCTTGCTTTCTTCCACACGAATTTCTTCAGATCTTTTAGTCGCCGGAACTTTGCCATTTTCGGACTCATGTGATATCGTCGATTTATCAATGAAATGAACAAAGAAAATGTTAAAAAAAAATAATAACTAACAAACAAGAAATTACTTAAATAATATACAGGAATATTATCCACAGCAAACATTGTGTAAATAGTCTGTAAATTAGAAACATTTACACGCGTAGTCTAATCAATGATGTTAATCATCGATCTAGACTCTTGTGAAGAACTACGAAAATATTTTTTAGCCTTAGCTGCAAATAAAGAATTAAAGATTCTTTCGAAAAGTAAATAGTTGGTTTTATTTTATGATTAATCTTAAGAGGATCACGGATCACAGGGAAAGTATTAGATTTTCATTAAATATAAACCTTAATATACAAAGAAAGGAAGCCAACTTTGGAAATACATAACTTGGTCAAAAATGCATTAAATTCAATTCGGAAAACTGAGCCATGCAAGTTTTTATTACGATAATAAATCTGTTTAAAATGTAAAAAAATTAAAATTTTTGCCAATTTTTGACAATTTTAACGATGTAACCCCTTATGAAAATTTGAAAAAATTGGCAAAAATGTAATATCTTTCCTACATGTCTAGAACGATTCGCCTGTTGATGCTGATCACGAATATATATGATTTATGGGGTCAGAAATGACTCCTTCACAGTGTTACAAGCTTCTAAATAAAATTAAAATTTTATAAGATAAATCTAGTATACATGGCGTATACTTAACGTGAAAACCCTTAAATTAAGTATACGCCATGTGTGTCTTAAATGAGAATAGTTTAGAAGTTTATAAAGATAAGTTATTTCACTAAAAAAACAAATTTGGCAATTTAATTATAAGATCGAATTGGACATCGATCATAACTTTCCTTTAAATGTTTCATATATATAACTATTTTTATACCCTTGCAGGGTATTATAATTTCAGTCAGAAGTTTGAAACGCAGTGAAGAAGTCATCTCCGACCATATAAAGTATATGTATTCTGTCCATCCGTCCGTCTGTTCGTTTCTACGCAAACTTGTTCTTTTAGTTTTGAAGGTATCTCAATGAAACTTTGCAGTTAGTATTCATTCTTATGTTAGTCGGAACGGGCCAGATCGGACGACTATATCATATAGCTGCCATAGGAACGCTCGGAAAATATTAGAAAAACAATGATAACTTTTACAATTTTTAACATATATTTATCTAATTTGATTCAAAGCTTTATTATTTTATATATTATATTTATATTATTATATATATTATATATAAGAAAATAAATTGGATTATATGGTCTACTAGATCTGATACCACCAATAGCTTCTTCATACATAATATAAATGTCATGGTTAAGACTTACCGCAGTAAAGGACACGTCATTGTTTACTTCCATTCAGTGTAGTGACCAAGATTAGGTGACTTCATCCAAAGTAAGCTTCTTCCTAGTCATCCAGATGTGTTTCATTGGCCACGTCATATTTTTGAAGTCGAAGGCTGATCACTTGCACTATCACTATTGATGTTAACACTAGGTACCCCTAGGACAGACTGAGGCGCGCGCGACCTCAGCGCCTCTATTTATAGTCCCCGAGCAGAGCAGAGAAGAGCAGAGCAGAGAAGAGCAGAGAAAGTGAGTGTGAGTGCATGGGAGAGAAGCAGTTGCCTCTAGAGATTAACATAGAGCGATTAACATAGAGTGAGAGGGGGAAAGACAGAGAGGAGCAGCGAGCTGATATTTAATTTAACTATAAACAATAAGTAACTATGAGCAGTAAGTAACTCTGACCAGTACGTATCAATGAACCTTAAGTTACTCTGACCAGTAAGTATCAATGAACCTTAAGTAACTCTGAACAGTAAGTAACTCCAAACAGTAAGTATCTATGATCAGCAAGTAAATATGATCAGTAAGTATCGATGACCAGTAAGAATGTATGTTCAGTTACTAACTTTGAACACTAATAAACAATGACTTTCAACTTTTGTAACAGTTTCCAGTTTTCAACAGATTTTCATCAAATTTGGTAATTAGCCATTATATATTAATCTAGAATTTTGTGTACAATGTTATGAAAATCGGACTCTTTTATCATATAGCTGCCATACAAACGATCGTTAAAAATAGAGGAAAATGCAGGCATTACTTTGTTGTTTTTTAACATATATATATAATTTATATTGTATTAATTCCTAGTGATCGAATTTCGGTCTGCAATGGTATACAAACTTCGGCGTGCCGAAATTAGTGTCCTTTCTTGTTATATTATAACTTTGTTCGACAAATTAAATTTTCAAAAACTCATAACTTAGCCAAAAATTTTTAAATTTAATTTTGGAAAGCTGTTCTGAGCTACTTTTGATTGCATAAATAAATCTGCATACTCAATATAAAATTAAAAAAAAATTAAATATATCAAGAATATAAATGGTTTGTATGGTCGGAAATGACTCCTTGACTGACTTAAATTGAAATACCCAGCAAGGGTCAAGAAATAGTCAATAAATAGTGAAATTGAAGTTCCATTCAAAACGGCGATAATCTCTCAGATTATGTGCTCATCTTAAACCTTAAAACTTCTGTCACAGTCATAAATCTATATACACAATTCCTCAAATAGCTGCGATGACAGCGGCTTAAAAAAAAAAGAGTTAATGAATGCACAAAACCCGTTGACCAGATGCACACACATTGAGGATATGGTTTACATGGGAATCGAATAATCTTGGCGGCTCATTCGCTGTTTATTCATAGATTCTGTCCAAAAATAACGTGCGCTTTTATTGTTTCACCCGGTTTTGCACATCAAGGCGAGAGTTGATAGATTCATTTTATGCAAAGTGGCCAGACGCAGGCAAAAATGTGGTTCCGAGCCGAGAACCAGAATCGGACTGAGGCCGAGCCGGGCCCATGGAAGTCACCATCGCCATCGCCACAACATTATTATTATTTATTTATTTTATTTTGGAAAACAATGTGTGTGATGTGGTGTGGTGTGGAGGCAGCCAAAGTTGAAGTCGTCTGCACCAAATTTCACACCCATTTTCGAAAGGCCAACGAGGAACGAAACACTAGGCGAAACAAGTTCAATATTATTTATTGGCCACATTTTAATTTCATGTTAAATATTTTATTTTGGTACAGGAATTCTCGCTTTGCTAATTTGTCGTTGCCTATATAAGAGTCTTTGTTTACCGATGGGGATCGCCAGTCACGTCGAGACACCAGCTTGGATTGTTTACCCGGATATTTATATATTTGTATATTGATCAAAAGAGAAATAGAGATCGAAGTTTAAAGTCCCGAAAATGAAGTTCCTACTGCTGATTACTCTCTTTGTGGTTGCTGCTACGGCAACGGTGGACTATGAACCGATTTCCCAGGAGTCCAATGTGGAGTACAATGGAAAATACCATTATCAGTAAGTCTCAAGGCAGTGGAGGATTAAGAGGCCTAATTATTGTAAATGATTATTTTGATTATTTAAATAAATAAGCTAGGTACTTAATATCACTCAAATATTTATCATATCTGACTTCTCCTGCCTGAAATAAGATCTCATTTAATAAATATAATTTCTCTGCAGTTACGAGCTCAAGGATGGCTCCAAGGCCACCCAGGATGGTGTCCTGAAGTCCGTGAATGCCGATCACAATGGCGAGGCTGTCCATGGCAAGTACTCCTTCGTTGGTGACGATGGTGAAACCTATGTGGTGTCCTACACGGCGGATGAGAATGGTTACCAGCCCGTGGGTGCCCATTTGCCTACACCACCGCCTACCCCCGAGTCAGTACTCAAGGCCCTGGAGTACATCCGTCTGCATCCCTATACTCCACCAGTGAAGAAACACTGAATAAGTAACGAGATATAAGCACAAATGTGATTTGAACCAAAAGAACTGAGAAAAATTAAAGGAAATTACAAATGTTACACAAACGGAAGAGGAAATCTGGGGGTAACCGGAAGTGAAGGCAGAAAAGTGGTTAATGAAACTATGGGAATATTTCTTATTGTAAAATGAAATAATGCGCTTTATTAGTGGAACTTTAAAGCCGAGTTTAACATACATAATCTTTTTGCTTGAAATTATAGAAGATTTGCTTGTCATTAAAGGCAGTATACCCATATAGATACTAATTAAAATACTTATTCCAAAGCAAAAGAAACTCTTAGATAACCGGAAGCCAATGAGTTTAAATAGATTAACTCAGATTTGAACTTAAGACAGGTGCGTAGTTAGAAGAGACTCTTCTTAGTACCTCTTGCAAAAACCCCTCTGCAAAAAATCTCGGACTTTTGTACGCCATGCCAAAATGTGTGTTAAATTTGCCTTACTTAGCAGTTTTTGGCTCTGCTGGCAATCTCGCTAAACAATTACTAATTGAAAGCTAAATTGTTAAATAAGCAATTGAAGCCCCAAGCAGAGTGGCGAAAATCTCAAGGCCGTATCCGCACTCAGCTTCAGTCGAGATATATATGTATCTTGCCATATCTTTAGCTATTAGAACAAAGTCAACAAAATCAATAGGGATTATGTAAGGTTCAGACCAGAAACAGAAACCGAAAGTGTGATTTCTGTTTTTTGTTTTGCTCGTTTTAATTTACACTAATATGTTAATATAATTTCGATCGAAACCAGCTGAGAACATTTGTAATTCCGTGAATGAGCCAAGAGAAATTCTCAGTCTTTTCCAAAAATTAATCAGATATGCATCGGATCGGTGGTTATGTCTTTTTTGGCCATTTCTTTGTTAGCCCAACCAAGTTCATTGACCATTAGCCGTCTCTATGACACAATTGTGGTTAATATTCGCAGCATATAGCCCTTCAGTCATATGGCAAAAGAAGCTAGACAATGTTCGCGGTGTTATCAATTCGATTTATGGCCCACAATACTCTACATTTTTTATGGCCTCTTTGTTTTCAGTGTTCACCGTTAGGTTTTTTTCGGCGTAAATATTTCCATAATTGAAACGTGATGGCAATGCAAATGTTGGCGATGTTCTTTTTATTTTGCAGTTGCTATAGGAATTTTAGGGGAATATTTGGTATATTCTGGAAGTACAGTGTTTATTGCTTGTGTATATAATTTTTATGTTTGGTATCTAATTAAATTTATATATTTTTAATAAGAGTTTTAAGAGAAGTCTCTGGCATATGGCTCTTTAGTTAATCTGATTCATATGAAAGATCTTTTTAGAGATGTGTTTTGGGTAGAGTTTAGTTTAGGTATGAAATTCCGAATAATTTTCAGTAACTTCCCAAGAGTTTCCAGCACTCCCTCACCTCAAATTAAATCCTTAACGGAATCCCCAGGAACTGGCCGCGGTTTCAACGGAACCAAACTCTCGCCACTCAGAAGAATAATGATATTCTGTTCAGACAAATCACGTAGCCTGCCAAGATCTGGGATCCGTGATATGCGGAATGCGAGGAGAGGGGCCAAAGAGTGGACATCTGCTGTCACCTGCTGACATCGTCGCTTCATCTTCATCTCTTTTTGATGTTTACTCATCGCGCGGCAATAAAACCAACTCTGAGTCTGAATCTGAGTCCGAAACTGAGACCGAGACCGAAAAGCCGGCGACGGGCGCTGCTCGTAATTTCTGCGAGTACTTCGCAGCTTATCTAGTGCGCCCATCGTAATGGCGATGATCGCGGTAAGCCCGAAGCTTCTTCGGACTATAAAAGGCCCGGGCCTGGTTGGGGCAGTCAACAGTTTGCTCGCTAACCCGCTGGATACCACTACCCACACCCAGTCACACCCCAGGATTAAGCCATGTACAAGTTAGCCTTCCTAGTCTGCTCCGCCCTGCTGCTCAGCTATGTCTTGGCCAGGCCACAGGACCAAAGGGCAGGAGCTCCTAGTGCCACAACTACGACCACAGCTGCCACCATTGTCAAGCAGGATAATGTGAACAATGCCGATGGAAGCTTCAACAGCAGGTGAGTTTTAATTACATAGATAATAGAGGTGTGTTTAATATAAAATATAGAAAATATTAGACATTAATATAGTCTAAAAGATCTTCTTATTCTAACAGAAACATCTTAACTTCAGTATAACAAATCTTTTTTTAAGAAGAAACTTTTTCAATTAAATAATATTCCATAAATATATAATTTATGTTTTTTATATCATAAAGTAAACCCTATTGAACATGTATAAATTATTTATATCTTAGCTACGAGACCTCAAACGGAATACGTGTGGAGAACATTGGCTACCTGAAGAAGATCATTGTGCCCAAGTCAGAGACCTCCGATGGTCAGGTTGTGGAGGAGCATGAGGAACTGGTCCTGGTCCAGACAGGCTCCTACAGCTACAGTGATCCCGATGGCAATATCATCACTCTGCGCTACGTGGCCGATGAGAATGGTTTCCAGCCCGAAGGCGATCATCTGCCGGTGGCACCGCAATAAGCTCTAGTTCCCATAAACAGTAGTAGTCCCTCCCAAGATAATCAATAATAATAATATTTCGCTTGAAAGTATTATGCACTGCCTGAATGCCATACGAAATTGAAATGTCTACAGTCGTAGTTAGTCTTAAGCAAACACAACAACACACACAATACACACACACATATGCCTGCAAAGAGAGAAATAAATATTGGAAACGATAATGAAAACGACAACTTAACTGAACTGAACTTACTTCTCAGCCTCGCGTGGCCTATAACATTACATTACCAAATTGCCCTTCACGCTGTCGGTTAACACCAAGTGGAGATGAGATGATACCAAAGATGTGATGATGCCAAAGCTGGTGATCATGAGCCAACCGCTGGATTTATTTACATTATCGCACTTGGCTCCAAATGACATTGATGGGGAGTACGAGATTCGGATATGGTTTCGTGTATTGTTTAACCAACTCAATGGCGCATACCAGAATATATGGAAAGTGGCAGCGTTTAATTACTCTATTAAACTCCCATTAGCTGTGGTTTTGTGGCATATCGTCATCGACTCATGGAATCAGCTCAGATTCAGTTCATCAATTGAGACGCCGGAATGTGGAGCACTTTGATATGGAGCCTAATAGCCTGGAGCAGTCTGCTGCACATACATCCTGCCGAGACAGCCAAGCTGATTCCTGTGAGTAGTCCTCTTAGAAAAAACTATAGAAAACATATTTAAATATATATATATAATGACCCAGAACCTGGGCTACTTCATCGAGATGAAGCAAATGGATTGTGTGGGCAATCCCAGTTACTTTGCCAACACATACTGCCGTATCCTGCCGCCTCATAACCGTAGCATGGAGGCCTCGGTTACCATAATGCAAAAGCTGAGCACCTTCAGTGGCTCCCTTAGGGTCGCCATACCCAATGCCAAGAAGGTCATAACCCAGATATTTGATATAACCTTTGATGTGTGCAAAGTCCTACGGGAACGTAAAAGAAAAATGCTAATCGATCTGATGGTTAACACCGTGGCTAGAAATAGCAATGCCAAGGATTGGAAGTGTCCCTTCCCAAAGGTATTAATTATATTCAAGAACAAATATATATTTATTACTAATTATATAATTTATAGGGAAAATTTGAATCGAAAAACATGACAGTCACCGATCTACCGCCCATGTTAACCGAATCGCCCTTTTATGTAAACTTGGACTTTTTCATTCCCAAGGTGGCACATGGCTTAAACATCACACTGAAAGGACATCTCTTTGAGATCGCCAAAGTAAATGCTAGGAAGAAGAAATATTTGTAATATATACATTATATCTTGGCTTTGGTAGATATTTTTGTATTTTTAAAAAATATTTTTCCCTTGATGGTTTTTTTTTAATTTATTTCGTGTTAAGTACTAAAATTGTTTATTATTATATTTTACACACCATTTCTACATATTTAACACAATTTGAACACTAAAATATAAGCATACTTTGAGGCAGACTCTTTAAATAATCGTAAATGGAAAATCATAGACTTTTGCAATAAACTAAATCGCTTTTGTTATCTATTTATCTCTTGGAATTTTGTTGCCATGCTATTTTTCCAATAAATTGTTACGCTCAATTTAAAGTTTAAAGAGTGGAAAACTTAAACTGTTTCAAAGTTTGTTATCTATTTATCTCTTGGAATTTTGTTGCCATGCTATTTTTCCAATAAATTGTTACGCTCAATTAAAAGTTTAAAGAGTGGAAAACTTAAACTGTTTCAAAGTCAATTATGCTACTGATTTGTAATCACTCAAATTTGTATACAACTCGAATCAATGAATGAGTGACAATGCCCGCAAATAGAAAAATTTAGTTGTCCCGCGTCTGATCGAGAGTAATGTTCTCCACATGGCTGAATTGTCTACGAATGATTTTGTTGCTCATCCAACTGATCCATTACACAGAAACCAAGGTAATATATTACATTTAAATATATATTTAAATTTAAATTGTATTGTTTTATTTTAATTCTTTCAGAGACAACTCAGATGGGAGTGCTTTGACTGTAAAATAGGTCCTCAGTTTGGAGACAAAATGAAATGCCAAGTGGGTGGCACTAGAAACTCCGTTTTGAATGTGGAAGTAAACTTACGGGAAGAACTTGATGCTATTAAGACGTATGTGAAGATTTCAACCAAATTTAAGATTACAAGTCCATACCGAAAATTCTTTGATATCACCTTTGATGGATGCCGCGTGATAACTGATATGGTCCAAGGAACCATGGTTTCTAATATGTTTAAAGCTATTGTTCGATCGAGTAATCAGCCCAGAAAGTGTCCCATAAAAAAGGTAGATTTATATTAAATATATTTATTACTCATTTTAATCTTATATTAATCAATTTCAGGGCTTGATTTACTATCACAACATAAGTTTAGAGGAAGTCTTGCCCATGTTTGTGCCCAACAGCTATCTCTTTGTGGAGGTCGGCTTATTTTCCAAGCGCCAATCCTACCTAAATGTGACTCTCAGAGGAGAGGTATCGGAAAAATAAATAATATATTGTTTACCCGACTACTTTAATAAATTATGGTATTAACGGACTGGCCTCATAAACAAAGATATCAACTCCTAAATATAGAACTCAGCTCGATCAATATTTAAGACCACTTAAAATTCCATTACCAAAAAAAAATCAATTATTGGCTTGTATAATTATGTGAACCTTTATAATTATTATCCGCAACTGTTTTCACTCTTAGTCTGTGCTGTGACTACCGAATCGGACAGTTGTAATTGATCGGAGCTGATGATGGCTCAATTTTACGGAATACTTTTGCTACTCTTTTGCTTCGCTGGCCCCAGTCAGATGGCCAAGGTATGCTAATGAAAAAATATGACGAGGATTTGTAATCAACTCTCTGTCGAAGCTCTCAACAAAGTTGCGTCTCCAACTGATGTGGCGGAGCTTCAAGTGTGCGACCAATCCGGATTATATTTCCCAATACAAGTGCCTCATCCTGGAGGAGGACAGATCTCTGCTCACCTCGGAAATGAACTATATACAGGATGTGACCCAGTATAATGCCACCTTCAAGCTGTTTATGCCCCGAAAGCCCAACACAAGGTTCCAAAAGGTTTTAGACATCAATGTGGATATATGTCAGTTTGCTAAGGGAGTTCATGGTCATAGATTCATGACCGTTGTCATTAAGGCTTTCGGGAAGCAGGGTTCTCAGCTAAAGTGTCCACATCCCAAGGTAATTTTTATATCTAATGTATTTGAAAGTTACTTAGAGCCTTTTTTGCAGGGTCTTTATGTTTATCCCAACATTAACATAGCCGAGAATTTGCCCGCTTTTTTGCCAGAGACTGAATTCAGAATTGAAATGAATTTCTTGACTACGGAAACGCATTTGGTTAATGTCAGTCTTGCTGGATTTTTGTATGATCCTCAAAAGAAGAGGGGAAAGGTTGTTTAATTTATTTCCAGGCAAATAAAGTAAAGTAATTTATTTCCAGGGAAATAAAGTAAACATAAAAGTATTCGTGCTTAGATCAAACATATATAAGCTGGTCAATTATATATTGTTAACAATTATATTATTTTATTTTGAGCTTAAAAGGGTAATCTTCTTTCGAATTAATATAAACTTTATCCTTACCAAATGGTGGTGTAAAATCTTCATTTCGGTTTTCTTTGATTACTACTATAGATATTACTATTAATCTATAGTAAAATATAATATCTATACAAGTAAACCAATATTTTCTTCTAAATTATTTAAATATTATTGATTTTGGCTATATTCGAGTAACAAATAAGTATAAGTTAATTGGTTTGAATAAGTATTTGATGTGAATATACTTCTCTTTAAGTGAAATAATGTTGACCTAAGCTCAGGGATTAATCAAATGCTTTATGACCCGCCACTTGTCACCCCAACGGTACGTGATCTTTGTGTCAAGTTCCGCTGATCATCTCAGAATCACCACTGGAGCATTATTTACGAGTCAAGCTCAAGATTCGCCGCATCGACAAGGCATTTCACAACCTGAATATTTATGGCCAGCAACGGGGTTCTGTAAGCCAGTTGGCGCTCTCATCGGATGAAGCCAAAACCAAAACTGAAGCTGAAGCTGAGGCTGAAATGTCAAATGTTGTTCGTAAGAACGGCGGCAGTTCGACAAATGCTAAGAATGTAAGGGTGAAATCGTTTGACATTTGCAGCAGTTGCCCCATTAGCCATTAGTCGGTCACTGTGCGAGTGGGTTAGCCATGATCCAAAGTGGTTATAGTTCCCGGGGTTCCTGGACACGACGGGGTACTCTCTCTCTCTCTCTCTCTCTCTTTCTCTCTCTCTCTCTCTTTCCAGAGCTAACCTTGCCCAGCTTTCGATTTTGTTTTCCATTTTTCAACTGTGCGTGGCAAAAAAGTTGCACAACCCGCAATGAATCACCAACAGCAGCAACATCAACAGCAACATCCATTGCAACTGCAACATCAGCATTAGCAACAGTGATGGGAAATAGTTGAGGAGTACCTACAAGATTGTACATGTAGGACCTAATGAGTACTCTTGTACCTAAGCCAGGTTTATGGAATTAATTATCCCTAGTTTTCTTTATGGTTTAAAGCTGGCTTATATTTGGAAATCGATTGATAATTATGTAAAATAAATAGCAATTTTAAAAGCGTCTTTTAAATAAATTATTAGTTTCAGAAGTACTTCCCCATAGTTAATCCCTAGTGTTACCTAAAAATAATACTAATGAAACCTAAATCATCTCCAAAATGTTTAGAATATTTATAGTACCTAGCCCAAAAATAAAGAAGTACCTCCTGCATCACTGACCGTCGGAAACATCAACAATCTGGAGGCTTGGCGGGCGTTCGGGCTGCAGTTGTGGGTGCGGAAGACGAGGACGTGGCCAAAAAACATGACATGGCTCAGCGGGAGGAGAGGTCGTTTGTCGCAATAGGCGTTGGAGTTTTCAGCTTTTTGGCTCGCCTGCATTTTTTTATTCGCCGGCTCTCTCGGCGGTTGTTCAACCCGCCGTTGCATTGTCTTGCCTCTCTTGTGGCACTTGCGAGTCTCCCTCTCTCAGTCTCTCTTATTGTCCCCAAAAAGGCTCGGCAGATTAACCCAATTGTTTGGCAACTAATTAACATTTGCCAAGACGCCCGGCAAGACGCTTTGGACTCAATTATCGTCTTGCCTCATCTGCCGGGCACTTTGGCCGCTTTGCTGTTACAACAATTTTCGCTTCGCTGGCTGGTGTTGGTGTTGGATCCGCCAAAATGCTGCAATTACAAGAATGCGAATCCGAATCCGAATCCAAAACCGAGACCGAATCCGAGTCGGAATCCGAGTGCGAATCTGTAACCGAAGCTGGGAGCAGCAGCATCTCCAAAATGCACTTCAAATGCACTTCTGCCAAGAGAGCGCACACCTTCCCCAGAGAGCGAGAGAGAGAGAGCCAAGTCGAGTGACGCTTTTGGCCAAGTCAACAATGAAAGCAAAAAGAAAAAAAACCAAACTCGTTCTGGCTTGTTTCTAAATAACGGCATTGCGAAGATGAACGACCGGACGCGTCGGCACGAGGACAGACATTTCGCAGACATTTGAGTTGGGCCTACGAGCGGGCCAAATACGAGCAGCGACAACTTAACCCGGCTAAGGTGGGTGCCATAAAGGTAATAGAGCTGGAACCTTATATCTTAAAGCAAAAACAATCTGGCTATAGTCGAGGTACTTCTTGCCAAAGTTCATGTAAGATGAGCATTTTTATACCCAAAAAGGGTATCATAACTTAATTCAGAAGACTGTAAAGCAGTGAAGGAGTCATTTGCGACCCTATAAATCATATATATTCTTGATCATCATCAACAGTAGAGTCGATCTAGCCATGTTTGGAAGGAAACAAAATTTTGAAATTTTTTTGAAATTTTATAAGGGATAAAATCATTAAAATAGTAAAAAATTTTGAAAAAATTTAATTTTTTGTAAATTTCAAATAGAGTATGCAGATTTATTAATATAATAAAAACTAACATGGGAAAGCTTTCCGAATTGAAAGTAATGCATTTTTGGTTAAGTTGTGATACATGGAAACGGCAAGGTTATTCATATTTTGGTTTTCCGAAGTTAGTTTAATTTTTTATAATAATAAATATCAAATGAATACTCAATTAAGACAAACAACATTGGTAACAAGCTTTTGTTTTGTCAAGAAAATTCAAAGAAACGAACTTAGTTTTTCCCCCAAAAGACTTAGGAAACGAACTGGGGTTTTCCTTATAATCAAAAGACTTAGGAAACGAACTTGACTTTACAATGATTGAAAATTAAATATGTTTTGAATACAAAGAATATCAAAAGAAATTCACTTAGATCAGTACTTTAATTTATAAAATAAACTAAGAGATAATATATAATACTTGTTTCTGAGATATACATACTTAATTTCTTATTTTTTAAGCCTTACAAGTAGTAAAATTGGGTAAAAAAATCTATGGAACATTCTCAAAACGAGAGCGACAGTGAATTAATTTTTTTCTTTTGTATTTTTTCAATTTAGCATTTAAGCGTCGACGAGCCTACAAACAACAATTACCGATCAGTTGGATTGGACAGCTACAATAGTAGCAACAAGAGCTACTATGGCAAATTCAACCAGGCAGCCTCTCCATCTCCATCTTCATCGGCATCGCTATCGCCATCGCCTTCGCCATCTTCACCTGCATGTGCGGCGCTCTCCCGTGGAAACTCATCGTCGGTGCAGTGTGGGTACGAGTGCAGCAGGAGGATCGGTACCGACTCGGTGTCGGGTCGGAGCGAATCGCCTATATAAGGCTTAAATAGGGCCGCGCTTGGCACAGTGTCTAGCGGAGTTGCTTTCACTAGCCAGTGCGATCGATCAGTGCCAGTTAATCGGGCGACAAAGCGGGCCAATTCAGTGGAATATACAGTGGATAAAAGTCAGAGACTCCTGACAAAAATGAAAGTGATTGTAAGTGGCCCGAAAAATGTAGTGAAGTATTCAGAGGCTGAATACAAATATTAATGGATTGTTAAAAAGCCTCTTAGAAGGTTGATTCATATTTTTTGGTGTTTGCAAGCTCAGTTTAATTTTAATAACATTTTTAACATGGTTTATAGATTATAAAGAATAGCTCGTGCTGTGAAAAAAACTATATTTTATCGCAAAACATTTCCACTCCACAGATCCTTTTGGGACTCTTTGTCCTGTCCTGCCAGGGACAGCATCATCATCCTCACCAGCAACACCAACAGCACCAGAATGTGAACAATATTCCGCGCGACGACAAGCCGGATCATCACCGGCACGAGGATCACCGGGAGACAAGCACCTGGATACCCATCATCAAGTACAACAAGGAGCAGAGTGAGGATGGCAGCTACAAGACGGAGTACGAGACGGGTAATAGCATCATTCACGAAGAGACGGGCTTCCTCAAGGACTTTGAAACGAATCCCAATGGAGTGCTGGTCCAGCATGGCCAGTACTCCTACCAATCGCCGGAGGGCACTTTGGTTAATGTCCAGTATACCGCCGATGAGAATGGCTTCAGGGCCACCGGCGATCATATACCCACTCCGCCGGCCATACCCGAGGAGATCCAGAAGGGACTGGACCAGATCTATGCCGGGATCAAGCTGCAGCAGGAGCGTCTGGAGCAGAGGGCCAAGACGGATCCGGACTTTGCCCGGAAACTGGAGGAGCGACGAGTGGCCAATCAGAATGGACAGTACATTGGTCTGCTGGAGAATCAGTGAGGAGGGGCAGTAGACCCAACTACCAATCCCATTCCCATCCTCCCCACCGAACCTATGAGCCTGGAAACGTGACTCTCCTAGTGACTTCCTTGGAGACTTCCTTAGTGACTCCTTCACATTCTATGACAACCAGAAGACTGTGATTTCACTCTGCTAAATCTTCTTCAAAATCATGCTCATCGCTAAACCTTTGATAACTTTAATAACATTTATTACCAACCAAGTTCCGCACACACACACAAACACACAGACGGGGCACACATGATAATAATACTTTATTAACGAGTGTGAAAGTTTCGACGCTTTGAAACAATAAAAGAAAAACTAACGTTTCCATTATGCCGATGTATGTAAGAGTGTATATTTTCTATTTTTCCGTTTGTTTTTTCAGAGCTGACCAAATCCATAATGTTCAGACAGACGTGACAAGGCGTTTATGGGTCTCCCTCTTCGTCTCCATAATTTTTCCTGAAGCATTTTCCGCGCTTTATTGTTTATGTTTGCCTCTGAGATCGAATTACCCCATGCGTCAGTTTGTTGATCCCATTCCATATGCTCATGCAGGTTGGGTTTTTCCAATTTTCCATGTTTCTACATCGCCGTCATGGAAATTTTCTTTCGAGAGCCTCCTCGTCGACTGGTTGCAGGTTGCGTAATTACGACAGATCCACGCTCCCAACCAGTGCCATTCGCGGGAAATCCACGAGAAGAGGGGGAATCTGGGGGAGGAAGCCGGTTGAAGTGGTCCGCGAATGGGTTACTGGCGCAGCCTCGATTCCCCGACTGAACCTCTCCAGCGTTCTGCCAATTATTTCGTAAGCTGATTTACCGTTTCGAGTTAGTTTATTTGTTTTTTTTTTCGGTGAAAAGTAGCCCTTAGCCAAATAAATATAGAAACTATAGCCAACTAACTATAGCTGCTGAACCCAAAAAGAGCTGTCAACGGGGCCAACAAGAACAAAGCCAACAGAAAACCTTTTGGGCCAAAAAACGGCAAACGATTTGACCAAATATTTGCATAAAATATAAACACTGAAATTTTAGAGGTATTCTTTTGAGATATATAAATATTTATGAGCTTGCTTGAACTACTAAAACAGTTTTATAACTTTATGGTATCAATTTAAATTAATAATCATCTTAAATAATCAACATTAATCATAGAACTATCAAGTATTATGATTATATCTCCAAAGAAAACACCCCCATAACTATTATTTATGGCAAAACAGTAATTTCTTTAAAATTATAATCATTATAAATTGAGGGGGGAATATCTCTACTATATATGACTTGAGGTCCGCCAACAAATAAATCAATTCCGCTGCATTTTCACCACCAAAGCAGACCCCAAAAGCACGGGGGCCCCAAGAAGAATGTTTATTCGCCATTAAGTTTCAACGCTCTTGCGCATAATTAAGACGAAAAAAAAGCCAAGTTATAATAACGAAGCTGAACAAAAGAAAATTTCTATGGCCCGTGATTAGAAAGAATCTTTCTTCTGGGCCTGAGCGGACGCTGGAATCGATTTGGCCAAGTCAGTTGCCGTTTAGAAGCCGTCGCGTGCAGATCATACAACCGGGAAACCTTTCAAGAAAAGAAGAGTCTTCAAAGAATTCGAATTCGCGGAAGCGTTAAAGCAAACCAGCGGGGAGTGAGTGGAAATGGTCAAGTGAAGTGGAGAATAGAAAAGTTAAAATAGAGAGAGAGATCTGAAGAAGCAAAGATCGAACCAAGTGCGTGCGAATATTGAATTGACATCGAAGAAGACGCTCCGTTAAAAGCAAAAACACGCAAACAAAAGATTGCTGAAAACGAGAATGAATCAATAAGAAAAAAAACGTGAAAAACTAACTGTAAACTTCGGCAGCAACAATAAAAAGTGGCACAGCCCCTCTGCGAAAATAAACAAAAGACATTCTCTGTTTGATTTAAATATGGTTAGTCATCGGAAAGAGTGTTTACTGTGGCTGCTCATCGCCCTCCTCGGTGGCTATCAGCCCCTGGCAGCCCAGCAACTGCAAGGACCACCCCGGCCCAGGGGTCGTATACGTATTGCGGATATGCAACCCCGCCAGGACCAGCATCTGCTCCTGGTCCTCTAAGCAACTGGCCAGCTGCGGGACCCATCAGTTCCACCGTGCACACGCACATTCCACTCTTGAGGGAGGAGAGTGCTCAGCACCCGCCAACGCCCAGCCAGGAGGCGGTGGTGTATGGCAACTGGAAGCCAGAGCATCCAAAGAAGCCAATTGAGGTGGCCGAAAAGATAAAGAGGTAGATATGGAGATGGAAACGGACTCCAGCCAGCAGCCCAGGGAGCGGGTGTATGGGCGCCTGGAGGCCATGCTCATGGGTTTGCCAGCAAATGGTAAGGGTCAGCAGGAAGTCTGCAAGGATTCCAAGGATTAACTATATAAACTTCTCCCAATTTCCAGCTGCAGATGCCAAGCCTTCTAGTTCTAGTGAAGAGCTATCTGCTCCCATTGCTCCTGGTGGCTATCAGAACCCCGTTTATGCTCCACCCGCCAGCTTTGAGCGTTCACCAGAGAAGCATGGACGCAGGCGGATCACCAGCCAACAGGCTCCACATCAGTTCGAGGTCAACCGGGTAAACAATACGGATTCCGGACTCGAAGCCATCAGCAAGCAGTTAAAGGAATCTGGAGAGACATCGACAACGACACACAGAAATTCCCAGTCCACCACCGACGACAATTGGATGCCACTCCCCTATCCATACCCATACGACACCACAATGCCCTCTCCCCCAGCATCGAGCTCCATGATCCCAGGATTCATGCAGTCCTCGGTGGTGCACCCACCATCGCCCACTCAGGCCACACACTCCACCGCTGGCCTGCTCAACTGGCCCACCGATTTCATCGACAGTGCCTCCAACACGGCGAGCACGGAACGCATTGATGGCATCATTCCGGCAAACATTGATAGACGAGACGACAGCATCGGTGACTCTGCGGATGATTATAAGTATTACGAGGAGTCCCTGAACTCCGCCCAGATGCATAGTGAGCTGAGTGTGCCGGAGACGCTGCCCTTGAACATCACCCGAGTGGGGATACCCTACGAGGATCGCAATGCCTCCGAGGAGCCGACCATCTGTGTGCCACTAACTGTCTCGGAGGCGTCTCTCGCCTCGGACAGTGTGACGCCTCTGGTGGTGGAAGTGGAGCGCGTCTATTGCTTTCCGCTGCCCAAGGTGGAGGTGCGAAGGGGTCAAGTCCGGCCACAGGTGGAACAGGTGACTCGGGCGCATCAGGAGGAGGAGGAGGAGATCGGCGAAACGGAGGTGAAGCCAACAGATCAGGCCATGCCACCAACGGATGCTGCAGCGGGAGCCAGACAAAATTCTCTTGGAATATTCAGTCTACTTTTCCTTCTTGTCGGCTGGAGTTTGCGACCAGGAATTAGTACCTAAACTAGGATCGCCTAAGATTATACAAAAACACTCACAACTCAGGGGCTTAACACGCAAATAACAATTATTTAAACATTAAAACTAAGCAAACATTATGGTTTAATTGTTTTCTTCAAGGTTTTTGTAGGCTTCAAGAGAAAGTAGATTAGAAAAGTTTTATAATATTTTTAGAGGGTTTATTTACCAGGAATTGACTATTTATTGCAACTCAACTGATTAAGTATAAGTATTTTGTTTATAATTTATTTCAGTAACTTTGCCGCTTATCAGTTTATAACACATTAGTTTTTGTTTACATTTTTCACTATCTCGCAAGCCTTTGATTTTGGTTTATAAACAGCTTTCTTATCATCATACATACATACTTGGTATATAGTATAGTACGTTCAAGATAAGAAATTTCATTCATAGTATAATTTGGTTTACTATGAAAAGCTTTTAATGATAAGATTAATGGGTTTCTGTGCTTTTTGCCCCTTTTTTGGCAACAAACTCATCACGTGCGGCCTTGCGCAAGGTCTTTCCATTTGAATTACACGGCAGTTTTTCGATGAACTGGACTCCGGCATGGAGCTGCTTCTCCTTGGCGGGCAGGTGCTTGGCCACATAATCCATAATATCCTTAGCTCCCAACTGGGAACCCGGGATCCTGACCACCAAAGCGCCAGCTTCATCGCCAACCCTTTCGTCGTAGATGCCAACGACGCATACATCCTGCACCTCGGGCATCCGCGAGATGATGCTCTCGATTTCGGTGGGAAAGTAGCTCAGACTTTCGTATCGCAGCATCTCCTTTTTGCGATCCACAATATAGAGGAAGTTCTGCTCGTCGAAGTAGCCCAAGTCACCGGTATGGTACCACCCCTCAGAGTCCTGCAGGCTACGAGTCTCCTCGGGATTTCCGTAGTAACCATTCCAGACTCGATTTGTGTGAACATACAGCTCTCCCACCTGGTTGTATGTCAGGTTTTTGCCCTCCTCATCCACGATGCGCATCCTGGCTCCCGGAACTGGTCTGCCCACAGATGACATGTGTGGAAGTCCGGCATTGGCCGTAACAATTCCCATCTCGGTCATTCCATAGCCACAGGTTAAGAGCGCACCTTTGCACAGATTTTGGACCTTCTGCAATGTGGCACTGGATGCCCAGCCGCCGGTATAATGGACATTTATAATGGAAGCCAGTGCCTCTGGCGTGGCAGTCGGACAACTCACAAGAGCCGAGAGATATCTGGGTGGCATTACGGCAATATTGACTTTGTACTTTTCCACCATTTTCAAGAAATGCTCCGGCGTGAAGGGTTTGTTGCTTATGATGCGGGTGCAGCCCGAAAGCGTATTGTACATGAATGTCACCAAGCCAGTTAGCCAGTCCAGGCAACTGGGCGTAAAGATGGACATTTCGTTGGTGGCCATCCTAAAAATACATATATATTTAAAATTAAAACAAGAAAGGACGCTAATTTCGGCACGCCGAAGTTTGTATACCATTGCAGACCGAAATTCGATCACTAGGAATTAATACAATATAAATTATATATATATGTTAAAAAACAATAAAGTAATGCCTGCATTTTCCTCTATTTTTAACGATCGTTTGTATGGCAGCTATATGATAAAAGAGTCCGATTTTCATAACATTGTACACAAAATTCTAGATTAATATATAATGGCTAATTACCAAATTTGATGAAAATCTGTTGATGTTGAAAACTGGAAACTGTTACAAAAGTTGAAAGTCATTGTTTATTAGTGTTCAAAGTTAGTAACTGAACATACATTCTTACTGGTCAACGAGACTTACTGATCATATTTACTTGCTGATCATAGATACTTACTGTTTGGAGTTACTTACTCTTCAAAATTACATAAGGTTCATTGATACTTAGTGGTCAGAGTAACTTAAGGTTCATTGATACTTACTGGTCAGAGTTACTTACTGCTCATAGTTACTTATTGTTTATAGTTAAATTAAATATCAGCTCGCTGCTCCTCTCTGTCTCTCCCCCTCTCACTCTATGTTAATCGCTCTATGTTAATCTCTAGAGGTAACTGCTTCTCTCCCATGCACTCACACTCACTTTTTCTGCTCTTCTCTGCTCTGCTCTTCTCTGCTCTGCTCTTCTCTGCTCTGCTCGGGGACTATAAATAGAGGCGCTGAGGTCGCGCGCGCCTCAGTCTGTCCTAGGGGTACCTAGTGTTAACATCAATAGTGATAGTGCAAGTGATCAGCCTTCGACTTCAAAATATGACGTGGCCAATGAAACACATCTGGATGACTAGGAAGAAGCTTACTTTGGATGAAGTCACCTAATCTTGGTCACTACACTGAATGGAAGTAAACAATGACGTGTCCTTTACTGCGGTAAGTCTTAACCATGACATTTATATTATGTATGAAGAAGCTATTGGTGGTATCAGATCTAGTAGACCATATAATCCAATTTATTTTCTTATATATAATATATATAATAATATAAATATAATATATATAATAATAAAGCTTTGAATCAAATTAGATAAATATATGTTAAAAATTGTAAAAGTTATCATTGTTTTTCTAATATTTTCCGAGCGTTCCTATGGCAGCTATATGATATAGTCGTCCGATCTGGCCCGTTCCGACTAACATAAGAGTGAATACTAACTGCAAAGTTTCATTGAGATACCTTCAAAACTAAAAGAACAAGTTTGCGTAGAAACGAACAGACGGACGGACGGACAGAATACATATACTTTATATGGTCGGAGATGACTTCTTCACTGCGTTTCAAACTTCTGACTGAAATTATAATACCCTGCAAGGGTATAAAAATGTATCGAATATAAGATGGTACTCACGTGGCGTCACTTATAAGGTAATTGTTGGAAATGCAGACAGCCTTTGGCAAGCCAGTTGTTCCCGAGGAGCAGAGAATCACTACAGTTTGGTCACCACCTTCCTTCAGAGGTTCGGGCCTAGGAACATACTTAGTTAACAATCAAACTATTGCTTGATATCATCTCATACTAACTGGTAAATTCTCTCAGTGGCAGTGGGATCTAGAAGGGTTTCAATGCTAGGAACTCCTGGCACATGATCAGTTAGGGTAAAGATCTCTGGATTCCATTTAATGGTTGCTGCTTTTATTTTCTGTAGATCAACTCCATCGCAGAATATTATAGAAGGCTTGGTTATGGAAAACACATGGGTGGTGGTATCTAAATACAATAATTACTAATTAACTTGAAATGCTTTAATTATAAATCTAATACCAACCTTGGTCTAACAGAGTGCTAATCGAGTGAAAGGGTGTTGCATTCAGAAAACAGGCCACTCCCAAAGGCATTGCGTAGGTGGAGTTTTGTATAGAGATGCCAATGACATCCTTGTGACCAAGTCCACGCTTCTTAAAGAACTGGGAAATCCTAACAGCCCAAGTAAGTGCCTGCTCAAAGGTGGTCTCCACTCCATCAGCTTCGTTTATCTGATTCGAAGAGCTTATCTTTGATAACCACTATCTCTACAGGTATTTCGTAGATTCACTCACCTGGCATACATTCTTGGGCCAAGTTCTCATTGTGTTGAATATTAATTTTCCCACAGAAGTGTCATGGTTGTAGATATTGGTTCTCGCCGTACCACTCCAGATCCTCTCCTGCTCATTAAATGTGGCGGTTGGTAGAGACATGGTTTTTAATGCTTCACGAAGTCCGCTTTGAACGAAAATCCGAAGACGACTGCCACAATCCGATCAGAAAAATTGTATTTATAGTCAGCCAGAAAGAATACTATACCGCGAGGTGAGACGGCCTTTGGCTGCGAATGGCTAACCTCTGTACTAACTTATCAGGCGGAGTCGAAAGTTCAGCAAACAACAGACTATAGACTGATTTTCGGGTCGGGACTACTCGATACCCTAATCAAGACCTAGATTCACCACTGCAGCGATTGCGTAGAACCGAACCTATCCAAATCTACAATCAGTTTATTGCAGATATTTACAATAAACAAAATCTAAAAAGTCATGCTCGCTTAGCTTTCTGTTTGATAATAATCAAATTCTGCTCATGCTTACTCAGCATTTTTCGTATCAAATGGGAACGAAGTGGAAGAAATCGAAGCTGGGTAAGATGCCAGGCCCGCTTAATTATTAATTTCATTATCTGCGATTGAAGCTTCTTTAATTTATTCAATTTAATTTATTATATTATATTATTTATATTATTACTTTTCAAACAAGGAATTGATACATGTATAGCTTTAAGATTGCTTAAAGATAATTATACCAAGATATATATATTCCACATTTAAAATACTCGACCTCAAGTTAAGAAATACCTTATCTATAACTTCTTTTTATAGGAGTTTCAAAGCAAGTTAAGGAGCAGACCGATACCAAATCATTTAAAACCTTATCAATAAACGGATTATGTTGCCCTTGTTTGTGCTTATAAGTAGCACTTTGACTTATCTACTAATAAGAATCCTATCTTTGATAAGAACTTCCATTCATAAAAAACTACTCTATTAACAAAATATTAAAACACGGTTGATAACAATGGACAGGCTTTAAATTCTAATTTCAACGATCCGTTTTGGCAGCAAATTAATCACGAGACCACAATGTCCTACTTTATAAAATAAATCTGGCATACATGGCGTATACTTAACGTGAACACCCTTAAATTAAGTATACGCCATGTGTGTCTTAAATGAGAATAGTGTAGAGGTTTATAAAGATAAAGAACTTCAGCAAAAAATAACTATTTTGACAATTTAACTATAAGATCGAATTGGAAATCTATCATAACTTTGCTTCAAATATTTGTTATTTATCAATATTTTAATAGTATAATTTTGTTCGAGAAATCAAAGTTTTAAAACTCATACTTCAGCCAAAAATGTATTAATTTCAATTTGGAAAGCTGTTCTGAGCTACTTTTTATTACATTAATTAATGTGCATACTAAATATAAAGTTTAAAAAAATTTAATATTTTAACAATTTTAATGATGTAACCCCTTATAAAATTTTGAAACATTTTTGCAAATTTTTTTTTTCTATATACCTAGAAAAATTCGCCTGATTATGCTGATCAAGAATATATATGATTTATGGGGTTTCACTGATTTTAAGCCTTCTGACTATAGTTGTGATAACCTACAAGGGTATAAAAATTACAGTCTATTGAGAACTTATTTGGGCCCAGTTCTTTATAATTTTTATAATCATGCTTGCTCAGCTTGTTGAGGGAATCGCAGTGACTAAATATTTTGCAGCACTAATTTGATAGTATATTTTACAACTTCTCAATATAAATACTTCTTAATTATCGACACTTGTAAAGTAAACGAAGACTGTACTTTTAGGAACCTGAAATAATTTATTTTCTAATCAGTTAATTGTTTCTTTACTAAAATATCCATTCTAACGTTCTCAATTATATGCTAAGAAATTAAAAAATAACTAAAGTTTCAGCTATTATTTATTATTAATAATTGCAACTATTTTAAAATTGAAATAAATATTTTATTTTGCAGCTTCCTTCTTGGCCAAGAACTCCTCCCGCGCCACTCTACGCAATGTCTTTCCATTGGGATTGGCGGGCAACTTGTCGGTGAACTGGACACCGGCATGGAGCTGCTTTTGAACTGAGGGCAGTCTTGTGGCCACATGATCCGCAATCTCCTGCGCCGTTATCGAGGTTCCCTGCCTCTTGACCACCAGAGCTCCAGCGGCATCGCCCTGCTGTTCATCGTAGATGCTCACAACACAGACTTCCTCCACCTGGGGCAGCTCGTATATGACGCCCTCGATTTCAGAGGGCCAATAGTGATTTCCCTGGTACTTGCAAATCTCCTTTTTGCGATCCACCACAAAGAGCCGGTTCTGTTCGTCAAAGTACCCCAGGTCTCCGGTGTGGAACCAGCCCTCGAAGTCCTGCATGCGCCGCGACTCCAGGGGATTGCCAAAGTAACCATTCCAGGGCAGTCCATTGTGCACGTAGATCTCGCCCACTTCGTTATATCCCAGGTACTTGCCATCCTCATCCACAATCCGAAACTTCACACCAGGCATGGGCTTGCCGGCAGTGTTGACATTACTCAGTCCAATATTAAAGGACACACCACCCACCTCCGTCATGCCATAGCCAGAGCTAAGCATGGCACCCGGACAAAGTTCCTGTACCTTTTTTAGTGTGGTCATCGAAGTAAATCCCCCACCATAGGCTATAGTTCGAATGGAGACCAGGGCTTCCTTTGAAGCTCCAGGATAACTGATCAAAGCAGATAGGTGGCGAGGCGGCAGCATGACGGTGTTGATCTTGTACTTTTCCACGAGCTTCACAAAGTAATCCGGCGAAAAGGGTTGATTCGTTATGATACGAGTGCAGCCGACCACTGTTCCCATAATTAAAGCGGTCAAGCCGCTGTACCAGTCAAGACCACTGGCTGAAAATATCACCAACTCGCTGTTCATCATCCTGTGAAGATAATTTATATATAATATAGTTCGAAATCGATCTAAATAAGTTCTGAACTTACATGGTATTTAGATGCAAAGCCTTATTAGAAATGCATACAGCCTTGGGCAGTCCAGTAGTACCCGAGGAGCACAGAATAGCCATGGTCTGCTCGCCTCCTTCTTTCAAAGGTTCTGGCCTGACGATAGATAAGGATATTATCAGACTTAGGAGTCTCTCAAAGTCCTCTACTTACTGATAAAAAAGTTCAGTGGGTGTGGGATCTAGAAGGCTTTCAATATGTGGCACTCCCTGTACAGGATCTGTGATTGTAAAGATCTCTGATTCCCATCCTTTAGTGGCAGCTCGCACTTTCTCGTATTCCTGACCATCGCAGAATATTATTTTCGGCTTGGTTATCGAAAAAACGTGTTTAACGGCCGCTGAAGCATGAAATTCTATGTAAGATATCTGCAGATAACCTTTGATCGTAGTATAAATACAAACCTTCATCCATAACTGGATTAATGGCGTGAAAGGGTGTTCCATTTAATAAACAGGCCACTGCAAGAGGCATTACATAGGTGGAGTTCCTTGTAGATAGACCAATGATATCTGGACACTGGAGTCCCTTCTTCTTGAAGATCTGGGCAATACGAATGGCCCATGTGATGGCCTGATCAAAGGTGACTACCACGCCATCCGTATCGTTTATCTGTTTAAAGGTTGGCTTTACTTTAGTTCTTCATTTCGGGTTTTTCTTTGAGTTAAACTCACCTGGCAGACATTCTTGGGCCAATTCCTCATGTTGTTGCATATTACCTTCCCAATAGAAGTCTCATCGGTGTACATATTAACCCGTTTGGGTCCACTCCAGACTCGATCCCTTGGATCGTAGCTCGTTGGTAGTCCGTCCATCCTTTAGGTTCTCAAGTTAAAGTTATACTGCCATTGTTGGTCACTGGGAATTGTATTTATAGCAAAAAAATAGCTAAAAAAAATAGCAAGTAATGAATGACCTGCATCAATGGGATACACCTGATTTTAAAAGCTCTTGTTTGTGACGTCCGGAGATAAGCGGTAAATCTTATCTGAAAATTTAGTTTAATAGGAAACTATGAACCTCACGCACAACGTACGATTTGTGTCAAGATTTTGTAAGATAAGGATTTGATCACTTTAAGAAATTTTCATGAAGTGCCAGTTAATACGATTTTGTAGGAAGTCTATGACGATAAGACCCACAATCGATTAAATCCTAGGAAATCCAGGAATTTGTGATTAGAGTCCGCATAAAAAGCCACTTAATTAGCTACCAAATTACTCTAAGATAATGAGTATTTCTGATCCGAACTAAGACATACTTATAGGAGCCAGAAAAATAGATTCGGAAACAACCAGCTAGTTTCTGTTAGAATAAAATATAATTTCGAAAGTCAGGTGAATTTATGGAATAACCAAGTCAAGTTAGCAGGAACTCTCTTTCACCTCATATACTAAAATAATACCTTAATAAAACCGACTACTAGTAATCGCAGCCTGTCACAGATATACCCAGGATTAGTTGTCTTGCAGTTACAATTTATTGCAAACCAAAGGTCACCTCACTATCGAGACCCTCAAGTAAGGTACTTTAATAATAATTTGAAGTGTTTCAATTATCTCCCAGCACTTATGATTATAAAAAAACAAAAACTCGACTACGTTGAATCGAAGAGCCTAAGATCTCACTTTCCTGTGCCGCTTTGGGCGACGAAAACGTCGCGTGCCACCTTGCGCAACGTTTTGCCATTGACATTGGCCGGCAGCTTGTCAGTGAACTGCACTCCAGCTCGGAGTTGCTTCTGCACCGCAGGCAGTTTCTTTGCCACATGCTCCACAATCTCCTTCGCCGAAATGTTGGCTCCCTTGCTCTTTACCACTAGAGCTCCGGCGGCATCGCCCTCCCGCTCATCGTAGATGCCCACGACGCACACATCCTGCACCTGTGGCAGTTCCGTGATGACGCTCTCGATCTCGGTGGGCCAGTAGTGAAGGCCCTGGTACTTAAGGATCTCCTTCTTGCGATCCACAATATACAAAAAGTTTTGGTCATCGAAATAACCCAAGTCGCCGGTGTGGAACCAGCCCTCGAAGTCCTGCATGCGACGTGTCTCCACGGGATTGCCATAGTAACCATTCCAGGCCTGGCCAGTGTGCACATAGATCTCGCCCACCTGATTGTAGCCCTGGTTCTTGCCCTCCTCATCCACGATGCGAATCTTAACACCCGGAATAGGTCTGCCCGCCGAGGAAACGTTGCTAATGCCAATGTTGATCGTAATGGCGCCTACTTCGGTCATTCCATAGCCCGAATTTAACATGGCCTTCGCGCAGAGCTCCTGGGAGCGCTGCAAAGTGGCTAGGGATACTGCTCCGCCGCCATAGTTGAGGTGCGTGATGGGGGCCAGCGCTTCCGAGTTGGCTGCGGGACAAGTAATCAAAGCCGATAGGTGACGTGGCGGTAGAACAGCATAGTTGATCTTATACTTCTTCACCAGACCCACAAAATATTCAGGTGCAAAAGGTTTGTTGCTGATAATGCGGGTGCATCCGAACACAGTGCTGAACACAAAGGCCCACAGACCGGTAATCCAGTCCAGGCAGCTTCCTACAAAGATCACCGACTCACTGTTCACCAACCTGAGAAAACATCATTCAATATAAGGTAATAATCTTTAAAGGATTAGGTTATACACTCACATGCTGTCCTGAATAAGGATGCTGTTGGAGATGCACACGGCCTTGGGCAAGCCAGTAGTTCCCGAGGAGCACAAGATGGCCACGGTTTGATCACCTCCCTCCTTCAGCGGTTCCGGCCTGGATTAGGATTAGGTATTTTCATAAACTATTTACTTAGTGATTTATTTTACTTACTGATACATCCTTTCAGTGGCTGTTGGATCCAGCAAGGTCTCAATGCTCTGAACTCCCTCTACGTGATCGGTGAGGGTGAAGATCTCCGGATGCCAGCCAACAGTGGCCTTGTGAACCTTATCGTACTCATGACCATCGCAGAAAATCAGAGTGGGCTTCGTGATAGCAAATACATGCGTCAAGGTTCCTGTATTTGAAAGGAATAATTTGTTTTACAAATTTCCCTATAAATAATGAGATGTTACAGACCTTCATCCAGCATAGGATTAGCTGCATGAAAAGGAGTTCCGTTCATCAGGCAAGCCACACCCAGAGGCATCACATAGGTGGAGTTCTTGGCTGCAATGCCAATGATATCCTTGTGATTGAGTCCTCGTTTCTTCAGATACTGGGCTATCCGAATGGCCCAGGTTAGTCCTTGCTCAAAAGTAACCGTGATGCCATCGACGTCACAAATCTGGAGGGAGTATTTTAAACCACATATCGAATTGCAATCCTATTCCGCTCTGACTAACCTGACACACGTTTTTGGGCCAGTTCTTCATGTTGTTGAAAATGATCTTTCCCACGGAGGAGTCATAGTTGAATATAGAGTTGCGCTTGGCTCCGCTCCAGACATTATCCTTTTCGTTGTAACTAACTGGTATCATGGCCATGATTCGGTTTCCTCTAAGAACTTCGTTGCGCCGTCACAAACTGCAGTGGACTCTGGTGACCGCGGGTACTACCCTTTATATAGGGGAAGAGCTCTGAAAATCCAGTCTCAATGGGCGCCTTGAGTGGATCCATGGCAAGTGGCTAACACCTGTAACATCTTATCTGTTACTGAAGAAGATAGTGTACACTATTGTTTTTTGGCCTAGGCCATGACTATTTTATACCCTGTCTTAAAGTTTGGAGTACCTTAGACTTTAAGTTTATGTGGGGTATAATCCTACTAGTTCCTCCTTTTTATTAATGTTACTACGTAATCTAGTGCTGTCCTGTAGTCTTTGTTTATCAATAAAATCATTAGAAACTAGTAAACAATCTTTACAGGGTATTTGTATGGAAGGTGTTGGCATAGATGAGGACTAAATATGCAGACGATTTTCAGTATTGCCTATATCTAATCAGTTCCCCATTGAATGCTAAATCGAACCAAAAGAAAATCCCATTAAGTACCGTTATAAATAAAAAGGAAATGCTGATCAACGTGAAACACCTGACTGACTATGAATCAAAACACAAGAACTATGCAATCACCCAGGAAGTTGCACCGATCATTGCCCATTTATACATATATGTTAGCTGATGAGATTTGGGTGCAATCGTTGCGGGTTTATGAGCTTTATAAGCACTATATTACCCAGTATTTGCAGCAAGGTTTACGACTAGAAAAATAGTAAATTTAACCGTGATATCTGTATTGCAAAATTGCTTATTCTTTTGCTACTGTTTTCGCCATTATTGAACTTAATATAGAAATAAAAGGAAATAGTGCTAGTGAAATCTGGTTTCACTATCATTAAGTTATGACAAATTTGACAAGTATTAACTGCATATTATTAAACTTATTTTAATCAGTAAAATTAATTTAAATTTATTTACAAATTTTTAATTGCAACGGTCTACTGACAACTTGCCCTACTCCGTAAAAATCCATCAGTCTGGCCATTCTTGTGAAACAGCTGACTGGCCGTATATCAGCTGTTTGAAATTTTCACGGCCAACAATCAAAATTGGCGGACGAAACGCGGAAGTATCTATAGTTTTATGTAATGTTAAGTTGACGAGGAACGACATCTCCGAAAGAAGCGTTAGTTGTCCTGCCCCACGATGTTTGTCTACCAGCTCAGGGTCGTCGTCCGTTGCTCGCAGCAGAAACCCTTGCTGCTATGGGCACCTGTTTGCCACATGAGCGCAAACGCACCGCTGAAGGAATACCAGGCACGCGTCAGTTCCGGCCAGCTAATGACTGATGACAGGCAGTTTCAAACCATGAAGCAACTGGATGCCCTGTACCACAAGATCCAAAAGTACAGACCGGATGGCTACAGAACGAGCGGCGGTGGAGGCGGCGGTGGCTTCTTTAGTCGTCTTTTCGGCAAGCAAGCCACCGAGGAGGAGGATGATAACGATCCCAACGCTGGCAGCCATGCCCCACAGGGACTTTACCTCTACGGCAGCGTGGGTGTGGGCAAGACAACGTTAATGGACTTGTTTTTTGATTGCTGCACTCATGTGAATAGACAGGAAATTGAATTTCATGAAGAAGCGGAAAATAACCAGCTTTTTTGTTTTCAGATCGACCGGAAACAGCGCGTTCACTTCACTGCCTTCATGAACAACGTGCATACCCGCATCCATGAGGTTAAGCAGAGTCAAGGACCTGTCAGTCGGGCCTTCAATTCTGAAAAGCCCGCTCCATTTGATCCTACGAGACCGGTGGCCGATATGATTGCCCGCGAGTCCTGGCTTATCTGCTTCGACGAGTTTCAGGTGACGGACATTGCCGATGCCATGGTGTTGAAGCGCCTTTTTACGCACCTTTTCCGTCACGGCATTGTCGTGGTGGCCACCAGCAATCGACATCCCGAGGATCTGTACAAGAATGGCCTGCAAAGGACAAACTTCCTGCCCTTCATCGCGCTGCTGCAAAAACGCTGCAAGGCTTACCAGCTGGATTCGATTGACTACCGACGGATAGCACAATCCGGCGACACGAACTACTTCGTCAAGGGTCAAACAGACGCAGACGCTAGCATGAACCGCATGTTTAAGATTCTGTGCGCCGAGGAGAACGACATCATTCGACCACGGACTATCACGCACTTTGGCAGAGATCTGACGTTCAGCCGCACCTGTGGACAGGTGTTGGACAGCAGCTTTGGGGAGCTCTGTGATCGCGTAAGCAAGTGAATAAGATAACCGAAAGGTATCTGACTAATTGTGTACTTGTTTTCCTGTTTAGCCGCTGGCTGGCAGCGATTACCTACAGATAGGACAGTTTTTCCACACCGTTCTCATCCGAGATGTGCCCCAGCTCACCCTGGATGTCAAATCCCAGATGCGACGCTTCATAACGCTGATAGATACGCTGTACAATAACCGTGTTCGCGTGGTTATATCGGCGGATACTCCGCTGGAAAAACTGTTTAGCTTTTCAAGTGGTTCTGGCGCCCTTTCCGACTCTGATCGGGCGCTAATGGACGACTTGAAACTGGATCATGGGGTGAGTACGATATGCATTTCTTTTCGATGGGAATCCCCCTAATTTTTGATGTTTTCAGTCTGGTTCCAAGTCAAGCTTCTTCACCGGAGAGGAGGAGCTCTTCGCTTTCGATCGCACACTATCGCGTCTGTACGAGATGCAGAAGCGGGAATACTGGGAGCAGTGGGCCAAGCAACGATGAAACCTCCATATCATCAACAAGCAATAGTAGTTAAATTAGCGCATATAAATTATTTAGTCTACCTCGGTGCCGTGGAGTTTTTAAATTGAAATTTCTTGTTACTTAATAACCGCCTATGCTGCATATACATAGGTGCCTTTTAAAAGTATTAAAGCAATAAATTTAATAAACAAAGTTAGCCAGGATTTTAAATTTATTTAAACATTTACTTAACGACAAGTCACAAGTTTGACTCACTGCGGTGATCTAGTCACGGTTTCGTTTGCCACTTAAATTATCAGTTAATCGCGCCATCTGGCAACGCTCACGCATTGATAAGATTTATGTTTCTGGTTGAGGTTGGATCGAAAGAAGATTAGAAGGTCAAGATCGTTTGGTTAGTGTATCTTTGGGTGGACAAAAGGCAGCATAAACATGGAAATGGAAGTAAATAAGACCCTGCCATTTGGTAAGTTCCCTAAGTGCCAAAAATTACTCTATATTTGACGAATATATGTATGTATCTTGATAACCGCAGATCCCTCGCTGCTGGTGGTCAACATCTCGTTGCGACAGATCGAGGAGATCGCTATGACGGTGTCACAGCGGTGCCATGTGACCGGGGTCAACGAGGTCGCCTGGGCCCTGCGCGCTCTCATGCTCACCGATCTGACCACCCTGGCCGGGGATGATACGGCGGCCAATGTGCGTCGTCTGTGCCTCCGTGCCTGCTATCCCTTCGAGCCTCAGCTGTTTGATAAGTTCTTCGATCGGTCCCTCATCCCGGACATGCATACGGCCGCCGTTTGTGTTTACCCCGCCCGGGTGAAGGATGCCTATCAGACGCTGCAGCAATACGATATGCTAGACAAGGTGGCCATTGCCGCAGTGGCCACGGGCTTTCCCACAGGACAGTATGGACTGCAGACGCGTCTGCAGGAAATTAGCCATGCCATCTTGGCTGGAGCCACCGAGATTGATATAGTGATCAACCGACAGTTGGCTCTGGTGGGAGACTGGGAGGCTCTGTACAACGAGGTGGTGCTCATGCGGAGCGCCTGCGGACAGAAGGCGCATCTGAAGACCATTCTGGCCATCGGAGAGCTGGGCACAATGGAGAACGTAAGATTAAGCGTTCTTAATCCTTTCAAAAAGCTATAACTACTCTCTATTTAAAGGTCTACAAAGCAGCCATGGTTTGCATGTTGGCTGGAGCGGATTTCATCAAGACCTCCACCGGCAAGGAGACGGTGAACGCCACCCTACCCGTAGGCCTGGTCATGATATTCGCCATTCAGGAGTTCAAACGTCGCACCTGCCAGATTGTCGGCCTAAAGCCGGCCGGCGGAGTGAGAACAGTGCGCGATGCCATCGCTTGGATGACGCTGGTCAATGAGACCCTTGGAATTAGCTGGCTACGCCGAGAGAGATTCCGCTTTGGCGCCTCCGGTCTGCTGGACGACATAGAGCGCGTAGTTCGCGAAGGTGTGGTCAAGATGGAGGCGGAGGAGCAGACTAAGAATGTGCAGCCTCCCCCGGAAATTGCTGCGGCCGAGGCGTTCTGTAAGGAGCTGCGCAAGAAAAAGGAAACGAAGTGAGCCTTAGCCGTCACTCACGCGGAGTACCATATATTGTAGCATTTTTTACAACTGACTAAAACCTATAAACAAAACAACCAAAGAACCCCCTTTTATAGGCGATGATGTGCGTCCTGGACGGGCGCCTTGAAGTTGTAGGCCAGCTGCGCAGGAGCCGCCATTAGATCTTCCTCTGCTTGCTCCTCACCGTGCTGCAGGAGCTCAGCGGACGGCGCTCCAGCCTCCCTATGTGGCTGGTTATCAGGCATCTTCACCTGCATATCCACGGCGAAGAAGGAGTCATCAAAGTTGATGCGGTTTCGCTCGTCCTGCTCCAGATAGATGGCCTTGGGTGCCGTCGCTCCACCCATGGCCTTCTCGTAGGTGTTCAGCCACTTCAGGTTGAGGTTGATGTGCTTAGTGGCTGCGTTGAACTTCTTTGGCTTCTTCTTTGGCTTGTCTGCATAGTAGTTGTGCTCCATCTTCTGCGGCGGCGGAGCAATCTTCTCGAGCCTTCTACTTTTCTCATCCAGTTTGGGCTCCACATAATCGTAGAGCGGTAGATAGAAGTTGTAGGGCTGCTCCGTGGGCGGCAGCATGCGCTGCTGGGGCTGCACTTGCTCCTCCACTTGGCTACTGGCCTCCACCATGGAATCCTCCTCCAAGGTGGGACCAAAGATTTCACCAGCACGCCGCAGCAGGTGTTCCAAACGCTCAATGCTGATGATGTGCGGATGGATGAGCTGGACGTCGTCATGCAGTTGCGCCCGCCGAGCTGCCGGCGGCTTGGCGGCCACACTGCAGCAAAAGGCACAGAGTAGCAGCTGCAAGGATGGGAGAATTAATTCCGACTTCCCGACATGCGATTCCGAGACTCACAACCACTAGACCACTCATGTCGCTTTCTTTCTTTGTTTTTGTTAGGCAATAAATCACTTTCCACTGGACATAGATGCCTCTGGATTGACCACCTTCACTTTCAGAGATCTCACACGAAGTAAGGCCTCCTTGGAGCTGGCCAAATCATTTATAGTGGCGCCCCGTGTGCTCCAAACGGAAGCTCGGAAGTCTCAATAGCTAACAACAAACCAGCCAGCCCAGGAGAAAACGAGTTTCCCACACGAAGAAAATAAATATGTAACGAGACAAACTAGACGACCTGCACATATATGCACACGCCAGAGCGCATAATAATGTTAATGTAACAGCGATCGGTTGGCGGCGGAGTTGAACAAACTGGAACTGCCAGCGACGACGAACCGTTTGTCACTCATAATGAGTCCGAGTCCGAGAGCCTGGCCAATTTCAGGCGGTGGCCAGGGAAAAGTCGGGCGCGGAGTGCAAGTGCATTGACCCACAGCACAATTATTTCCGCAGCAATGGGGCCGCCGAATGTGTGAACCCGTTTCGATTGTTTCGAACCCATTGCCTGCCGTAAAAGTGCAAGTTCAAAACGGCAGGAAATGCTAAATGGAAAAAGTGTAACGGCCACAACGTGTTCGTTGACTTGGCATCTCTCCTCCCCGGTCATAGAAAATCGTGATTCAACTTACATACATCTCTCTGGGTGGTTTATTCAACAAATCGGATCCTCAGGACTGCTGCAGTTCGGGTAGTCCCTTGATAATGACATCTAACGCCTTTGAGTCCTTCTTGACCGTTTCATTCAGCACCTCCATGGCGCTCTGCTGCATGGCCAGAAAGTGGTTCCACTCATCCTCCGCCTCTTTGCCAATTGCATACTCCGCTCCACCGTTGCCAGCGAACTGATTCTGTTGCATGCGCATCTGGGAGAGCAGCTCGCTAAGGCGACCCTTGAATTGAGTGGGAGCAGAGACAACTGCCTGCATGTTCTGAAGCTTGGTGCGCATGGCCTCCTCCTCGGGTGTGAGCGAAGTGCCCACCTTGCGGCTACATTCCTGCTTCACAATTATCTGGGAATGGAGTACAATAATTAGTAAAATATAACTCCTTATGGTATGGTTTATATCCTTACTCGGAGTATACGATGACTCAGTTCAGCCAGCTTTCGTTTATGCTCGAGTATCGTTGCTGTGGCTGTAGAGTGACGTTGCCGCAGTTCAGTCAGTTCTGTCTCTACCTTCTTCATGTACAGGGCATGGGTATCCGTTTCATGTTCCTGGCATTTAACGCGCCACTTTAGGTCATTGAAGCCGATCATGGGCACGGGTATGAACTGGCGGGGGTCGGGATTGTCGAAGTTCGCCTGACGCCACATGCGCGGGTCCACGCCGCGTGGCGGATTCTCTAGATACTCTTTCAGTTGATCTTCATCGGGCAGGACAAGGGCCAATGCTTCCACAATCCCCAGATTATTAAGTTGTGTCTTCAGCGATGCCTGGTTTAGGTAGGTGCTTAGCTCGGTGGCCAGTATTCGCTTGCTCTCGTTAGGCGCATGCTGCAACTTCTCCTCCACATAGATAACCATCTGGCACTTCTTGTTATCGACCTCCTTGATGGAATCAATGTGGACAAGCATATTGGGCTTGCTGCCAAACAGGCTGTGGAGTGTCTGAATAACCTGCTGTTGGTGGGGCCTGAAAAGATTATTAAAGGATTAATAGGATGCAACTATACACTGTATCTACGCAACCTACTTGATGGCTGAGAGCTCCCTATCAAACTTCAGGGCCACCAGACCAAGTTTGTTGTCCTTCCCCGGCATCCGGCTGTAACCAATAGCCTTAAAGCGGCACAGATAGTTCTCCGGCGTGATATCCACGGGTGCCGCACTCTGCGAGTAGAAGAGCTTGCCGGTACCCCACATGGCCTGCAGGTAATTCCATTTTGCAATGATATTATCCCGTTCGTCACCGAAAATAGACACATTGAGTATGGCCTGGGCAAATGCCTCGTCAGCGGAAATGGGCGCCGGCTGCTGCTGCGGCTGACCGAGCATAAAGTTTGTCCCCCCGAAGCCTCCAAAGCCCGGAGTCACTGTCGTAGTTGATGGCTTTCCAAAGGCTGTAATAACGTGAACCAGGTTAGGAATACAAGCACAATGGGTAATTGGATAATTTTCCACTCACTGGATCCGAAAACACCGCCGCCAAAACCAGTGGACGGCTGGCTGGTGGCGGTGCCGAAGCCCCCGAAAGCTGGCGTCGAGGTTGTTGTCGCCCCAAAGCCTGCAAATCCACTTGCAGGCGCCACACTCGTCGCTGCCGGCTGGCCGAAACCACTAAAAGCCGGTGGCGCAGCACTGGTCGCCGGAGCACCAAACAAACTCGTCTGACTCGGTGCCGGAGATGAGCCAAATCCACTAAAAGCACCGCCACCGAGTCCCGTGGTCACCGTTGTTGTGGTCGCAGCCCCAAAGGCCGGAGCACTGCCAAAGGGTGAGGCGGTGGCACCAAAAGCAGGTGCAGCTGCTGCAGCTCCGAAAGCAGGTGTGGCGGTCGCAGCACCGAAAGCGGGCGCAGCACTGGTGGCTGCTCCAAAGGCTGTACCGCCGCCAAAGGCCGGTGTCGATGTCTGGGTACCAAAGGCCGGCGCCGCTGTGGCCGGCGTTCCGAAAGCGGGCGCTGGTTGACCGGTGGCCGCTGCCCCGAAAGAAGAACCAAAGAGGCCGCCAGCTGTAGAGCGAGGGGAGATAAGGAAACAAACAAAAAAGGGGTCAGTGATTTGGTAACTCAGCTTCCGCCCTGCGGGATCTTATCAGTGATTGAGCCGAAGTCTGGCATTAGTTTGTTTCCGACCCTGATCGTGGAATGGCTGTGCTTCTTGTACTCTTGTTTCTGGTTTTGGGCTTCATCGGCTACGTAGCCTACGTGATCCGGCAGAAGGGGTGAGCTTTCTCTAGCTGCAGCTTCTTAACAGGATTGCAAAAACTCAAATCTATGTATACTGCAGCATCGATCCCAAGGACATTCGCATCCACAGCCTGCAGGATGCCAAAAAGCTTCTGCAGCCGCCGGCAAGCGGCCAAGGACCGCACAGATACCTTGAAAAGAGGGCTTAAGATACTTACTTTTGGCCGGCGTGCTCGTGGCTCCCAGCGATGTGTTGGCTCCGAAAAAGGACATGCTGCTGGAATTTTGGACTTGAATTGTTGTCGGACGATTGCTGTCGCCGTTCCACAAGGCCTATTCACAAAATTGTAGATTTAATATAATAAAACTAGTCTTAATCCTAATAAACGTAAAAATTTTGGCGCTTTTTTGTAAAAAGAGAGTGACAGTGTGCCTGCATCTGAATAACTAAAAAATACCTACATCGTTATTTGTCTCCAGCCCTCGCCTTCTTCTGCAGCGTCCCATGGTATTTTAGAGCCTTTGCGAAGCGGTCACACGCAAATGGAAAAATCGTGAAAATTCTACTCTACGGAAAACTGAAAATCTCATAAAACATCTACAAGCTAGCAAATAATTTGTAAAAATGTCACTTTTCGGAGCGTTGATGGGTGGTGACTTTGACGACGATCTCGGCCTGATGAAGTAAGTAGTGACGGAAGTATGAAAACGAAAAGAATTTCTGCTGGCGCTCCTTCAGAAGCCCCATTGATTTCCATACGTGTATGTGCATGAGCACCTCTGCTGACGCCTCTCTTGGGGGCGTGGAGGAGGCTAACAATTGCAAAAGGTGGTGAAAACACAGCTCTGGGCAGGATTTAAACATTGAAGCTAGTTAAAGCCGACTTAAAAAAGGCTAAGCTTCCTAAAATCGGCATATACCATGTGCACGAGTGTGTGTGTGTGTGCAGCATGCGTGAAGAGAAGACGTAATAATCGATAATTTGAATTGGGTGACCGCAGCAGGGAAATGCAGCTATTTCCTGGGCTCCCCAGTTCCAAGGCACAGCTTATCGGGTTTTGTGGTCGCAAAAAAACAGGTCCCTAGCAGGCGGTTCTTTTATCAACAAACTCGCTTTCTTTGTGTTTTGGGTTTTGTAGGTTGAAGTAACTATTATTAGGGACAATCGTAAGGGAACAAAACGTAGTAATACATCAAACCAGAAACTCAATACATCTGATATGGATTTTAAGTAATAGTTTGCTGAGTATTATTGCAGTAACTAACGCCTTCCTCGCCCACAGCAACCACATGAATCACACCATGAACGCCATGAACATGCAGATGCGTTCGATGAACCGTCTGATGAGCTCCTTCATGCCGGACCCCTTTATGCAGGCTTCGCCCTTCGATCCGGGCTTCCAGCAGAGCGCCCTGATGGAACGCCCCCAAATGCCGGCCATGCCAGCCATGGGACTCTTCGGCATGCCGATGATGCCCAACTTTAATCGCTTGCTGAATGCTGGTGAGTATTCCGCTGCTCTGCTCCCAGAAAATCATGCCTTTAACAGGGAGTTATTTTAGATATTGGCGCCAATCCGGGAGCCTCGTACTGCCAGAGCACCGTAATGACCATGTCCTCGGGCCCTGATGGCCGCCCGCAAATCTACCAGGCCAGCACCAGCACCAAGACAGGACCAGGCGGTGTGCGTGAGACCCGCAAGACGGTTCAGGACTCTCGCACGGGCGTCAAGAAGATGGCCATTGGACACCACATTGGCGAGCGTGCGCACATTATTGAGAAGGAGCAGGACATGCGCTCGGGCCAGCTTGAGGAGCGCCAGGAATTTATCAATCTGGAGGAGGAGGAGGCCGAGCAGTTTGATCGCGAATTCACATCTCGTGCCACGCGCGGAATTGTGCAGCCGCGCCATCGTGGCAGCAGCGGAATGCAGGCCATTATGCCCGCCCGTCCGGCGGCCCAAACCTCCACACTGACCATTGAGCCGGTTGAGGATGACGACGAAGACGATGATTGTGTGATCCAGGAGCAGCAGCCGCTGCCAATGCGCTCTGTCGCCGGCCGACACTTGCCCTCAGCACCAGCGGGTCCACACAACAGCAGCAGGTGAGTGCCAACCGATCCTCATCCAGTTGGGGGGAGGGTTCCTGTTCCTGTTTCGCGTGATTGTGTAGGAGCATTAGCCGAAATAGTAAAGAAACCCGTGAGATCTCCCACAACTAACCCCTATCCCTCCCCCTCCGCAGCCAGAGACACTGTTGCTAAATTGAAACGTTTGTATTTACTTGCAGATATAATTACTAAATCTAAAGTACATACACAGTATATATTTTACTAACTATCTGAGCAATCAGCAATATAAATTTCTGCTAATTACATTCCCAACTGCGTTCCAAACGAAACGAATCGAATCGAAATCATATATAATTGCCCGGCACAGAGGTAGGCGGCACACTGAGTCCAGCTCAGGTTCTTTCGTTTGTTCCGTTTTCGTTTTGCCCACCGAATCCCCCCTCTTCTCTTCGCTCGCCACGATCTCACCCTTCACTCAAGAACTGGGACACTGAAGCAGCTAGTATTGCCTCCGAACTCTCTCTCTCTTTCCCGAAAAACCGATTGTTGTAATCTTTTCTAAACTTTTCTTCGACTCGATTCCATACAACGACAACACTACGACTATGAAAAGCAGCAGCGAACCAGCACCAACAGTAGCAGCAGCAACATCTTCGCCAGCAATCTACGATCTAACCAACGGCCACAACAACAACAATAACAACAACTATGTGAGCTCACGTCGCTCGTATCTGCGAAATGGTCATGGCCAGCATGGCCTGGCCACGCCCCGCCGACCACTGCGCACCCCACCGTCCTCGCCGCTGGCCACGGTGTCCAGCGGCAGTCACAGTTTCGTCGCCTCGCCAAGGTTTGTTCAGTTGACAGCCTCGATAGACTACGTTATGTTCCGGTTTCATGACTAAAACAAGCTTCGTTCATCATGCACTCCAAAAACTGCTTACGAAAATACCTAACCCAATCAGGCTTTAGACTTCGGCAACAGCCGAAGCTTAATTCCAAGGATTTGTGGTCCGTTTGAAGGCTTCATATTGAGGCCTAAAGGTTACCAATTAACACCCTTTTTTGGCTGCAACGATTTGCTCTTGTTTATATACCATTTAACCAAGTGTATTAACGACTTCTCGCTCTCTCTTCTCTTCTCCATCCAACCAACATCTTATACCTATCGATTTATGCAGAGATTGGCGTCTATATAATTCGCGGCACTATCGCAAGTAGAGCGATTGAGAACCAAAAAAAAACACGATAAATCAGAACGAAAAGTATATGCTTATCCTGATAAATATATAAATCATATATGTAATCTAAAACAACGACATGAACCAAGAACACGGCTCACGGCGGGCCTCGACGTAACCACATGCACCACACTCTACTAACCGAAAGGCGGCGCCGCTGCGTTCCACTCCGCTACGCCTCCTCATCGTTCGCCACAAGAACTGCGTTACAACAACAGCATCTACGAAAGCTACTACGTGTAAGGCCGAAACACTCCCACTCTCACACACACACATCTATCTCTATCTGTCTGCATTTAATCCGTAAACCGCGAAACGAATTCCCTGCGACTGGCACTGCGACGTTTAATTGGCCATCGACGACGCTTAACAAAATTCTAACATTGCTGCTGCTGCTGTTGCTGTTGCTGCTGCGACTAAGCTCCACTACGACTATAATCCTACGACCTACGATCATCAGCATCCGCTTGCTCATTTCACCCATCCATTATCATCATTAACCCATTGCTCCTCCTCCTCCCTCTGTCATTAAATTATCAACTTGCGTTTGAATTGGCCTGTGTACGAATGATTATCTTTGTCTATCCTTTTGAGTTCTGTCTATCTGTTGATTTATAGCCATGACTAATGAGTATTCTTTTTGTTCCATGACCAGCATACACCCACATCCCTATGCCCCACATGGCTCTGCCCATTCACGGCGCCAGCAACGCGGCATGAAGCACCAGCAACACAAGTATACAGAGGAGGATCCAGAGGTGGCCACCGTTAAAGCAACCAAGCGTACCAAGAAGCACTAGTGGCGGCGTCCACAAACATACACACTTAAACACTTTGGGAAGCAAGCATTGGTCCAGTTCCAGATGGATCCTTATTTTATGGCATAAAAGCGCAAAAAATTTTGACTATTTTCCGCGAGTTGATCCAGCGTGGGCATTTGATAAATTCGTTACCTTGATGACCACGCAGGATGCAGGATAACACACATACACACACAAACTACACAATATACAAAACGAATGTGACTGTTCAACACCAACCAAGACACTTTCCAAAACAACTGTTTGCACCTCCTCGCCAAATCAAAATTGAATCGATAATGAAAATGAAATGGGCAGCGAAATGAGACCCTAATAATAAGTTCAAATTAATATTGGTTAATTCTCCAGTTTTTAGATTTTGTTTTAAGCTTTACATTGGAGTGACTCGGTTGGAGATCCCGTGTAAAGTGGGAGGCAACCGAGGTAACGGCTCCACTCAACAACCAACTATGATTAATCCAATCCAATCCCAATTACATGTAATTCATAAGGCTTAAGTAAATGTTGATGTGAATTTAATTAAACGATAATTACATTATATTAGTGAATCCCGAAGTGTGTCCGAGTGTTTTACTACCTAAACTAAGCTAATACCTCCTCCCAGACTAGTCCACCATCTCCATTTGTGTCTCCTCCGACTCCCGCCAGTTGCGCTGTACCATCTCTACCAACTGCTTCCAGAACACCGTCTGCCGGAGGTAGTTGGCCAAACAGGCTAGGATAAAGGCCCAGGACAGACCCAGATAGTAGTCCGTTTGGACCACCGGCACATTGGATAGTGGCTCGCTGCGTGTTCGATTAAATATGCTCGGGTGGATGCTCTGTGGATCCACTGTCTTTACGTTCGTGTGTCGCATAATGAAGCGAGCAAAGCTACGCTTCTCCGAGTCTGACCACGAAGGATCATACTTGATGAGCGGCCTGCCCTGGTGGAAGATCATCAGTGTGGGCAGCGATACGATCCCAAACTCGGCATTGAAGCGTCCAAACTCATAGGCGTCTACATAGGCAATGGGCAGGGTGGGAAACAGATGGGGCAGCAGGTTCATTACGGGAGCCACGCGAGCACATTCCAAGCTGGAGGCCGTGCAGAAGTGCACGACGACACAGCTACCCGGCTCGTGGCGCTTGGTGGCATTGCCCACAGGCTTCAGCAGGCCCACAATCTCCTTAGCACTGTGCATCATTAGCAATCCGGGTTCGGCATCCGTTACATTCTCCGGCTGCAAGCATTTGATCAGAATAGGTGGCTTCCGCACCGGGGGCAGCTGGGTCAGGTGCTGGATGTGCTCATCGTCCGGCGCGCAAGTGTGTCGCTCCTCTAGCAGGGCGAACGTCTCGAAGCTGTAATGGCACTGGCCACGGGAAATGCCCAAAGATTCCCCCGTGCCGTTTGAGTAGAGACCAAAGTAGTGGAGGGCGCTTAGCAGGCCAGAAAGCTCCGCCTGGGCTCGACCAGCACTCAAGACTGTTAGGATGGGGAAATCTTAGTTGTTTAATTATTAAAAATTTAGTAAAAAATCCCTTACCAAACAATAACAAGAAAATTTTAAGCATTTTGTCGTTGGACTGAACAGCTGAGTAAATAGTATGGCTGTACTGGGGAAGGCAAATAATACCGACGAATCTTTTTATGAATTAGCGTCGAAATAGAACGGAGGGAAAATGGAACATGGAGGAGACTAATTAAGGCACTAATTTGAATAAAATAAAGTTTTCAAATGCTAAAAAAATAAATTACTAATGTTTTTTAATGGGTTTGAAAGTATTTGACTTTTGGATATATTAAAAAAGCATGTGAAAAACCATGTTAAGAAAAATACTAAATTAAATAAAAACAGCAAATTGTTGAATGAAACAGTAAGAAAAGTGACTGCCCAAAAAATATAAAATCCATTCAGAACAATTTGGTGGTATTTTTATCTAAATCTGGAAAAATTACCTATTTCGTTCTTTTTAGATTATTTAGTATATACCACGGCGGAATGATTATGTTCCTCCCCGACAAGCAAAATCGAGAGCCCGCCAGAAAATATACCCATTGACCATCTAAACAATTGAATAAAATATGCATGCCAATGAATGGAATTGACATTCCAAGCATTTTGGTAAATGTTTCATCAAAATCCTTTCAGTCGTTCAAGAGAAAACATCACTTTTCATTTATTGTCATTAATGTTCCTGCGGAGAATAAATTTATCTGGCAGCACTGTCTGCCTAAAATAAAGTCAATTTGATTTTAACTTTAATGAATAACTTATGCAAAATAAAGATACCATTAAAGGGATCGCAATTCTGAACATTTTGATCCATGTTTTATCAAAATCCGTTCAGTCGTTCATAAGAAAACCCAAATTTTTCATTTATTTCCATTAATGTACCGGCGAAATAAAAGTATATCCCGCAGCCCTGCCTGCCTAAAACCAAGAAAACTTGATTTAACCTTTATGGTTAAACTTATGCAAAAGGAAGACTGTCCTATAGACGGCATCGCAGTTCTGAACATTTTGATATATGTTTCATCAAAATCCGTTCAGTCGTTAATGAGAAATTCCGCCTTTTCATTTATTGCAGTTGGATACCAGGGGTGCATAGTCATGCCTCCTTAGTACATAAATTACTAATTCAAATGTTAATTTCTCCAAAACTACTGAACGGATTTCGATGAAACATCTACCAAATTGCTTAGAATAACGATATCATTTATTGGGCAGACTATTAAATGTTATTTCGAAAATGTAGTTCTCAAATCTAGTGCTTCAATGCCCTTGCTTTGTAATATGATTTCAGGTCAAAAATTTGAAACGCAGTAAATAAATTATTTCCGACCATATAAAGTATATATATTCTTGATCAGCATCAACAGCCGAATCTATCTAGCCATGTCCATCTGTCTGTGTCTTCAATTATAAGCAAACTAGACCCTCATATTTAAAGCTATCTAAATAAAAATTTGCAGCTAGTCTTCTATATACTCTCACTAGTGTATAATGGATTAAAATGTTCAGATCTACAGTGCCGTTTATTCCATTTGCATACATACGGTCTACCATTAAGTTTAAATAACCTTTTATTAAATATTCTTCGTCGAACATACACACATACATTCATATGTAAATACATTTACGGCAATAAATGAAAAAATCGGATTTTCTCATAAACGACTGAACGGATTTTGATGAAACATATATCAAAATGTTCAGAACTGCGATGCCGTCTATAGGACAGTCTTCCTTTTGCATAGGTTTAACCATAAAGTTTAAATCAAGTTTTCTTGTTTTTAGGCAGACAGGGCTGCCGGATATATTTATATTTCACCGGTACATAAATGGAAATAAATGAAAAATTCGGGATTTCATATGAACGACTGAACGGATTTTGATAAAACATGGATCAAAATGTTCAGAACTGTGATGCCGTTTATTGTATTACCTTCATATAGCATAGGTTTAACCATAAAGTTTAAATCCAATTGACTTATTTAAAAAGGTAGTGATGCCGGATATATTTATTCTTCGCTGGTTCAGCGAGTTGTTCTCCGCTGGTTCCCATCTGTTCCATTTTCATAGTTCGCGCCCTAGCTATCAGCCCACATACACCACCCACTGTTATTCGATTCTCTCGAAATCTGAGGGTTAAAAATAATTGAAATTTTCACTAAATATTCGCTAATCTTCCCTAGTCAGCCTATATACCATGCATATGTGCACTCGTTCGTAAATCGAAGTTATAAGCCTTACAATTTTGGATGCCCTATCTTGTATGGAGCCGTCCCCGAGGTTAGATCACTGTTATGGGATTTGCTCAAAAACTGACGGTTTAAAGATATTGAAACTTGGTGGGGTAAAACTAAAATAAATGTTCTTTTTATTACGTATCGGGTATTGCTGCACGCGTTTGTTTGCCGAGATAATAAGAAATCCGTGAAAACACGATTTTTCACAAGCTATTTTTAATATATCCAAATGTTAAAAATATATTTTGATCTGCTATGACCTAGTATTTAATTATTGTGATTTATGTTTAATAACAATATTCGAAATCCACAAAATATTATTTTGCCATTCTGCAGAAAATTATTTCTATATATGTTTACCTGATAGTGTACAAAGATTTATTTAATTATTTAATTTTACTAGATGTCTTGGCCCAAAATAGATTTAAACGAAAACATACAAGCTTGTAAGGACAAACCCTTTAATTCAGTGTCATACTTTTAATATAAATTACATTTCAACCAGCTGAGTCAAGCAGCAAGTATTTTCATTGCCCCACATTTTTGAGGGCTCAGGATTTTCGCGGCCTCCAACTCCGGTCACACTACGGGGGATCAATAAGTTTACTTTTCTTCTTTTTCTTGTTTTGGCTTTTCTGTCGCTCGGATTTGTGCTCTTTGGCTCGAGGAATTACATCATTGGACTTGGACGCGACTTGCAGGACCAGGCCCCAGTCTCGGCGCAATGACAGAGCTGCATCTGGAGCTGGAGAGCGTCCGTTTGGCAACGTTCGCGGAATGGCCCACAAATGCCCCTGTCACTCCCGAGGAACTGGTGTCCAATGGCTTCTTCGCCACGGGTGGCTGGTTGGAGGCCCAGTGCCACTTCTGTCATGTGCGCATCGATCGCTGGGAGTACGGTGATCAAGTGGCGGAGCGTCATCGCCGCTCCTCGCCCATCTGCTCCATGGTATTAGCTCCGAATCACTGCGGAAACGTGCCCAGGGAGCAGGAGAGCGACAAGGAGGGCAACAGCGTCGTCGACAGTCCGGCCCAGTGTCCCTGTCCCGATCTTTTGCTGGAGGCCAATCGCCTAGAGACCTTCAAGAACTGGCCAGTGAGTAAGGGTATTGGGTTTCGTAGGATTTTGCAATATTTTCTGCGCAGGCAGATTGCTGGAGACAGTAACACCTTCAATTTTCCTTTTCAGAATCCCAACATCACGCCACAGGCTCTGGCCAAAGCTGGATTTTACTACCTGAACCGCCTGGACCACGTCAAGTGCGTGTGGTGCAACGGCGTGATTGCCAAATGGGAGAAGAATGACAACGCCTTCGACGAGCATCGTCGCTTCTTTCCCAACTGCCCGCGGGTGCAGATGGGTCCCCTGATAGAGTTCGCTGCTGGCAAAAACCTCGATGAACTGGGCATCCAGCCAACCAGTCTGCCGCAGCGTCCCAAGTATGCCTGTATCGATGCCAGGATGCGCACCTTTTCCGATTGGCCCATTGCAAATATACAGCCAGCAGAAGCCTTGGCCCAGGCGGGTCTGTATTATCAGAAGATCGGTGACCAAGTGCGCTGCTTTCACTGCAACATCGGACTGCGCTCTTGGCAGAAGGAGGATGAACCCTGGCACGAGCATGCCAAATGGTCGCCAAAGTGCCAGTTCGTTCTACTGGCCAAGGGTCCAGCATATGTGAACGAAGTGCGCGAAGCAGCGGCGGCCACTGCTCGTTCCCCGCCAGCCACGGCTCCGGCTCCTTCGCTGCAAGCCGACTCTCTGATGGACGAGGCGCCGGCCAAGGAAGCACTGGCCTTGGGAATTGACGGAGGAGTGGTCCGCAATGCTGTCCAGCGCAAACTCTCCAGTTCCGGCTGCGCCTTTGCTACTCTGGACGAGCTCCTGCATGCCATCTTTGATGAGGCGGGCGCCGAGGCCGCTCTGGAGGTGCGCGAACCCCCCGAACCCAGTGCTCCGTTTATGGAAAGCTGTCAAGCCACTACCAGCAAGGCGGCAACGGCATTGCCAGTTGTAGTTACCGATGCCATTCCGGAAACACCGCAGGCGGTGATAGCTTCAGTTCCGGCCACAGAGGCGTCCAACGTGACCGATCAGCTGCAGAAGATGTCGATGACCTCGCCCAATGGCAACTTGTCGCTGGAGGAGGAAAATCGCCAGCTAAAGGACGCACGTCTGTGCAAGGTGTGCCTTGACGAGGAGGTGGGCGTGGTGTTCCTGCCCTGCGGCCACTTGGGTGAGTCTTGAATTGAGAGTTCCTTGAGCTGTAACTAACCACCTTTGGTCTTGATAGCTACCTGCAATCAGTGCGCCCCGAGCGTGGCCAACTGTCCGATGTGCCGCGCCGATATCAAGGGATTTGTGCGCACCTTCCTCTCGTGAAGCAGTGAAGGATATCGAGTTTATCAGCTAGTTGTTAAGCACACACACAGACACAGACACAAAACTGGCTGCAGTTCAAATAATTTGGTGATTAGCTAAATGAAATACCTTTGATCGTCTACTAAGTACTTGGCCAACGGCAGCCACCTGTTAACGCTAGCTCCGGCCTGCCGTTTGTCGTCACTAACTATCGCCGTGTGTGTATCCGAGCGAATCCACTTGCAAAATAACTTTATACGAACCTGACCTGGGCCGCACAAGCGCTCTCTATATAGCACACACACCTGAAAGGGTATCAATGCTTCGGCACGATCGCAGATCACTTCCTTACCTACGTTCTTGTTATCGGTCTACTTATTAACACGTGTAAATGTATGTATTTTTGTTGATAATGTTTATAAGCTGCTGATAGTATGGTCTACACACTCAACTTTGTATTGCAGCCATTCGAAATGCAAATTCGAGATACGAAATATATCTATATGTAAATGTTAAATGTGCCTTATTGTCTGCGGAACTTGTATTTATATCGCTTGGCAGCATTTCCGCTTATTTACATAAGCTTTTTGTTATCTTTCAGCTGCAGGCAGGAATATGTATGTACTTTGTTTACCTAAAATAACTTTAAAAACAGCATTTTCTTTATTTAAATGAGTGGAATTGTTGAAATATCTTTCCTTCAAAAGTATAAAAAGTATTCGATTGTACATATATGATAATTTTTTGATAAAACAAAGTTAAAAAAAACTATAACTAAGTCAAAAATTGATTAATTTTAATTCGGAATAGATTTCCTTGTTAGTTTTTGTTAATTTTAAATATTTACAAGTTTAAATTTTTTTAATTGTTTGACTTTTTTAACGATATAACCCCTTATAAAATTATGAAAAAATTTCGAAAAAATTTTTGCTTTTCTAAGATGTCTAGGTCGACTTGGCTGGTACTGCTCAAAATCAAAAATATATATGGTTTATAGGGTCGGAAATGACTCCTTCAGTGCATAACAAGCTTCTGACTAAAATTAAATTACCCAAAGTTATTAAAATTTTTTGCAAATTTTAAATCACATTTTAATGTGTCAAAAATAAGTCTAAGTTTTTCTTAATATATTATTATTATTAATTATTTAATTTATATATAAATAATATAACAAATATCAATGGCGAATCGAAATATTTCTTTTGGCAACCACTGGCGTTTTCGTTTTCTTTTGACATCAATAAAATCTGAAATATTAATAATAGTCGATATAATCGATGGTCCTGCAGATCTAGAGTAGGTCGTAATTTTAAAATATGTTGTTTTTTGTTTTATAAATCGTTGCTGGTATTTTATTACATAAATATTTAAGAAATAGCTTTATTTAAGCTAGAAGCCAGTTCCCCATGAAAGAAGTTAGTCCGGCAACACTGTTTGGTCACACTGTTTCGTGATATTTCTAGTTTAAAAAATAAATAGTAAATAATAGTATAAAATATTACTTTTAAATATCGATATATTGATATTCTGATATATTTTCAACAACCCTAATCAAAATACTTGTGGCACTCTTGCACACAGGTGGTATATTTTTATTTAAAAACTGGTACACTTTCGCAATCATGGTAAATTAAAAAAAAAAAAGGTGACAAACGCAAATATGTTAAAAAATCCAGAATTACTCAATTCTACTCCATATCTATAAACTTGCAAAATGTAAAATGCTGTCAATTTACGCTGCTTCTCTCTGGATGAGAGCATGTCTGTTAATGCAAATGCATTTTACTTCCTACATGAGAATTCTACGTTATCTCTAAACATGTAAAATTGCATTCTAGACGTGTAAGATGTAAAATGTTAAATAACAGCAAGTTTATCAAAAATCGATACCATCTTTGATAACACTAAAAAATATAACAAGAGTATGGCAACACTATAAAAAATATCGATCTATATTTTGATACATTCAACAACCCTAGTTGAGATTTTAAAATTCGTTTCGTCTTCTTCGCGTCAACTGTTTGGAGCTTGGCCCCAATGTTGCCCTGGTCGCGACGGCAACGGAAACGGCCCCAAAAGCACAAACTCCACCGGAAGGTGGTTGCACAAGTGAAGGAAAACTAGAAGAACGCCTAGAAACGGAATATCGAAGTTACCAAACGCGTGCACGTGTGTGAGTATTCTGCTAGTAAAAATACACCCAGGTGTGCGAGTCTGTGGTGTCCGTGTGTGCTGCGAGTGTGGGCGAGAGCGAGCGAGAGGGCAGGAAAGTGCAGCAGAGTGCGGGGCAAGCGGTGACGTTTCCCCTTCAGTTTCCCCCGAAAATTTCGTTGCTATCCACTGTGAATTCTTCGTGGAAAACCATTTTCCTAAAGGTGAGAAACAAAGCGATGCACGCACACACACATACAGTTGTGCTGCTTGGAAGTGATGGCGGGAGGGAGAGAGGAGACACGTATCTCGAAATCCCACAACTACAAGTACACCGAATTTTGGTTTTCGAGCGTGCTGCGCATACGCTTTAGTTCCATTTTCTTTTCGGGTCAAGTCGCGGGAAACAGCTGTGCTTTTGGGCCGAGAATGACCAGTGCGCGTCCACCCATTAAGGTATTCCCCAGCGAACCGCAGAAGCTTAATCAGCTCTTTTTGGAACTCTTTTTGCTTTGAGCAGTTATTCACTTAAAACTCTGGATAACCTGTATGTGTGTGTGTGTGTTGTTTTGCAAATACACACGATTTCAACAGCCCAGAACAACAAAAACCAAAAATAACAAAAGCAGGGCGGACTCTTTCCCGTTCTCTTTCCCGTCTTCCGCCTCTGCCAGCGGAGAACGCAAAAATAAACAAACAAAAAGTCCCGCTATCTCAACGAACTGCGAATGTGTACAGAATTTATATTCCGCAATGTACGCGCGCGCGTGTGTGTGTATGTGTGTGATCGTTTGTTTTGCAATTGACCCAGTGCTTCCCTTAAATATTGAACTCAATTGAAGGCGCAGTTGCAGCGGCGGCTGCATTACTCATGCTTACTTACACACCCTTTTCTGGGGAATGTCTGCCTGCCTGCCATTTGCCACCCCTTTCCCCGTGGCTTATAACGTATGCATTTTTTCCCCCCTTCCCCTTCACCGTTTGCTATCTGTAAGAAAAGCGCACAAAAACGTGCCGATCTTTGCGTTTGATGTTTTTCTATAGTAGCAGGTACAGTGGGCACAAGATAAGAGAATCGACATGGAGAAAGCCATTTCCCTATAGTGCAATTTAAACTATTGATAGTGAGTGTAATAAAATCGAATGTGAGGAATTTCTACAATACTGTTCATGTTTTGAGTAGGCTTTTCGTTCAGGCTTAAGTTTATTCATCTCTTGGAAGAGTGAGTAATTTTATACGCAGTATAAAAATATAATTAAATGCATTTAGGCCCATTAAAACAAATTAACACGAATGCGACTTAAATTGAGCACTCTCTGATTTTATTAATACAATTTAATTATCAAAACCAGAATTGTTATTAAGATGTTTTTCGAGTTTTGTCAAACTAAAAGTATTCAAATCCTGGCTTCACTGTGCCAGGGATGAACAATCTGTGATTTACCGCTGAAAGCCTCGCATCTCGCGATCCGCAGACTCTGCATCCCTAGTTCGACCAACACATCCGCAGACGCACGCACAATAAAGCCTGGCTCTGTGTATGTGTGTGCGTGTATGTGGCAGCATTAACTAGTTTTATTTGTTTGGTGAATGTCAATTTCATTGTAATTGCACACTCGAGCTGGCGATAGAAAAGGAAAACAAGTTGGCGGCGCTATGTTGGATGATTAGTGCACCTGGGTGTTGCCATTTCAGTTTTGCTTTTTTAGTCATATTCAGCTTTAATACTACATACTCCGCCCGAAGGTCAGGTGGCGGCTGCCAGAGTTGCCAATTGCGAGTTGCGAAGCTGCACTTGATGCGGCAGCTCTAATTGTTTTGTTTACTTTTGTGCGGTGCGAAAATGCGAGAAATGCCAGAAAACGAGAGCGCCAGCGAAATTTAACGGTACGTGGTGGAGCAGCTGCTGCTGCAAGTGTGTGAATTCGCGATCAATGGCGCTGCCTCGCTAAATAATCTGACCTCTCGGCCATCTCTGGCCAATTAATATATGGATGCTGCCCATTCTATTACCAAGTCTCCACTCTCCCCCTTCCCCCGAAAGTAGTGGCGAAGAAGTAGAAGAAGTGCAAGACAAGACAGGTTGTGTGCGTGCGATTGTATGAGTTTTGGAGATTTTACGGCGACGGCGAAGGTCACGGCTAACATATGCAAAATAAATTAAAGCCGAGAAACCAGACGCGAGATTCGGATTCAGATTCAGACACAAGCCACTGTGATTCAGTTAAAGCTTTGAAGCCGAAAAAATAAACAGACAACAGAAACCGCAGTAATAAAACAATTTTGACTTGAATCGAGGTAACGTGCCAACGATCTGTCCCCACCCCCTTCCTCCTACTGAGAAAACCTAGGCTCTGGCGCTCCCTTTTGCGAGTCGTATCGCTTTTTAAACAACTTATAAACGGAAGTACATTCACCTGATCAGTTGAATGAACATGCGCTCTTTTCTACTTTTTTTTTCCAGCTCGCTTTTATTTATTATTTTTAATGTTTTTTGTTCATATTTTTTCTCGACCATTTGACAGCAGCTGCTGTTGGTTTTTTATTTTTTTTAAATTTGCGGACGCGATTCACTCACGTGCAAACATCCATAAAAACGCGAGAGCACGCGCTTGTTTGCATTTGATTGCATTTTTGCATATAATGCAACTCGATCCCTCACTGACCACTGACCTGTCCCAATCTTCTCGCCTTTGATAGCGCAGTTAAAGAACTGTCTATCTCGGAATGGAGATCTCAAAAAAGTATTCTTTATGAGCTGAATTTTTTAGAATTACCGTCTCAATCGCTCCGTTTTAGCACATTTTTTTATGGCCATTCTTGTTCGCTAATTATTGCGTTTCGCTTCGGTTATTAAGTTATACGCGCTAGCAAAGATATAACCCGTTTAAGTGTAGTACAAGTCGGTTTAAACACAATTTAGTTGATGGGTTAGTTTGGAGCCATGATGCTGAATAAAGCAATTAATTTGAATATAGAAATATTACTCAGCCGCATATTAGTCATGTTTAGTGAATTTCACTCATTATTGAGTCATTTTCGTTAAAAAAAAGGGGCTTACCAGCATTTAATGTGGGATAAACCAACTCTTTGGCTTTCTCCTTAATAACATAATAACAAGAATTTGCAAAGACAAAGCTTCTTTCAGACTGGAAGAGACCAAGATTCGGTACAATTGTTTTTAAAAGAAAGCCTGCATTCCTCATTACCTATGTTTATCCTCGTTAATGACATTAGCTACTTAGTTTAGTTCTTGGCAAATGAATTAATCACTTCTAGTTGGCATTTGTGAAAACCTTTCGACATAGAGAAAATGAGTTAATTGCCAGATTTCAGCAATTTGGAATTTCTTTTTACATTCTTTTCGGTTCAATGTTCGTTGCTTAAATCTCTTGTTAAGCTTGTATAATTTCGTATTGACCAACATTCTTAATTCTCCCTTTTTTAGTAACGGATTGAGTACTTTCCCAACACTGCCGCCGGCAGGACCGTCAACAACAATCAGCTGCTGCAGCCGGCAATGCACCAAGATGAGCGTTAAGGAGCACCAAGCAGCCGGCCGTGACTTTAAGCGCAATTCAAACGCTTATGCCAGCCTGCCGCCTACAGGAACGGGAGCAACAGCAGCGTCATTGTCCTCTACACCGGGAGTAGGTACAACTGGCAGAGGTCGGCATAGCAGGCAGGTGCCTCAGGATCACCAGTATGGCCTCTCGAACAGCCTCTCCAGCGAGTCCATACGTCAGGCCTGCGACTACTATGACGACGAGCTAAGCGACGAGGATCTCATCGAGATCCAGCAGACGCCGCAAGCCTTTCACCAGCAACCCGGCAAACAATCCCTGCAACTGCAACCCATCAGTTTTCGTTTGGGCGATGGCCAGGGTGACGAGATGAGTGCCTTCTGCGGCAGCCAAGAGATGCAACCGGCTCCATTGAGTACGCCCATTAAACAGGCGACGGAAACGGATGAAGCCTTGTGCGTTCTCAGTGAACTGGACGCCATTCTGGATGTTCATGATGTTTCGCAACTTAATGGCACCATGAATTCCAGCAGTGATGATGACAAGGTGGAGGATTACCTCATGGACCTTGACAACTATTTGGAGGAGATGGACAATGCTCTAAACCGGGAGGAGTCATTGACTATCATGGGCGGTCAGTCCATCTTAAAAAGGGAGCCTAGGACAAGAACTCTACCATTGAGTAGAAAAAAAAATCGAATAAAAGGACAAGCGGAGACCAGGAGGTCGCATCAGAGGATTTCCAAAGGGAGCATCAAATAAGGAAGACCTTTAGCTGCTCCCTGAGGCCTACGAGTCAAGCAGGTTAGACTCTATTTTGCGTGAATTCCACAGTTAAGCCAATCTCTAACCCCATTTTCGTTTTAGCCTCATCAAGTGCTTCCCTGGAGACATATACGGAGCCCGTGACAGATGTTTGGAGGCGTCAGTCAATGCGTCGAGCCATGGAGCAGGAGGACACCAAAGGGGCAGTAATTGAGAGGGAGGAAGACGATCTGCCCACATTGCTGGTGGAGCTACCACCCAGACGTGAGGCAGAGATGCGACGTTGTTTCTCGCAAGGCGATTTTCAGGCTCAAGCCGCAATTGCTGACGGCTCCCAAATGCTAACGGATGCACACATTTTCGACAACCTGCTGCAGACAACGGCCAGAGCATCCAGCGAGGAGCCGCGACCCAGGCAGTATGGACGTCGCTCGGAGGGACCTCCCACGCCAGTTCGTGCCCTGGTGCTGGCCCAAAGTCGGCCACAGAGTGCTCCAACTCGCGTGCAAATCAGAGATCCGCAGCCTCTGGAAACGCCCACGCACCCCATCATGTCCACTTGCTCGGAACTGAGTTCGCCGCGTTCCTCGCGGATGCCCAGTCCCGTTTCCCTGCCCTCGGATAGCAGCAGCAGCAGTTCAGCGGAACAGGACCAGGACCACGACCCGGTGCACACCACAACCATGTGCAGTGCCAGTAGCACCACGCCCCTGGAGCCGTTGCATCAACTGCACTTGCTGCTGCGCGAGAAGTGCGGTTTCAACAGCCAGTGGCCGCATGCAGGAAGTCGCACCCTGGCGCTGATTGGTTGCACCCTGGGTGTATTTAACATGTGCCGATTTGCCGTTCTGACCATCAACTTTGGTGGTAATTTCCTACTGCAGTTCCTGCTGCTGTCCGTAATCTTTGGCATCCCACTATTGTGGCTCCAGATGTGCCTGGGCGCCAAGATTCGTGCCGGTCCGGTGTCGATGTGGAAGATAAGTCCAATTTGCGCCGGCGTTGGCATCGCTCTGGTGATGGTGCAGTGTTTTCTGGCTCTGTACTCTACCGTGTCGCTGGCCTGGATTCTGGTCTATCTGCGGGACGTCTTCCCAACAGCATCACGTACGGGTTACCGCTGGCAGGAGCTGGCTTTCCCCTATCGCTATGATGCCGCCAATGCTACTGGGAATCTCACACACACTGTGGCCGAGTACTTTAATGTGGTTGTGTTGCAGCGACTGCATCTGGCCAAGCATCCGGATGCGAGCGGAGTGCGCTTCCATGTCAACGATCGGGTAAGATCCACCATCCCCCGTTCCCCGCCTTCCCGTCTAACTGACTCACTGCCCACTACCTTCAGCAGCTGGCCTTTTATCTGGCCCTCATCTGGGCGGCCGTCTTCCTCATCCTTTGCAAGGGCCTAAAGTCCCTGGGCAAGCTGGCTTATATCATCTACACTCTGCCATTGATTTCTCTGGCCGTGGTGACGGCCAAGTTTGTTTATGTCGTTGATCCTGGGAGACTGCAGGTGAGTCTATTTTATTTCCTTCCATTTAGCTAAATTTAATGGGAAATGTGTGCTTTATCTTAAACAAATGGATCAGTTAAGTGTTTACTAATTTGTTTATTCTTACAAAGTGGATTGTATACATCTCACTTGGCAATTGTAAATGCGTAAAAGTGATTGTTTACTCAAAGTTTCATTAATTAAATGAGCTTTTGGTATTTTTGCATCTTAACATTCCAACGAAGTCATTGTTTACTCTATTGCTTTACAGAATGTCTTCGCTGCCAGCGATTTCGATGACTTTCTGGTGAACCCCAACAGCTGGACGGCGGCCACACAGGAGACTTTTCTCACCTGGGGCCTCCTGGGCGCCTCGGTTATTGCTATAACCAGCCGGAGTCATGCCAATGCCAACAAGGCAGCTTTAAGAAGAGATGCGATTCTGCTGGTTCTGCTCACCCTCATCGGGCTTGGTTTGATGGCTCTGCTGGCCTTGTGTTGTGCCCAGATTTTATGGCAGCATGGCTACGTCTATGTGCCGGGATCCTTTGGTGAGCATTATCTGGTTAAAATCTAACTTCTTAATCTAAATTTCTTTCTTTTATAGAGAACCCGGACTCCTATACGGCTGTGTACTCGCTGCAGACACACCCCAATCCGAATCTGGTGTCCTATCCGCGCTCGTTAATACCGCACTACTCTTCCTTCATTGGAGAGACTTACCGGCGGAACCGCAGCATGATTCACGTCGAGAGTGGATTCCAGGCATTGCGTTTCATCTCGGAGATCTTCCCTGCGGTTCTTTCACTGGCCAGCGATAGCATATCGTGGGTATGGGGTGCCGTAGCATTTTCCACCTTTGCGGGATTCGGTCTGGCGCAGCTGTGCGTTATGTGGAAACCGATTTCGAGTGCCCTGGGTAATTCTACAAGCTCGGTGCTGCTAAGCTGCGTAACTGGACTGCTGCTAAGCATACCTTTTGCCACCGAGATGGGCATATCCATACTGTATTACGTGGACTTCTTGTTGGGCGGCTCGTGGTTCATTCCGATCATTTGGACCGCTCAGATCTTTGGCGTGTTCCTGATTCGAGGTCGCCCCTACAATGGGGACGATTTGGTGAATGATCTGAGGCTATGTGGTTCCATGTCCGCTTTTCTAGCTTTGTCCTGGAACGTACTGCTGCCCATTGGTCTGATCACGCTGTCTGTTGTGGATTACAAGGCTTCGCTGTCGAATCAGTTCTACTATTGGCGTGGCAAGTCTTACTTTACGTATTGGTCCAGGAAAATGGGCAGCTTGATCCAAATTGGTGTCTTGCTGGTTATTCCGGTCACAGCTATTATTCAAATATATCGGTATTTGGCCCACGGTCCCCCGGATATCTTAGAGGTGAGTAATCCTTATGATTTAATTTTTTCATTCGTTAATTTATTAACTTTTTGTTATACTTACAGCGCATTCAGCTGCTTTACCGTCCTCCGGAGGAGGGAGAGGAGTCCCGGCGCCCATCCGCTCGCCAAAGTGCCGCCCAGGGACGCCGCAATGCCCTTGGCCAGTCTACAGAGGGCACTCAGCACGATGCCCAGAACGATGCTCCGCCCAAGTACACGCCACCTCCGTCCTACACTACGGCTACGGGAGCTCGCCTGGCCAAGCTCCTACGTCAGAGCATCCGCCGCAGCGTGCGCAGGTGAGTCGACGAATTTACCGAATAGAATTTGATAAGATTCACACATTCCATATTCTCAGGGTTCTTGGAGACTCTAGTCGCACGCGGCCCGTGCTCTCGCTTGACGCCGAGTCCGCTTCTCCAGCAGCTCCGCCTGATTACTTGACCATACTGACCAATCCAGCGGGCAGCAGCTCCAATGCAGAGCCTTCGCCTGCGTCAAGCAGCAGTCCGGAGTCCATTGAAATTGGTCTGCGTCCCGCTGGCTACGCTCAACGCTCACAGTCGCTGGGGCGGAAGCTGCATCGCTCAAGCGCTTCAACGCTGGAAAGACGCCCCTACACAGCGGAGGATGTGGTGACCATATTGCGCTCCTCGGTGCGACACCGCCAGTCGCAGCAGGTTGGTGGGCATATGGCCACTGCCAGCACTCTGCCACGACCCCCAACGACCTCAATGTCCACGCACATGGAGGACGCCTCTTTCCGGTCCATAGAGAATCTCGTGCTGAACGCAGAGCCGCCGGACCGAACGCCGGGCGTGGAGCTGGAACTGGAGGCAGAACGGGCGGAGGAGTGCGCGCAAAATAATACATCTGTGATTTAACTGACTAATATCGTACCGTACATAGGCGTAACTCTTATGCGATCCCACATATCTGCTTGCTTTCTTAGACTTGATTAGAGCTAGTTATACAAATACGAATAATACTTTGTAGTTATGCGAATAATAACGAAAAAAATTAGTTGGTAATCCCAAATTTCTGGGATTTTAATGTATTCCTGTGTAACCGGTATTCCCCAGTGATCAGTTGATCTGTACCCACCCCTCTGTCTGTCCATATTTTATACTTACGCAGTTGCCCTTTAAATTATTATCCCAACAATGGGCGGTCTACGTGCCCTGCAATCGAGGGCCAAGTATTTAAAAAGAGAACCGGAGAGCCTTAAGCCGATTAATAAACGTGACCGGTCGAAAAAGCAAAATAAAAGAAGCGGAAGTCCAGACGTAGGGCACCTAATGATACAGGGGCCAGGAAGCTACTGCTGCTGGGCTACAGTTACTGCACAATTCAATGAAAATGTCACGCAATTTCCATGAATTTTCCATTGTGACTTGCAGCTTGCATCTGATTCCGGTGCAAAAAAGTTAATCCGCGGAATTTTCAAATTGGCACGTACTTGGCGGGCTACGCGGGGTGTTGCCAGAAATACTATGTTCGAAAAATAAAATCAGAAAAAACATAAAATACTGGTCTTTGATTAATTAATGCTGCAGTTAAGTGTTTTTTTGTGTTTACTCAAATAATTTATTAATTTTAAAGTAGATTCTAATCAAACACTTTAAAATACGATGTGGCAACTATGATCACGAGGAGCGCAAACGAGCTGAAAGCAGTGATGTTATATTTTTCGGTGCAAAAAAAGGAGCTTTAAAAGAACGAAAAAGCTAAAAGTAGAGTGCAATTCCAGGGAAAAATATAATAATAGAACAATAAAATAAAAATTAAGAAAATAGTATTTGTTAATACATAAATATTTACGTTAAATAAAAGCTTGAGTATATTAAAATAACAAACAAAACTAAATTGAAATGAATGAAAAAATCGTTGTTTAAGCCTAGTATTAATAATAAAGAATTTTACATTATCGATAGTGATCTTTTGTTAGCACCATTACGAGAAATCTACTCCAAAGGAGAGAATTTTAACCCAAATCTCTATGTGCGTGTAAAATTGTTATCTACACGTGTTTGATGTGAAATGTTAAATAACGCATAAAACTATAGCCAAACATCGATAGTATCGACAATGTTTTGCCAGCTGTTTAAAAAGCTAAATTATCGTCAATTTGACTTGAAAAAGGCTAAATTTCCCGCTAGCCGCCAGATTACAATTTATCCCACAATTTGCTTTTGAAAACCGACAGATCTAGCCTGCAAAAAGCTAAACCGGCAACTCTGATTGTATCTTTGGAATTAAAAAAACATCAACCGAAGCGAGCGGACGCACACCTCCGGACATTTTCGAACCGCGTCGCGCGTCTATAAGTCGGAGTCTGAAACTGGCAAATTGGAAAACTTTGCGAGAAGCGAAACTTGTGCATGTGCAATTAGAGTCGCGCGTTCTTAAGCCACTTGGCCATTTAGCCAGCCGCCAGCCACTTAGAGCCGCCAAAGTTTTCTGCCGCGCCGCCTTCGTGAGTCGCAGGTCGAAAAGTGCTCAAACAAGATTTCCACTTGAAATTCCTGAATTTCGTTTGTCTGCGCGAAACGAAACGAATCCGAATATCGAATCAAATCGCGGCAGCAGCGGCATTCTGCACAAAGCGTAAATACGAGTCGAATTTAAGTTGCGGCACCGCTGCCTGCAAGTGTATTTTGCCAAAGTGTCTTTGTGTCAGTGGTTCTTTGTCTCTGTGTGGGTGTTACGATACATTTGGATTAGCGGTGTGTTCGCCTGATTAAAACGGTAAGTGTCCTGAGCTGCGAGCAAAGTTTAGTGTTAGTTCTTTGTGCTGGTGTTAAATCCCTCACCCGCACGCGGCACACTCACAACTTATTTGCCGCAATTTGCTCTAGTGTTTTGTATTAGCATTTTTATGTCCCGCCTCGCCAAAGTTGACAAACAAAACGCACACTGGCGCACACACACACCCAGCGCACTCGTAAGCGCACGCACACAAAGGATTTCATTACATTTTTGGGTGGGACGACGACAACGTAACGGTAAAGGCAACGGTAACCCTCCCCGAGCACTGTCTCTCTATCGCACCGTCGCTCTGTCTCTGCAGCTAGCCAGGCTGGCCATCTCGCTCCCACCCATTCCCTGAGCCCCGAATGCTGTGCTACTGAATTTGTTTTTGCCTTCGCCGCTCCGTTCTCTCCTGTTTTTATTTATTTTGATGGCGTATTTTGCCATTCCGCTTTGTACGAATTGCGTAGCTTGTCGCCTCTATCCTTCCACAGTCCAGGCTCACTACAGTGAACTATCGGATGGGGAAATTAATGGAATGGTGACTTAACTAAAAAAGCAATAGATAAATATTACATTTTATTGACAAATTAAAAAAGCATTTAATAAAATAGTAACTTATTTATATTTTAATTATTTTAATTTGCAAAAATTCACCTTTAAGTTTTTAGAAGCACAGAATATGTAGAATATATTTATTTAGTCACGATAAGTAAATATTATTGGTATTTTATTATACCCTTGCAGGATATTTTAATTTTAGTCAGGAGCTTGAGTCCGACCCTATAAATCATATATATTCTGGATCAGCGTGAATAGACGAGTCTATCTAGCTAGGTTTGACTTACATTTATTTTTTCAAATTTTTGAATATTTTATAAGGGGTTAAAATTGTCAAAAAAAAGTACAAAAATGTTAAAATTTTTAAAATTTTATAATGAGTATGCAGATTTATTAACCTAACATAAACTAACATAGAAAAGCTTTCCGAGTTAAAATTAATGCACTGTTGGCTTAGTTATGTGTTTTTTAACTTTGATTGTTGTTTGATTTTTTTATTGTTCTTTATTAAGATTTTAGTTGAACAATTAACGTTATTATTATATTAGTTATGTGTTTTTTTAACTTTGATTGTTGTTTGATTTTTTTGATTGTTCTTTATTAAGATTTTAGTTGAACAATTAACGTTCTTATAATTATATATTCTTACTTAAATATTATTATTATTGCTGGGTTTCCTTTACCGAAGACTTCCTGTGTTCTATCCCTCGGCTGTCAGCTTTTCCTGCTAGTTTCGGCCTGCATTGAAATGAGTTCGCAATAAATATTGCCCAATGTCAAATAAAAGGGCGATGAGCCAGCCTTTTTGCTTTGCTCCGCCGCTTGCCCGCCACTTGCCTGCCATCTTCTATGTGTGTATTTGTATCTCCGTCTATCTTTTCTCTAATCTCGGGGGACACTAATGTTTTACGACAATTCCTATGCCGCCCAGTACAAACTTAATGCACACATCAATGGCAAATTAGATATACTCCACACAGCAAATGTACTAATAACAATCATCGACTGCCTCCGAGGCGACCGACCATCCATCCATTCCATCGAGACGATTGTTTTGTTGATTCGGCTGTTACTTCCAATACATTGGCATTTAAGAGGGGACCGAGCTGTAGGAGGAGGAGGAGGTGGAGGAGCTGGATTGGAGTCCACTTATGCCTGCCTTATGTCTCATTTGTCGTCGAGCAAATGGAAATCGTTTTGTTTTTGCTTTGTCAAGTGACAAATTTTCATTGTCTCCCGCCACTAATCGCTTACTTAAAAAAAATAAAACAAGAAGACCGAAAAACATTGAAGAAAACACGCCGAAGACGCCAAATGCGGAGCAGGGACACAAGACAAGAAATAAGACATAAGACAAGTGTAAATAAACACTTGAATGTGGGCGGGGAAGTCCCTTGGAGAGGGAGCAACGACTAACGCATATCCTCTGAGGGGAAGAAAAACGCTATTGACATTAACTTTGGCATTTTTGGAAAAGCACAAGGAATGTGGGGAAACGGAGGAGAATTATTACCTTATTGAAATATACTCCTCAACTTTATATTTGTTTACCTCTCAATAAACTTTGTTATTTAAGCTAACACAGCTCAGCATTTCGAATAATTCCTTTGCCATACGTTTTTCGGAATTTTACTTGAGTTTTGGGATTGAATATATTATTGAATTTAAGGTATTGCATTAGTAATTGAGAAACATTTAATTTTTTACAAATATTTTAACAGCAGAAATATTTATTACCTAAATTTAAGCACTGTCATTAATAATCCACAAAAGTTTATGAATTTTCAGTAGTTTCTTAAAAGGATAGCTATATCTAAAAGGTAAAATTGAGAAAATATCCTTAAAATCAAACCAAATCTCACCGTATATACCTTTTAATACCCTCACTGACTGAACTTACTTTACAATCTTGCCTCTTTTGGTGGCATTGCCCGCAGTGCCGCGGCACCTCCACACTTGGCGCAGTTTGCTTTAATTTCCAGCGGACAAACCACTTTGTTATCGCCACGACCAAGGGCCTTTAATCTCTGGTTCTGACCCTCCGTCTGGCCATTGATTTACGTCTCTATTTCCACCCGAATGTAGTGCAATCGATTTAGATTGATTTTGTTTAAACAAACTGCACGGGGCAGCAGCAAGCAGCAGCAGAAAAAAGAGTTTCAGATCAATGTAATAAATAAATCGAATCGAAATCATTGGGCTGCCTTTTAATGCCAGCGTTAATTGCGAGAGCCGCCCAATTCCATTTCCATTTACATTTTCATTTCCATTTCCAATCCAGCAATTCCTACCACATTTTCATGCCCATTCCTAGGCTCGATTCCGATTCCGATTCCAATTCGGATTCCTATTCCATCGATGCTTTGGTAATTAGTTGTGAATTGGATTGGGGATCACATAAAAGTGTTGATTACACACTCTGATGGCCGGGCCCCTCCTTAACCCGCTGGGTGCCAAGTGTTTTGTTTGTGTTTTTCTCTCTCTTGCTGTGTGTCTTTTTTGGGGCTTTCTTCGAGGGGAATTAGGGTTAGCCGTGCGTAGTGAAAGTCTTGGAAACTGCGGCAGGTGTAAGATAAGTTGGTCGGTCAGCAGGAAGCGTTGCTCCAATTAATCGCTCTTTATCGCAAAGAATTTCAACTACGCAGCCAATTAATTGGGGCGCTTAAATACAAGATTCAGATACAGATACAGAAACTCTGACTAAAGAACTTCCCACAGT